AGTAAAAATATACAACAGAAAATTTTTTTTCAATGTATTAATTAATAAGTACTACCAAGAAATTACATTAAAATTATAATAGAGACTTTATATAACTTTTAAATGTTAATACTAGGGTGACCATACGTCCCGTATTATACGGGACTGTCCCGTTTTTCCACTTTGTGTCCCGTTGTCCCGACAAAAGTTATACGGGACGCATTTTGTCCCGTGTTTTCAAGTAGGTCCCGTATTAATCCCGTTTTTTTCTTTATTGTTAATTTATAATTTTTATTTTTCTTTTTATTCTACGATATTTTTGTATCACAATATTCAATAGAATATATTTTAAATCTATACTTATCAGCATATTTTTAGATTCTTGTCTTGACAATAAATTATTATAATTGCTGCGGGTAGAAAATAGAGAACTAATAATGTCACATCATTATCGACAACGTTAACAAGTTGACTGTCAGGTAAAATTGTCATATTTTACTGTCAGGCTTTGTAGGGTCTTCAGACCCTATAATTAAAGTATATTTCTAGGCCGCATAGGGTTCTAAGACTCATCGCAATATATAGATTTATATGAAAAAATACTTTGACCTCTGTGACCTCCTTGGAAGTTCTATAAAATGGTTTTGAGATATAATTTATCTTTATGAAATAAAATCTATTTTTATTTTAACGACTGTGTTTTCCGATCGAATTCATGAAAAATTATGACCTGTTAAACCAATGATTATAAATACTAATGGTATAACGATAACGTACAAAATGTTATTAATATTATTATATTCGTCATCAAAATATTTTTTTTTGGATTTTTGTGTACATATTATACTTATTAATATTTTATTTGTATTTAAAAACTATTATACAGCATACATTTGATTTGTTTTTTTTATATTAATATATTTGATTAAGTAACTTAAGTATCCTGTATTTTTATTTTATTTTTATGGTCACCCTAGTTAATACAAGTAATTGTAATCGACTTTGACTAAAACAAATACATTTCAGTCAAATTGTTTCACTATAATCATAGTTAAATAAATAAATGTATGTATCTATTATAATTTATCTTCCTGTATTGTAATTATTTTAAAAATTGTCTTCATCGTTATAGTCTTGAGAAAAAATATTAATAATATCATATTGGATGAAAGAAATAAGGACATTAACTTTTACCTCAAAAAATTACGTTTTCGTAAATAATTATACTGTGATTAAAAATTTACCATGGAATCATAAAATTAGTTATTACTTTTAATTACATTTAAATTGATTTAATAGTATACCTACTAATAGAAAAAAAATTATTAATATACGTTTAGTGTCTCTGACTTTTAGCGCTTCAACTAGTATGCATTAAGCTAATGTTAACATAACGGGAGGGGCATATAAAACATAAAGATATCTAATGTACCTATACATCTTCTGATTGGAAAACATAACATATTGAATATTATGTGTGTTAGACTTAACATATCATTGTTTTATTAATGGTCATAAGTCTATAAAAAATAAGGTCAGTGTGATACTATGACGTATGTTCATAATTATTGAATAAGATTAATAGTTACTGTATGAGTAATGAAATACATAGAGACTAAATGTAATTAGTATAAGTTTAGTAGTATATCAATATGCAAAGAAAATATCTAAAGAATTCAGTTAGTATACTGTAGTGATATTTTCGCTCATCATCGCACCATATACTAAATGTAATGATGACATAAATTGATAAATTATGATTGAAACTTAAGTATGTATATTATCGGTCAATAGCTACAGGCAAAAACTCGTAAATGCTATACAAAATTTAGATGTGTAGAAAATAAATACATTAATTTACTATGAAATGAAACATATTCAGTTTTAAAAATGATTAACTACATTTTAAATATTATTGCATTTTGAATAATAATATTAATAATATTGTATTAAATTTAAGATCCACCATTTCATTTCCTTTGCTGATATGTCACTATTATGACTTGAGACTAGGTGATTTTCACTGACACACATATAGTTTATTAGTCATAAAAACGTCATCTCGTTCATTACAATTCTATGATATTACAGTTAACCACAAACATCGTAAAATAATTTATGTATATATGTATTTTATGATAAAATATTAGATAAAATACGCTTTACTGTATAAAGGCGTATGTACATTGTACTCGTATATTTAAAAAATAAAGTTCTACACATTATATTAATCTGTAATAGTATAATGTATTAATGTAAATATGTATATATTTTAATAATTAATTATTATAATGTACATCTAAAAACTGTTTGTTTTACTAGGATCTAGAGTGTTTCAAAGATATCACTAAATTATTTTAATATTGTTAAAAACTTGATTTCGTGATATTTGTAATATTTGTATTATAAAATATACTAGCTATATGAATTTAATACTGTAATAGTACTCAATTAAAAATATAAACGAATCAAATCCTAATTTTTTGAATAGAATGAAAGCAGCGTGTATTTTAATATATTTAAAAAAGAGCCAAACGCCTAATGGTATTACGTAATATTATATACCAACAATAAAAAGCGAGACTAAAGCCTGGGGTCACCGATAATGCTCGAATTATGTCTACATAAAAATGCCATGAAAATATAATTGAAATTTAAAATTATGGATTGAAGTAAGAATCTTTATAGTTACGACTTGCAATAATTTTTAGTATAAATATTACTAATTTATTATTCGTTTATTTACTATGGAATATGAAAAACGAAAAAATTAGCGCAAGTGATTCTTATTTATTTTACTGTTTTATTTTCTATAAGGTAAAAAATATGGTCGTTAACTCTCAGTATTCTGATATGGATGGGTTGTTACATTTTTTGCCTTATGCTACACCAATGTAGTGTAAGATTGACGCAAAGTCCACTTAATAATATAAGTTCCACGATGTCAAATAGATGATAATCTTAGAGTTAATGGATTGAATAAAATGTATTATAATACGTTGTTTTATCTTACATAGGGAATCCTGAATAGCCATTTCATATTATTCCCGACAGTGTTAAAATGATTGAGAACGTTTTATCGAGTGAAATAGTCGTTTAACTTAATTTTTATCAATAGAGATATTAAATACGATATCACGGCATATCATTTTTAATATTGTCTATAATCGTAATTTGTGGATAATTCAAATTTAGTTGTTTGGTGAATAGCGGTAATTACGTAATGTGCGCAGTATTTGAAATGAAAAACTTCAAAAAACGGGTTATTAGAAAATGAAAAAGAACTTATCTTATTAAATAATTATAAATATTAATTTGTAAGATAATGCAGACGAATTGATGGAATAGAAATGTTTGAATTATAATGGTAGTGCCAATGTATTAATGAAAATGTATGAATCTTTAGAGAAAATTGTTTCTTCGTTATGAATTATTAGTTATTAATTAATTAGTATTATACTAAAATTTAATATCAAGTATACTATTTTTAATTGTCAATCAATGTGGCAACGTTGCATAAAAGTTGGTTGGTAAAAATTTTCTCAATTGTGTTATTAAAAAGACGTACTAAAGAGGTACTAAAGAGGTATATTAAAGAGGTACGGTCAGTAAGGACCATTCTCAATCCTGTTCTACAGATTTCCGGTCCCTAAATTCCTTAAAATTGTTTTGTTCAGAATAAATCCCTATATAATTTAATTTAACTATTATTAAAATCTTAGTAATTAAAATAATTTAAGAATCTAAAAAAAATGTGTTTCTAAATAATTAACGTGGTCAATGATTGTAAATCCAGAATATATTAGAAATTTCTATTAATTATATTGTTTTATTTTGTACAGCGTTAGAATTCGTTAGTTAAACACATTTTAAGAGCTCTATAAAATGATATATATATTGTATTATTTTTAATTGGCGTTTTCGTTCACGGTGATATGGTCTAGTACATTTTATTTTTCTAAAACGTTTATATTTTTTTAAAGAAAACATAATGTGATAGTTTCATTAATGTAAGGCATGTATTTTAAGTTTCCTATGTAGGCAATATTAATATGTACTAAAAAAAAAAAGTTACAATGGAATTTTGTAAAGTTATCTCCAACTACAAACGTTCAAGGTAAACCAGTAAGTACCGTAATTATTAAGGGAGTACTTTCAAAAAGGTATATAATCGTATTATTGATGTAAACGTATATTTAATAAAATCTCATCTGGACACCATGTTTAATACGAATTCCAAGTACGTAATTATGGGTGTACACATACCGCATACACGGTTGTACAGGTTTTCTTCTTGTTATAGTTCAACAGCACTGGTTAACATTGAAATTCGAGTGGAATGTGAAAAAGAAAATCGTAATGAAAACCAATCGGTCTAAGGTTTTGCATTTAAGTAATCGGAATACTATAGAAGAACGACGAAGAACAATTTTTATTGCGTAATATCAACGATTATAACTGTTAAACAGGTTATTACACGTTTAAATATTACGATTATAATGTTACAAGACGATTTTGCCAAAAATCACGGATTCCGTGAAACACGTACGCGCGGTAAGTCTTACGCCGAAATCCGACTTCTGTGCATCTCAGCGCCAGGACATCGGGTGACCAGAAAATCTAGATAATAGTTATATTCTAAGTACTACGCGATAGGGAATAGAATAATTATGCTTGACCCGAGGACGATGGTAAACCGTAAGAAACCAGTATCTGTACATGGTATTGCCGGTTTGACGATCGACGGACTATACCGTTAACGCGTAAGTTGACATAGGTAAAATGACATTTTATTTCGGCTGACGCGATGACCGTTCAGCTCGTGTTGAACGCGCGTGCGCGTCGGAGAGTTAACGTGTGCGTTCGGGCGTGTGTGCCGTGAAGCGGGCACGCGCGTGTACGCGCTCGAAACGCGTGCGCGCTCTCGGCACAGTGGGACGGTCGGAAAACAGGTTTACGGAACAAAAAAAAAAAAAAAACATAAATTATAAACTCTAGAAGACCGAAGAGAAGATAATATTGTTGTGGCGCGTGCAGTTCCAAGGAATCCGGAGTCCACCTCAACGCTTCTTGTACGTGGATTCCCGAGGCAGGAAAGCGTGTGCGCGCACGTAACAATAATAATCATCGTCGTCGTCATCGTCGGCATACATACGAGTATATCCCGTTGACCGGCGTCCACCACGGCAGCGGCGACCCACACTGCGCAACGCGATGCGGCCGCACAAACCGTCGAACGTGTACAGTTATCGTAATAACGTCCGCGTTGGCGGTGGTGAACACGTCGTGGCCGCGCGCGTTTAATAAATAATAACAATGAAAAAAATAACAATAATAACGACAACGATCAATTCATTTATGTGGGCCGAAGACGAGGACGGAATGCATGATTTGACGGTCTCTCGCCGACAATCGTAGACACGTACGGATGTACGATTGTCGTCGCGTATTCCGACCGCGAGTTGTCACGACGCGCGCGAGAGCGATTGCCGAATGAACGTGCTCGACACGATGACCCGGTAAGTAACACGTGGTGGTGAATCGCAATCGACCGCGCTTTGTCACGCTGACGAGTGCCGAAAAGCCGCCCAGGCGCCGCAGTCGTAGCGCACACGCTCGTCGTCCGCGCAACGGTCCGGCCGCAGTCACAGTCGACACGTATCCGTCGCACGCCCGACCCGTCTGCTCCGACCGCGCACCGTGTTCGGTTCCCATCCCGTGCCGAAAGCCGATCGTCCCCGACTTCCGATCCCGTCCTACGTGCTATGCGTGACGACGCCCGTCACGGCTAGTCTGGAAATGCGGTGGTGGCCCGTTTGCACGTGGTTGCTGCTGGCCGCGTCGTCGGCGGAACGCGCCGCGACGACCGCCGGCCTAGTCCGGGACGAAGGGCTGTTCCAGGGATTGCCAGCGACCATCGCCCGTGCGCTGAACCGCATACGCGGGTCAAAACGCGACTATCACTTGGTGGATGACTTTTGGTTGGAAGCGCTGCCCGAAAACACCCCCGGTTCCAACCCGAAGAGATCGGCATTCAAGTCTCCACCTAGCGGCCTCGTCGATCTGGCCGACAGCGTTTTTGACACCCATCGATTGTCATGGCACAATTCCCCGGTGCAGGGATTGGATTTCAACATGTACAAAGATCACACGCAGCAATACGTGTTCGATATGACCCGGCAGAAAGAAAATTCGCACCATACAGGTAAATATAATAACATATACGTAAAAAATAACGAAACATTATAAGGCGATAATAGTACAAAACACGTAATAGCGGTGTATTTATTATATGTTGTGCTCACCGTTTGTTTTATGACACAAACGATGACTTGTGGTATACATTTCTATTACATGTTTTGTACTTAAAATTTTTCGTTATTTTTTAAGAAAATGGAATCAATTTTCATGTATTGATTAATTCGTCTAAATTCGTTTTATTGATTACAATACGGTTATTAACCAAGAGAAAAACAGTATTTTTATGTAAATATTTAGCTTATCAAATATCTATTTTAACTGTACACATATAAGTACATTAAAAGTTTTTACAAATTTATATGAAATCAAATTATAAAATTTAAAAATTTGTTTTGTTGACTGTTTATTTCAAATTTAAATTAAACACATCTACATACGATAAATGTTGTATTTCAAATTCGATGAATACAAATAAATTATCTGTTGATGCGTATTTAAGATTTTTTTTAATGAAGGGATTTATAATATAAACCCCTCATTGTTCTTAGAGTAATTAATAAGTACATATTCAACCATCGTCGAAGGCATTCACTTGATAAATGAAAAATATATACAATATTTGCTCATAATAAAGATTATATTCAGGTAATATAATCTTTATTATGAGCAAATTTTGTTATCGGTAAGTTACATAAATCCAGTTTATCGGCAGAATGTTTGTTTAATTTTATCTCGCTAAACATGTATTTTGGACTGTATGACTGTGCGATGATCGGTTACTTTTACTATAATACTACAAATAATTATTTTTAAATTTAAACATGTAAAAGTTAATAAATAAAAATTGTAATTTATAAATATATTTATATTCTTTTTTATTGTCCCTAATGTAAATGAATAAACAAATAAATAAATATTAGTAAATGTATAAAGTATCTTGTATCTTATATGTAACTCAGCTACCTGTATTTTGTATCTAGTATTTTTAAAAATATCTAAGTATCTTGTATCTTGTATTTAAATACTTTTTTTTAGGTATCTTGCCTAGCCCTGTTGGTACTAAAGCTTACTTTTCACTCTATATTTTTACTATACCATGAATTGAAAATATACTAATGGTATAAATATAGCACACTTTTTCATAGAATTTTTTGATTGTCAATTTAAGATTTTCTTTTTTTAATCGAAGGATACTAGAAAAAGTTGATAATGATGTAATTTTACTTGTTAGTCAACCACGACATTAGGTTTATATGAGTCAATTATGAAAGTCACATGTAAGTAAACAAATCGATTTAAAAATACTCATAATATTTCATATTATTTTTTATATTTGTGTTATAAATTTGGTAAAGATCACACAGCTTTTATTTGTATAGTTCTATATAATATCCATTTGTTTATCTGAATATTAATTATACCATTGTCCTAGTTAAATATTTTTTTGAAAATATTCAATTTTATAATGAAAAATGGGAGACTTTAATAGTTGTGTATGTATTTGTTTTATATTCATACATAGTTATTAAATGAAACTGGTTTTTCACGTACTAATTTTCGGAATAGGTTTTTGTGGCGTGGGACTGTATTGGTCGACTTCTTTAAAATATTTAGCATTGTTCCGTGGTAAAACATATATTTAGTGAACTTATTAATTTTTTATGTTAAATATCAAGGAACACTAGATTTTAACTCTTGAGTAACGGTAAAATCGGTAACCATGAATTATAACCATTGTAAATAATTATAATTTGATGATTATTATGTTTGTCACCTTATGACGTAGTACTAATATTGTTGATAATTTTTATATCACAACATTTTAGATTTAAGTAGATTCGTATGTATATAATTTCTCAAATCCTTAATTGCACGGAACACACGTTGACTTTAGGTTTAACGAGAAAAAATTAAAACAAATAAAAAAAAAAATACTCTAGACGAATTTTCGTCGCAGTTTGATCGACCGCAATGTTAATTGATAAGTACCTCGTTTTTGTTTTAGTCACTCGAACTTTTGGTTTCCAACGCCGACGGCTGCAACTCATCATGTTACCGGTAATGTATAAATTGGGAGTGATCACCACACTGTTGACCGGTCTGACGGTGCTCAGCCTCAAAGGCGTGACTATTGGTGTGATACTGCTCATGTTGGCCATTACCAGCGTAGTGGCAAAACTGTCCAAGCACAATCATTACGCCGCCTCGTACGCGATGTCCCCGTGGTCCGGCCCCGATCCTTTCGACCGTTCCTCTGTGGTGCAGCACCAACAACTGCAGGACAAAAACATACACGTGCACGTGCACACCGCGCCCGGAGGTCCAACATTGCCGTCCGACGTGGTGTTGAGGAGCCAGCCACCGTACGACGGATACGACCGCACCGCGGACGACAACAACGGGCCCTATTGGAATCGCGCCAACGATGAATATTACGATGCTGCAATGAACCACTACTATCGCAATAACCATAGGTTTAGCGACAGAGACGTCACCGAGTCCACAACCGCCAGTGCCTATCACCGGTGGTTAGGGTAAATAATATGGTGTACGGTCGAGTCGTGATAACGCTGGCCCGAAAAGGGAGTGACTAACATTTGAGTTATTTAGAAAAATTTACGTTACGATACGTAACATTTTCTGTATTATTTTTCTTATCAAGGGACCTAAATAGTGATTGGAGTTTTAGAGATGGTATAGAGTTATCAAAATTCGAATTACCACGACCCCACTCTATTATACCTAAAGATGTTAAACCATGACAATTTGCTCCTTTTAATTTAATAATTTTACTTGTATACATATAAACAAATATTTATGATTATTGTACAGCAGAATATAATAGTTTGAGTTAGGTACTCTTAGATATTTTTGTTATGTTTTACAATAACACTTATAGTACGTTTTAAGCTTGACATTTTATCATAATTTATATTTGGTATATTTGGTTTATTAAATCAATATTCTAACAGAAAAACATAATGAAATATGTATTAATATATTTTATAATAATATAATGTTCACGGTTTGTGAACTTACACTTTTTCAGTAGTTTACTTGTATTTATAATTAATACGTAATGCGATCACTTTTTTCGTCAAAACATTTTATATTTATTTCCAACAATGATTCAATTTTAAGTACATATGTATCTGTATTTTTTTTTTAATGTAACTAAATATGTATTACCTAAAAAGTATATATATTATATCTGAGTTCTAATTTTGTGGTACGTAAGAGTTCCTAAATCTAAATTTACCTTGTTGTATTTTTAGGAACAAACTTGTGTAAATAAAGTTCATGCCAAATATTTTAAATGCCATAAAGAATTGAAAAATGTAATTTTTAATAAATATAGTTTTATAACAATAATAAGTTGCTTTATAACCTCTTGTTTATTCCAGTTTTATATATTGTTGTAACATAAAATCATTTGTAATTCATAAAAATAACAAATATCTTGGGATTTTTGAATAAAATAGTTGTTTAGCAATTATTTTAGTTAAACATTGTAAAATTATGTAGGTATTACTGGATTTAATATTACTTGAACACAAGCTACAAACTACTTACAATTTTAATTATAAATGAGAAAAGCATACTATTATTATAAAATATAATAAATTACTAGAATTTCAAAATTAGATAATTGATTAATTTTTGTTATTATATTGTTGTTACATAAAGAAAATTGGTTGAATTATGAACAAATATATGGTTGAAAAAATATTTAAAATACTTAAAATTATGCTTATAACATACTGATATGCCATCATATTGTCGTTTGCATTCAATTTGTTAATATCAAGTTTTCAAAAATAGATAAAAAAAAAACAATATAAAACAAAATTAAGTGAATAGTGTTTCTATCATCGAAAACATGACGTATCAAGTTAAATACAAATGATTATTGCAACATCTAGTGGTTGCGTCCATGTAGAAGCTACTGATTTAAACTATATGATAGCTAGGGCTCGAAAGTTATTGCTCTTGCATGTTTTTTTTTGCATCATAGGATTTATTGCTAAATGAGCTAGAAATTCATTCTAAGACACTACGAAAAACATATCAAAAGTTTATAGTGCATATTTTTGCATATTTAGTAATTTTTAGATTTTAGAGCATATTTCTTAATTTTTCAATTTTTTAGAGCATATTTTATAATTTTTGAAGATTCAGTATGAAAATTCAAAAATAAAAAAATAAAATATATTCATACTAAGAGAACTTTCGTGATATTCTTGTATCGAATTTTTTAAATTTTCATTCGACATTATAAACAATGTTTTCCCCTATCGATTAAATAATATATATGTATTTATAAATTATAACTATAGCTAGCTTTATCTAAAATAAAATATTATACAATTATCAAATAGGAACAGCTGCTATCGAAATACGATGACTTTCTATAAATATTTTTCTAGGAAAATAAGTCAATGATTATTGAACATTCTTCCAGGGAATTTTTTTTTATTTAAGAAACATTTTTAATGCTTATTTATTATTATTATTTTTTTTTAAATTATGATTTAAAATTACAAATCAGAATTATTTTTATTACTTTGCTTTTTCTATACTTATAATTTTATAAAATATTTGTGCAAACGAACATTTTGTGTACAAAAGTAAAATATAAGTGCATATTTTTAGAGCATAGCATATTTGTAGTTTTTTAAGCGCATAAGTGCATGCATATTTAGTACTTTTTAAGTGCATTAAGTTCCGAACTCTAATGATAGCGTATCTGCAGTGTCCGGAATCTAAAATGAGAACTCGTTTAGTTAAGAACTCGTTCTCATTCATATTAATTCTTTTTAAATTTGATACGTTCACGTCCGAGTTCTATGAAAAAATAAACGCATATTCATTGGGCCGTTGATTAAAATTTTTTTGTTTTATATTTATGAATCGCCTATCATTCTGTTTATGCGAAACCTTTAGAAAATGTATTCGGTATATTTAATTTTATATTTAAAACCTATACTTAAACATACTATAATCAATATTTATTATTTAAAAATATATTTTTAAAATGCTAAATAATTTTGAACACCGTAAAAATCGTATAATTCAATAAAAATATAAACGTAGTTCACGTTCACGTTCTATTCGAAAAAAGCAAGGGTTATCCACAAAATATGAACGTGAACGCTTGAACGTGCATTCACAAACAATGTTCTTTCCAAACACTGCGTATCTGTATATTATAAAATCAATAGTAGTATCTTAAGTCCACATACGAATCCTCTATATTCATTTAATTTTCAATAAATACAATACATAGGAAAAATTATTTTATAAATAATAGAAAATACGTTTACATAATCAATAGTAAGAAATCATAATATAGGTAACTACATTGTTCTGTTTAAGATTTAGAAAGTAACAACAATATATTATTGAGTGTATTTTTCGCAATTGGTAAAAGAATGCATTAAAGATTATAGGTTACATATATAGTAAAATCATAGAGCTAATGACATCTGTTGAAAGTAGTTAAATTGAATGTCAATAATATTGTTGATTATTGTATTGTAGCATCGATACATTGTATCAATAATTTATTTCATTAATTGTAAATTAGAAAAAAACAATATAACTTGTCTGTTTGCCTATTATTTATTATGTTATAAACTTTTCCATTTGATATCACTTTTATAATTATTTTGTTATTATGACTTAAACTGATTATCTGATTATATTTCAAACATCATCGTTGTAATTATCGTTGAAAATATAATTCAAACGTTTATAATAATAAATGTCACATGTTAAATAAAAACAAATTCAAAATAATATAGATAAAAATGAAGTCGTTATTTTCAGATAACACTATGAAACTCATCAGTAAATATTCTAGTAAATGTATTCTTCACTGTTTAATGATTTAATGGTCACATAACAAAAGCTTTTTTTTTAATGCATAATAAAATATAAATATAATATTTTTAATTACTAACGCACACAATAATATTTTCGTTTTAGATTCTGAATAAATGAAGCGAAAGTAATATTAGTTGATTAAATAATGATGTTTTCATTCTTTTTATAGTCTTTGATCAAACTTTTAATTAGTTATACCAAAAATCTAATGAAATATTTAGTTAAATAATAATTTAGACCTAAGAAATACTTCATAAATATAATTCTCTTATGTGTAGGAAAAACTGAATAAATGTATATCTAAGTAATGCAACTTTGTCAAGTTAATAATAGTAATAATAATTACTATAATTTATATAAATAATAATGATAAAATAAAAGTAATTTTATGTTTTTATGACCTGAAAAGATTTGCTTTTATGAGAATACAAAATTAACAATCAACAGTAGTAATACAATAATAGGCATTAATACGTTATTAATTCCTTTAAAATAATATTTTATTGTAAGGTATAATTAAACTTTCATGTATAACTTTAATTTGTTAATAATGATTTACCAATTATCTTAAAAATATAAATTATGTTAATTTATTCTAAAATTTTTTACTTATTGTATATTAAATATTTTCATATCATTTGGGTAGGGGGTTTTTTGCTATGTGCAACTATGTCACTGGCTTTCGTATAACTGGCACATTCATGTGCGTGTGCATGACAGTTATGATTAAGGATAACCATAATTATAATCATATTATTTGCGATTATCTATCTGTTTTCTATTCTTTATTCAAATATAAGTATATTTATTAATTTTGTCAATAATAAATCATTTATTTTCTTTTTATTAGATTATTTACTGTACTTCAATACATAATTATATAAATACATTTTAAAATTTATTTGTGTAGCAAATATATATTTCAACAAAACTACAAAATTACTGAAAAAATTGTCAAATAACATTTGTTTATCAATTTGTACTTTAGTTTGATAAATTATACTAAAAAAGTTTAAAAATATATTCAATGTTTTCTTATAACTATATATTATATATATAATATTGTACACTGATAATTATGTGGTATATATTCAAAGTGTAAAATATATATACAATGACAAGTATAATAAATTAGGTAATAAATTTATTAAGGCACATTAAAATATCATTTAAATCTAATGCCTACTTAGTTAAACTTATTTTTATACTTAAATAATTTAATACTGTAAAATGCTTAGTCAAAGATATAAAAATATAATAATAGTAAGAGTAAGAGTAGAGTCTTGATGATCCGGACTTGATGGGACCGGGCTCTAACCAGATTATCAAAAATCCAGATTAATCAGAATGTTATTTAAAATAGTTATAAAATGAGGTTCATATAGGTAAAAAAAAATGTGTCTAATAAAAATGACTGACAGTCTCAATACTATATTATGTATTTTTTAATTTTTCAATGCTAACATATATAAATATTGTACATACGTGTAGAATTTAAATTACGGTATACTTGTATATGAAATATAGAATTTTTTTTTTTTTTACGTCGGTTCGTATTAACCGGATGTTCAGATTAACGATGCCCGGATAAGCAAGACTCTACTATATTTATAATACAGGTAATGTACCTTACACGATAAATATACCTTAACTTATATGTAATACAAAATTTATGATTTTGTTCGTAAATAGTCTTATGTTGCTGCCGCACTACAACAGTTATGTGCTAAGAGCATTTCGTCAAAAATTAAAAGGGTTGTTCATCGCGTTATAACTGTAGATATTAGCGACCATTGAATAATGCTCCGAATTCCGGAACACCAGTGTAGCCGTAGTTTTGAGCCATGAGTGCCTAAAACACGAATTTAAAATTACAACTGATAGGATAACGTACAGAAAATCTCGAGACAAAAAAAATCAATATTTTCAAACACATATTATTAATATGATTTAGTCGTATACAGAGGTGGAACTAGGAATTTTCACGTCCGGGGAAAATGTAAAATTACGCCCTATCATAGACCAATAATCAAATACTCTTCTTGAGAATTTTTTTCTAATAATTAATGTATAATCTTACTTAATGAGTTTTAACCTAATATCAGTATTTAACATAGTTAAAAATATCAAATTAGTTGTTAATAATTACAAAAATTACACCCTCTAAAATTTTACGTCCGAGAATGAATCCCCGTCTTCCACTCCCTAGTTCCACCCCGGCTCATATATTACTAATTATATTTTAATTACCCCGGACGAGCCACTGATCGAAGTACTGTGTGCATTTTGTTGCCAACTGCGGAACATGTTGAAAGCGATCAACAGGATGGCGAACTTGCCAACTGCCATTGCTTTCATGGCCAACAGTTTTAAATTCATTATGAAGAACGGTATGATCATTGTTTGGATGACGAACGGTATCAAAAGAAGAGGCAGTAGCTTGTCTTTAAACGTTTGTTTTTTCTTCTTGTGTTTACCCAGAGGCTTCTTCTTTTTGGTGTTTTTAACAGGTTGGTGTCCATGACCCTGCTTGCCGGCGTCTACTGCACAATACATAATGACAAACAAAACGGTTTAACAATCGGCAAACAAGTCGAAGCATCATGACAATAAGCAAACACACACACACACACACACACACACACACACACACACACACACACACACACATATATTCATATTATTTATGCGCGATAAGGTCCAACGTGTTTATGTGTACGAGGACGTACACTCAACGAACGCACGATCGGATGCACATACGCAGCACGTGCCCAAAAGTACCAGAAGTGTACGATCTTTCGGAGACAATCGCGCGCGCGCGTTGAACTGCCAACGCACGCACGGATCACGCGGCGTCCTGCAGTCCTCTGTCGGGGCATAGGGACCGTCATTGACATTGATTTGTTTACCTGAAGGCATGACGGCGACGTCCTTGATCGCGTCGACGTTATGGCCGGCCTGGACGCTAGTGTCGAGCGGCACACCGTCCACGAGGTCTCGCGACGACAACAGTGGTTGGATCGCGACCGTTGACGCATCGGCTGGTTCGAGGGCCGGCGGCACGGCGCTGGAGATAGCATGGGCCGCGGTGACGCACGCGACCAGTAGGGTCAGACGGGCAGGAAACATTTTCGCGATACGGCCGCGGACGTAAGCTTACGGGACCGGGGTGCCGGATGGAGGAAAACACTGCGAACGTGGGCAAGTGACAGCCTATCGTTCTCCGGGACCAGTGCTAAGCGTGTACGCGACGCCTGTCCGCTGCTGTGCACGTTCGAACGCGGTGGACGGTCGACGCGAATGCCCTGTGAACGCGTACACTGGCGCGTATATAAAACACGAGAGCGGAGGATTAACAGCAACAACCGACGGGACGACGCGGCGCGGAGGAGAGCGACCCGGTTGACCGGCCGTGGCCGTGGTACCGCGGGCGCAGCGAGGGGGACCTTGACCGAATACTTTCACGTGATCGTGCGGTGGTAAGTGGGTTATTCGGCTTGATGCACGCACACGCGCACGTCCCGGCAACGTTTAATCCAGACGCGTATTAAGCGTTCGGCGATGTACGACGGTTAGACATCCGGTTGTCGTGGTTGATACCATACGTAGGTATTTGTATCGAGGAGAAGAAGTGACGGCGGTACGTGCCGATCGCGCGCGCTCTGTAGGATCTCCAGGAAAAACTGGTCGTGATTTTGAATACGTGTATTATGTGTCACCGACATCGCTAAGGATGACGACGCTAAGGTTCCCAAGCCCGATTTCAAATGTATTTTCACGTCGGGCACGCACTCGTATAAGTATTCCGAAAATATAAGTACTTTCGTCCGTACGTCTGACCGTTTGTTTTTAATGTTATTTCATACACAAACAATATTTGAGAAAATAATCATCAGAAAATCATGAACAATCCGTTTGTCTGCAGACTTTTACCGCAGTGTTGTACATTATTGACATTACAAAACGATAGGATACGAAATCGATGGTTTAGCCATTATGTTGTGTATTATCCATGTGCGTGTGTATCTAAAACGGTTGAAACAATTTAAATGAAACAAATAATAATAGATAAAATTAAGAAACAAAGTGATGGTTTCCGAAAAAACTCGAATTATAAAAGTATAAACTTATTAGGAACACGAGTCGCTCGAAGTAAAACTTTAGTTACATACGCATAGGTAATTCGATATCCATTTTTATTATTCATCGCTGGGCTCTGTAAGTTTTGTAATATATTTAGACGTATTCGGTATAAAGAATAATACTTTTTACTAATAATTTTTCCGACGAGAATAATAAGGAAATATTTATTAGATCAACCATGTTGCATTATAGATTTTTTAACTTGACTATTTTAAATATAAAGAAGGTTTATCGGGGAACAATTTACAGTATTTATAAAATTGTAGTGATCGTATTCTAAAAATGTTTGTTTTCAAAATAACATATAGACATTAAATTATACACATTATATTGTTTAATAAATATTAGAGCGTAATATTTCTCTATTACACGTTTTAGTAATTCGAGCGCATAGATGTGATTTGATTGTAATTTGCGAAGCGCCCTACAACTCCCAAGACCTCATTTAAAATGTTGATTTGATAGAGTTCTAGCCTCTAACGTGCAGACCTAGTTGTTATGGATATACACACTACAGTAAGTACTCGTATATAGCGTGCACCTATTTAACGACGGACATTATTGGTAGTATCGACAATGTTATTCATGCGGTTGCCGTTCGTTGCCAATCCCCTACTTCTCACAACACACACACACACACACACACACACACATATATATATATATATATATATATATACAGGTATGTATAACAGTGACGTTGGATTAGTACGAAATCGTTGAGTCTATCATATTACTATACACGGATGCCTCCTACCTATAGGTTATATTTGCCACGGGCTGTGATTACAAAACACGGATCGCGACGTGCAGCAATACATCATGACGACAACATATACGTGCACCGTGAATGTATAGGTTCTATGTACAGGTATACTATAGGATATGTATTGCACACGTTTTGCGTACGAGTTCAGAGAAAGTGTACTCGTATTTTTACAAATCCGTTTGCGATTGATTCCTAAACACGTATGAGTATTCGAGTTTTTTCCGAACCATGCATGGATTTCAACGTGCGACTAATGGTTCCCATAAGGTGTCGCGTCATTTGGTCGCGGTAAAATGAGCACGCGTTAGGTAATTTGGTCGTCAGCATTTCAATCGCGGCTCATAAATAGCGTTAGCTATTTGAGCGCGATAACAATATTACGCTGATACCTACTGAAACTGCAATTTCATAGTGTTGATTAATCAGTTCGCTTCTGCTATTTGGAATTTAACGTGTGTGCTGAATATATTATTAAATTAATTTAAGTAAATTGTATTGATGATTTAATTAATATTATGGCGTTAATATATGTGTTAAGTCAAAAAGGTAAACATTTTATACATCGAAAATAAAAGACTATTAATGAAAAAATTATTTTTAAAAAATAATATATAATTGCCGTATATAAAATATAATAGATATAATTGCCGTGGTCGTGTTCACACCAAAGAGGAAAGTGTCATTAAATACATTGATCATACCCATGTACTAGATAGATAATGATAGATTTTTTATATTAATTTTATTCTACTGATCAGTGATTATATATTTACACTAATTTTTGTTGATTTAAAATGATGGGTCTTTGACTAGATTGTATTAAAATTGTATTCTTATATTTTACTTCACGCTCTTTTTGCTTATGCGATTAAGTTGCTCGCGACCAAATGACTTCGATCTTATGACGCGCGCTCATTTCACGGCAATCAAATGCCGTGAAACTGGTTCATAATACATAGCATCTTATTGTTCCCTGAAGTAGTTTAGTGTTTTTTTTTTAGACTAGAAGTTTTTTAAAAGTATATTGTATAATCATTTATTTAGTCTTATGAATTATAGGTAATTAGAATGATTAATGTTTTTTACAGCCCTGATAATACCAATTGAAAATTGAATACAAGAAATATTATGTAACACAAAAATATAGTTGTATAAATCCACCGGTTAAAAATACAAAAAAAAAAAAACTTTTACAACCTACTGTAAACTTTCCTGAATCTATTGGTTGATGGTAAACTTTCTCATGTCAAATATATGTTTAACTAGAGATCATAATATATTGGTATTAAAACTCTCCTTGGACTTTTTTTTATAGGAGTTTCTTTGGTAGGTTGTACTAGTTGTAGATAGATACTCTTATATAACTGCTATTCTTTACATAACATTATAAAATGATATAATAATACATTTATATTATAATTTAACAAGCTCTATATTAAAATACACATGTCTGTTATAGAAATATTAATATAAATTACAAATATTTTTACATCTCTAGTAAATGGCGGTGATATTTTATTTTTTATTTATTTGCAATCGATCTGAGTTTTAGTGAAGGTTAGAACATTAAATCTGTCACTGATTTGGTCCTATAACACATTAATAGTAAATAAGTATGTTAACTATAACCATTTATCAATTACTACAATCTACAACCTATTACTATTTTTAATAGTTTATGAGTAGTACAAACATAACGATTGTACTTTTTACGACTTTTATTGTTATATACGAATATAAATTTAATAATAACTTTGTGTATGTAATATCAACATATATAATAATGTACAATGCGATGAAGGAAACTTAAGTATTATATTTCATAATGATCAAATATAAACTATAATTTAATACCCTATAATACTTAGAATAAAAAGTCGTATTGATCAATAATGTTTGATTAATTACATAAATCTATATTCAAATATAAAAAATGTGATTTCAATATTACGTTAGAATTTTCCATTGTGTTATGGTCAATTATGTTGGCCATGACCGTTAGTTCCTAATCTAGGGAAAATTTAAATAGTTTAGAAAATTAGTCGGGAGAATTTACAAACGACCTTCAAATAAACCTGATCTTGACTCGGGAAAGTTTATTAAATATTTGAGAGAGTTAACTATACCAACCAAAGTAACTAAAGAAAACTACTGTAGAACCACGATTAACTCGTTTAAAAAAAATCTATACTAAAAAAAATAATTTAATAACCTTTATAATACGTTTTATAAATTGTAATTACCTAAATATGTGCAAAAAGAATTCCTTCTTATCTAAAAAGAGTTATTTTTTCCCTTCGAATCCAATATGTGTCACTCACATTTATAATGTTTAGCAACGACTTAAATATATAGTTATAATTTCGATTTCTTATACAATACTTTACTTTAAATGAATTTTCATAACAGATAAATAGATATTGTTGATTCACTGAGTGAAGCGGTGTAAGTGTAATCGTTCGAATAATCATTTTGAATACTTATTCGAAATTGTAGAATGTGTTCAGACGGGTTACATACATTAACATTTATAAAATATATATGTATACACTACATACATACATATTTATCATTTAACGATGTCTAATGCTAAGTGCATGAGTCACACAACTTAAATGTACCTACCTCAGAATTTTTATATAATAGGCATAAGCTACTTCTTACCTATATCATCGGAATATTTTTCTTTAAATTGTATACCAAAGAAAATTTGTTGAATTAAATAATGACTTACGCAATTCATACATATAAAAAAATAAAATATTAGACTTTAAATTACAATTACCTAATAATAATAATAATTATAGTGTCCATAATTTTTAAACTAAAATATAGCTGAGTGATATGTTAAAAATTATACAAGTGTACAAATAAATAATTATTTCTTAATCGCTCAGAACAGAAAACACATTGTTATGTTGTCTTTTCATTTAACTCACTTAAATAGATACCTACATTATAAAAAATTGTTTTATTATGTTGTGTAAACAATATACAGTGAAACTTTCTTATAACGAACTTCCAATTTAAGAAATGATTTAAGAATTATGACCTTCATTGTTAAATATACGTACATTTATCACCAAATAACGAATCTGGTATTTTTATATAAAAAAATAATTATTCGATAAAAATCGGGTTTTGTAAATGCTGTCACTATCAAATTTTAAACATTGTTATACAACTGTACATGTACATTTTATCCGGTAAAAATAAGACACCAAAGGTAGGCAAACTGATTAATTTTACTGCAGTACTTCAGTTCCATATTGATGCAAATAGGTATACATACGAATTTTCTCTTGTTTTCTCTTCGTCCTTACAAAAAAAAATTTCGAAATGTAAATGTTTATCTATCGCCGATAAATTTTAAATTTTAAACGAAGCCGAGAAAGGTTTAAAAAAAAAGTTTTTGCCGAAAAATATAGTATTCCAACAATTTCTTTATCAACCATTTTGAAAAACCACGAAAATATAACTATGCAAATTCATAATTCTTCTCTCCTCAGCACAGGAAAACGAATGAAAATGTGTGTTTATGAGGAAGTTGACAACGTTGTTCTTAAATGAATGATTTGTATACGAAATAACAATGTGCCTATATCAAGTTTGTTAATCAAAGAAAAATCAATTTATTTTGCTCAGAAATTTGATTTTATAGATTTTCGTGCAAGTTCTAGATGATTAGATTAATTTAAATCGAGACATAATATTGTGATATATAAGTTATATAAGTTAATATAAGTTATTTGTGATGAAAGTGCTGATGTTCAAGAAAATGACTGTGATATATGGAAATTAAATGTTTTACCAACATTGATTAAAAAATTCGTTACAAAACGTTAACTTTTTAAAATGATAAAATGTTTCGGTGGTAAGCATAGTAAAGAGCGAGTGACTGTGATGGTTTGTTCTAAAATAACTGAAACAGAAAAACAAAAACTTCTAATCATTGGAAAAAGCAAAAATCAAAGGTGTTTCAAAGGCATAAAATCACTTGAAACAAAATACGATTTTAATAAAAAAAAGCGTGAATGACATCAGAAATTTTTGAAAAGTGGTTACTCGATATTGATCAAAAAATGAGTCAAGATTACAAAAAATAATTTTATTTGTGAATAATTTGTGTGCTGTTCATCCTGGTACTTTATCTACTAAGTTAAAATCTGTAACACTTGCATATTTTCCGCCCAATGCAATAAGTAAGCTACAACCAATGGACCAAGGAATAATAAATAATCTTGAAGTGTATTATTGAAAACGTATTTTGAACAAAGTTATTTCAAATCTTGAACAGAAAACAACAATTATTCTACGAGATTGTATTTCGGAGGTATCGAAAGTTTGAAGTAATGATGTAACGTCCGAAACCATATAACAATGTTTCCCCGTGTTTCTGAATTAAAAAATGAAATTATTGAAACCCATGTAGAAATACCAGATGTACAACGAGAATGGGAGTTAGTTCACTGCGTTACTTTACAAGATTATTTGAAAATTAATGAAGATATTGCCGTATATGAATCACATACTAAAGAAAGTATTGTAGAAGTGGTTACAAAAAAAGAAAATCCTGATGAATTTGAAGAAGACGAAGAGGAACATACAAAAGAACAATCCAAATTCACAGAAGAAGATATATTAAAAGATTTATTTGTGGTAAGAAATGGTTTTAAACAACAAGCAAATGTTCCCGATAAAATTTTTTTAAAACTTAATGATATAGAAACTTTTTACGAAAAATGTACAATTTATAAAAATAATAAGCAAACAAAACTCATTGATTATTTCTTTTAAATTACATTTTAGGTTAAAAATTACATTAAACTGTATTATGATTTTTATTTTTTTTTTACAATTCTCACTAATTATTATTTTTAAATTATAAGATTAAAAACTAAATTCAACTGTAATATGATATTTGATATTGTTTTTACATAACACATACAACATAAAAGTATAAGTATACATAAATACATACATACATAATTCAATTTAAAAATATACGTAATTCTATTTAACGAATTCCTCCATACTACGAATTTTTGTTGTTGCTTATTCGACTTCATTATATGGAAGTTTCACTGTAATTACACTGTAATTAACAGAGCACTAATTGGTCAAATTTAGATAAGCGTTATTATAGGCGGTGTTAGTTGCATTGAAATTAATTTTTTAAAGAATAGATAAACTATTATAACGATGCACTTGTCATTTGAGAGAAATGCGCAAAAATATATGCGATTTTATTTTTTTATTTTATTTTATTTTATCGTTTTCAATAGGTAAATCGATGGACGGAATGTGACGACGGCTTTGTACGATAAGGAACATGGTTGGGAGAACTACCGAGGACATGCCTTTCTAACGATTTCGCGGAGGTATGTCGCCGTGAGCAAACACATTACGTTCGCGAATAATAATAATAATATTTTGTGATAATTTCGTGTTATCATTTATTCGGTTTACCGACCAATGGACGGTTGCAATGGTGGATATCAGTGTTGCGATAGATTACAAACACCACGAACAGATAACGCATTAGTTATTTTAATTGTTCGTACGTCGTTTTATTTTTATTTTTAATCGCTCTATTAGGTTTTTTTAACCGCCAGTATTCGGTTGAAGTGCATAAAATATTCCGGTGATAAAGCGACGCTCTTCGGAATTTTTGACTCCGCGTAAATGTACTGATTTCTATCCATACTTTTCTGATAATTACGACGTTGTTCAATCTACTACTACTTATGCATAGTAGTACCATTCAACAGGTTTTTAAGTGAGTATCGTTTGTTCAATCGACATGTGTGTTCTTAGAATGTTAATGGCAAAAAAAAAAAGAGCACCTTTTTATCAAAACACAATCGTCTTTGACGGTGATAAACATTTGGTAACGCTTAATGGTTTTTTATTGGACAATTGTGCTGTAATATTGAGGAAAAAAAATTCCTTTAAGATTTTATACTCAATGTAACTCTGAACTTTTGATATTTTAATTATTTTAAAATTCCATTGTAAATACATATTTTTTAGTTTTTGTCTGTTTTAGATGTTGAAAGTAATTAATAGTCAACAAAATAAACATGTCTCGCGGAGAAAAAACCAAACCAACGGCTGGTTTTGTAAGTATTTATTCTATTAATATTTCTATAATCCTCATAATTTTTTTATTAAAGTATATTTACTGGATGTATATATAAATATCTAACTAGTTCCTTAATAATATACCTACCTACTAAATAATTTTTGCATTCATGTTATTTGTGTTGTGTTTATTGTTATATGGTATATATGTATGATCATACTATAAGAAATAATTTATTTATGTTTTGACAGCTGGATACATTGTTTGGACGGCCAAAAAAATATGGGTCGACGGCATCATCCCCAATGATGAGTGGTATCGGTGGAAATGGTATCTACAGCAGTGGCAGTGGAAGTGCATATGGTTCAGGCAATCGCACTTTGCTACGCATCAACTCAGATAATGATATTTCATCTGGATCAGGCAGTCACAATGATGCTGATGAATGTGAAATGTTTGTTGAACATTTAGATGTAGAAGCACTCAATGATAAATTTGAAGAAATGCTGGTAAATAAAAATATATTTTTAATATTTTTTTTTTATATGTACAAAATGATTAATGTCTTTCATTAGTTTAAAATTTTGTTAATGTATTGAATAATTAACATTTATTAATAGAACAAATACATAATTAAACTTTTTATAACTAGTTATTTTATATCTCAATGAGTTTTAATTGAAAAAGTTTTTTGTGTTTGCTTTTAAATTAAAGTAGATCTTAAATTTTCTTTTTATCGAGTAGACGACCCCCACAAAAAAAAAAAAAAAACTTAGTATGTTTTAATATAATAACATTATTAATAATTTTATTATAAAAAATTGTATCATATACTTTAACGCAATACTACCAAAATTATTTCTGATAAATATAATTATATTTTGATAACTAAGATATTTTTCTTGTTATTAGTTTATGAACAACAATCAATCAAAAATATTTTACGACTCAATGTTGAGTCATGACCCATAGGGTGGAAAGCACTAAGTTAATATATAGAATACTTAAATTAGTATAATAATCCCTCGTTATTCGTGGTTGGGTCCACAATAACATATTATTAATGTGATTGCGATTGCGGTAACGTTTTACTGTTATTACACGAACAATGTAGAAATTTATTTTTGACAATAATTGTAGATAATTGTTGTTATATCGCTATAGGTATAACACATATACATTATACTATTGCAGATAAACCACCAAAAGTTACCTAAACATGCACGATTAATAATCGTTAATTGCTCAATTATTAATTGACGTTTAAAATTAAAAAAAAATTAAACCTAACCTCCCTTTTTACATTGATTTATGGTCTCGTCATCCGCGGATAACAGGTTTGCTGGAATGTAACTTTTGAGGATAACAAGGGATTACTATATATATTTTATTGTATTAATTATATGACTAGATATTTTAACATAAAAAAAATTCAAACAATATAACCATACACTTTTGTGTAACATGTTTAATACCATAATACCTCAATTCAATCAGTGGATCTTTATAATTTTGAGGTCAATTTTACTTACAAATCTATAGCTAATTTTAAATTTCATAAAAATAATTTCAAAATAAAGTAGATTTACTATGAGTCAATTATTACATTAAAATTGTATGTATCTAAATTTATGTATAATTTAGGATGATATGAATTTAACTGAAGAGAAAAAAACACCACTGAGAGAGCAAACAGTAGTAAATAAAAAAAAGATGTTAATGATGCATTATAAAAAATCAAGCAATGTAAGATTTTGTATTTTCTTACTATGTAATTATTTATATTGTCATATCTTAATAATCATATCAATTTATAGGAAGGAAATAAAAATAAAGTTTGTGATAAACCTACAGAATATATTCAGTACTTATCACAGCAAGATTTAAGTGCTAATAAGACATACAATTGTGTAGTTTCATTACGTATTGCCTTAACTAATCATCCACTAAGCTGGGTCAGTGAATTTGGTACTGAAGGATTACGCCAAGTATTATCTGTTCTTAATGAATGCTATCGCAAGTAATTACATTTATGTTAAATATTATATACTAATTAAATTTAACCTACTGGAAGTAATTTTTAATAATTGTATCTTAGGTAAACTTTTTAATTATTATTTTAAAATAATGATCAATTATCATTAAGAAATTAATCTTAAATGATTCTCTGCAAAATGTTAGAAAAATTTGAGTTTTTAATTTTAGATTTTTTTTTAAAAATGTTGATCAATTAAAATAAAATAAGTACATTGTTACTTAAAAGTAAAACTTATATTTAATTTATTACTCTTGATTTGAGGCAAATAATATTTTTAAAATGGTATATTGTTATAAAATTTATTTTACAAGAAAAAAAACAAGTATAAAATACAGAATAAATAAATAAATAAATTTATGGATATTAAGAATGTTTTATGTCTGTAATTGTGAAACTATTACTTGCCTCGCTCCATCCACAATCAAAAGTTGTAGGAAGTATAAAAATATTATAACTGATTAATAACCAATTTATGTTTAAAAGCCTACTAAATGTTCCTACAGTATTATAATTTTTGGTCAAATTATGAATTTGTATAGTTTTAGGATATGAGAGTATTCAATTTGTGATTACTTGTCAGTTACGAGATATTATTTAAACCAGACCTTATATTTAAACATATTTTAATTTTATTATATATTTTAAATATATTTTAGAAACTCTGTTACAGTATTAAATAACATTCATTATTACTTGATATTATTAAATGATTTAAATACTTATTTATTATATTTTAGTGATGGAAAAAATGCTCAATATGCTCGTATACAATATGAATGTATTAGAAGTTTAAAGGCAATCATGAACAGCACTGTAGGCTTAAAACAAATGTTTGGTCATAAAGAAGCCTTGACTGTCATTGCTCGTTCATTAGATATTAATAAACCTGCTGTTATGCTTGAAGCTGTGAAAGTTTTAGCAGCTGTTAGTCTAATACCCCCAGATGGTCATGAAAAAGCTCTTGAAGCTATAACTATGAGTGCTGATATTGAAAATCGTTGTAGATTCTTACCTATAGTACAGGGGCTAAAAAGTATTGGAAATGAGGCGTTAAGAGTAAGTAAATAACTAAATTTAATTTATTTATATGTGTAAAATATCGGTTATTAATTTAAAATATTGGTTTACTTAAATATTTAACATTTAACATAGTTTATATACATATTTTTTATAAAATAAATTATATAAATTATATTAGGTGGCTTGCTTGCAATTTATTAATGCCATAGTATCTACTCCAGAAGATTTAGAATTCCGTGCTCATTTACGAAATGAAATCATGCGTGCTGGCATGTATGATGTTATTGATGTAAGAAATAATTTACAATATATTTTTATTGTATAGCAATAACAAATAATATATTTTCTAAATTTCAGAGTTTAGAAACAGATTGTAGTGATGATCTTAGCAGACAATTAAACATATTTAATGCCCATAAGGAGGATGATTATGAAGAATTAGTTCAACGGTTTGATAATGTACGTATGGATTTTGATGATGTTGGAGAATGTTTTGATGTCATAAAAAATATTGTTGCTGATACACCTGCAGAACCTTACCTTTTATCTATACTTCAACATTTCCTATTTATTAAAGATGATGTGTCCATAAGGTATAGACTATATATTAACTATAATGAATGCTGTTATGTTACAACATTTGTTAGTGTAATATTAATATAATTTTAATTTTTGTTATAAATTAGCGTGTGTTATGTATTCTGTACATAAACATTTTGTATATAAGTAATTCACAAATAACTTGTTTATTTTTATTGAAGGCCTGCTTTTTACAAACTCATAGAAGAATGTGTTTCTCAAATTGTATTACATCGTAATGGATGCGATCCTGATTTTAGAGCTACTAAACGTTTTCAATTAGATGTTCAACCTTTAATTGATACTGTTGTTGGTAAGTATTATTTGATTATAATTTTGTTATAATTTAATACATTTGTTTATTTTTTCAAATAATTTTTTAAAAAAAAGAAAGGTGAAGGAGAAGAAAGGAAGAAAGAAATAATTTTCTTCATTCATACACTGAATGAAATTCATGAATTAAAACTATTTATTTATTGTTTACAGAAAAATCTAAAGCTGAGGAAGATAGACGAGTTGAAGAATTAAAAGATAAATTAGAAGATGCTGTAGCTACTCGCCAGGAAGCAGAAGCCAAATTAATTCAAGCTGAAACTACAATAAAAGAACTTATGCTTAACTCATCAATGGAAAGTGTAAGTACATTTGTTTGAATTAAGACAAGTAATTAAATATATTTTAATATCATACAATGGATTTTAAAAATATTTACTATTAATTACTTCATTGTTATGTATATGCATTTTTTAATGTTTTTATATTGATTTAATTTTTTTAATAAATCAGAAAGGAAAATTGGGATTAAAGAAGCAACATGATGGGAATGCTGGAGGTCCACCACCACCACCACCACCACCTCCACCTCCGATGCCTGGTTCAATAGGTCCACCTCCACCACCACCACCTCCCATGCCGGGTTCAATAGGTCCACCGCCACCACCACCTATGCCTGGATTTGGTCCTCCTCCTCCTCCTCCATTACCAAACATGATAGGTGGTGCTCCTCGTCCACCACCACCCCTTGGTAATTTAGGAGCTCAATTACCTCCAGGTCTTAAACCTAAGAAACAATGGCATGTAGAGGGTATTAAAAGAGCAAATTGGAAGAGTGTAAGAAATTTAAAATAATTTTTAGTTAACATACTCATAAGTCTATGCAGCGATATTATTATTTTTATTTATGAACTATAATTTTTCAAATTAATATTTACTACAGTATAATTGTACAATTATACTAATTTATAAAATATATTATCTTGTCTTTAATTTAATATATCTGTGTTAATTGTTTTTTAAGTAAAATTATGAAAACTGTTTATTAAAATTTTTATAAAATTACATTCCTTTGTAAACCTTTTTATTATTATTTATTTTTAGATAATACCACAAAAAGTATCAGATAAATGTTTTTGGGCCCGTGTTCATGAAGAATCATTAGCATCAAACGATATATTACAAGGATTATCTGAAAAATTTTCTTCAAAACCAGCTCGAAAAAAACCAGAAGATTCTACAGACAAGTATGATTATATTACTCTGCTTTAGTTTCATACTTTTAATTATAATAATTAATATAAATTAATAATTATTATATGAATTTAATAATGTTAGTAATTTAATAAAAACTGTTATAAAAAAATATAAATATTAAACATTTTAATTTTCAGGTCTGCTACTCTTAAAAAAGTTAGATGTCTAAAAGTATTGGAGCCAAAAGCTTCTCAAAATCTTTCTATTTTATTGGGTGGCTCTTTAAAACACTTGTCTTATGCTGATGTAAAACGTGGTGTCCTTAGATGTGATGATACAGTACTAAAAGGAAATGTACTGGATCAATTGATTAATTATCTTCCACCTCCAGATCAATTAAAAAAATTAAGGGATCTAGAATGTCCTTATGAAGATCTTGTAGAAGCAGAACAATTTGCTGTAACTGTGAGTATTTAATATAGTTCAAGTTATCAAGATAGTTTTCTACAGTTTTAAAATAATAAAAGAACGCACTCTCACATGTGTTGTCTTTAATCTGACAAAAGTACAACAGAGCAAATTTGCTTACTGAATGCAGATTCACTATGATTATTATTATATAGATTCACTATGTTGTACGTGTGTCAGTCAAAGACAATACCTGAGGGTTTGGCATTTTCTTAATTTATTATAATGTATGTATGAATTACTACTACTAACAATGTGATTAGATGAAACAATTAATTACATAGTTATAGATAAAATATATTAGACAACCATAAACATCCTTCTGAAAGTCTTATACAAATATTCAAATTCAAATATCAATATTTAAGTATAATTTTTATCTAAATATTTATACTATTATTTAAAATTTAGCATTTAACAAACATAAGTTTCTTCAAGTGTTTTTTGTAATTTATGCATGGTGTTATTAATTAAATTTTATTATGATGTTTTTGTTGGTAATAAAAAACACTTGATATCCATGATTTCATTGTATTATAATGTATGCCATACATATATGGTAGGAGATAATTTTTTTTTTTTTTTTTTTATTACTTAATTTTAATTTCCACAATCTGTTACATAAATTTTGAATAATAAGTGAAATTTATGAATTTGATAGTTATGACATAAAGGATGGATCAAAGATACCTTCCAGTGAAGGCACTTTTACAGTTAAAACTGTAATAAAAAAAAAATGAGAAAAAATGTTAAACAATAATATTAGGAGATATTAGAGGAGTCAACATTAATAGGAATTACAAAAGTAGATATAGAAGGAATAACAAAGGGTATTAGATTGTTCTAGACTAATAGATCACTACACCACTGCCTTTTAAACCTTTTTTGTGAGTTGCCGGGTGTATTTATAGATGCAAGTTCTTTGATTAAAGGATTTTTATGGTTTAGTAGGTTGAAGTTAAAATGTCTGTAGAAGTTCTTAGCTACATCGTTGACAGGATAGATGTCTAGGTCATTATGTAATGTATGATTTGATACGTAGAAGGGTGCTTTGGTTATAGCGCGGAGAACTTTGAACTGGAAACTCTGAATACGGTTGACATTTGTAGGTTTTGGGGAGCCCCATAATTGGATTCCGTATGTCCAAATTGGTTTTAAGAAGAGTTTGTATAATAATTATTTAGTATATAATTTGATATGATGGGAAGTAAGGAGAGAACGAAGAAGACGAAAACGATCATTTAGGGTTAAGATCTTGTTACATATATGTGGAGCCCAAGTGAGATGTTGATCGATGGTGATGCCTAGGTAGCGAATGCATGGTGCTACAGGTAGAATTTGTTCATTAAGGATGATAGGTGGACATTTTTCCTTCTTAAGAGTGAAGGTGCAGTGTATGGATTAAGATTCATTAATTTTTACTCCCCATTCCTTGTACCATTTTTCAAGGAGGAAGAGATGTTCTTAGATGTTGAAGGAGTCAGGATTGGGTCGATATTGTTGGTTATTATTGTCTTATTATCAGCGAAACCACCAACAAAGAGATGTGGATATTGTTGGTTGGTCGGATATGAAAATGTTAAATAAAAGAGGAGCAGTGACTGCACCTTGATGGACTCTAGCGTTGATTGATTTCGATGAGGAGGTGGATGATCCGTACCGTACTGAGAAGAAGCGATCTTCTAAGTAGGATTTCAGAATCAGATAGTAGCTAGATGGTAGAATAAACTTTAATTTGAATAGTAGAACTGTGTGCCAGGCGCGATCAAACGCCTGGGAAACGTCAAGAAAAGCATCAGTACAGTATTGTTTTTCTTCTAAGAAGAAAGATATCTTGTCTACTATTCTGTGAATTTGATGGATGGTGGAATGTTTGCTACGAAAACCAAATTGCGAAGCGGGTAAAGCTTTTGTTTCTTCGACGGCTTTAATAAGTCTTTTTAGAAGCATTTTTTCAAAAACTTTTGATAGTATTGAAAATAAGCTTATAGGCCTATAAGATGATGGACAGTCTGGAGGTTTTTTTGGTTTTAGGATAAATATTACAGAAGAGTACTTCCATAATAAATAGTAATGGGAAGTAGGATAATCTGAGGATTGAATTATATATGTAGGTCAAAAGTATGATGACTTTTTTGGGGAGCTGGTTAAGTACTTCTGCTGTTGTTAGGTCGTTTCCAGGAGATTTTTTTTGAGGAAATTTTGAAATTATAAGCATTTGTTTTAAATTTGTAATATTGAGAAGATTCAATTATTGATTCCATAGCTTTTACTAATTATATTTTTTTAGATGGGAGAAATTAAAAGACTGCTACCTAGGCTAAAGTCATTAAGTTACCGACAACATCATCCTGAAATGGTACAAGATATTAAGCCATTAATTATAGCAGGTACAGCAGCATGTGAAGAAGTTAAAAGTGGTTTAAAATTTAATAAAATATTGGAGCTTGTATTATTATTGGGAAATTATATGAATAGTGGCTCACGAAATGGCCAAGCATATGGTTTTGAAATAAGCTTTTTGCCAAAGGTAATGGTTGATAATAATTTGTTTAACAAACAATGTATTAAATCGTTTTATTTTTTATTTTTTTTTTAAATTTAACAGCTTACTGCTATTAAAGATGTGGAAAATAAATCTACACTTCTTCATTATCTTGTTGACATAGTTGAAAAAAACTATTCTGACTTAATCACCTTTGGTGATGAGCTTACACACTGTGATCGAGCTGCACGAGTATCAATTGACGTTATTCAAAAAACTTTACGTATAATGGATACAAGTTTACGTAACCTTGACGTAGATCTTGCTAACAATTGTAATAAGCAACAGTGTGGAGAAGATGATTTGTTTTCCGAAATAATGACTGTAAGCCCATATTTTATTTTAATTTAAATTTATTATCTTTTTATGTATGCTCTGTGATTATACATAAAATAATGTATTTATGAACTTAATTATGATTTGAATAGTGAAGTATAAAATTTACTTTATAATTTTAACAGCCATTTGCCAAAGAAGCCAAGTCCCAATTTGAATTACTGCAAAACATGTTTAAAAAAATGGAAGGTTTATATGATGATTTAGCTGATTACTATGTGTTTGACAAGTCGAAATATACTTTAGAAGAGTTTTTTTCTGACCTCAAATCATTTAAAGACAGTTTCTATGTAAGTACAGGAGGTCTTCTTACTAATGAATTTGTGATGTGGTAATTTTCTGTTGACATTGTATAAAAAACAAAACATTGATTAATTGAAACATTAAATGTACAACGTTTTAAATTTCATGATGGTTTCTTTAAAACTAAAAGGCTATATTTATGCTATTGATTAAATAACTCATATTAACAATAATTTCAATATTTATGCTTCCATTTACATATATACATACAGTATACATAACAAGTTTGATTTATTTAATTATGTACCCACATTTTGTATATTCATAAGCGTACAGAAATAATGCCGTCTTAATGGTATCAATGGTAATATTTTATAGTTATTTTACTTAAATTGTTATCATTAAAATAGGTAAATTTCTAGAGTTTTTAATTCATCAATCTAATAAATTAATTTCAAATTTTTATGATTTAATTTAAAGAATCAAACAATATATCACTTTTAAGGTTTCTAAGATAAAAATGTTCATTTTATATTAAATTTAAATATTGACTTAAATTCTGTACTACTTTTAGGAAGCTCAAAGAGAAAATCATAAAATAAGAGAAGCAGAAGAAAAAAGTCGTCGTGCTCGGGATGCTCGTGAAAAAGCAGAGAAGGAAAAAAAGGAACGATTAGCCCGCAAAAAAGCACTAATTGATATGAATGCAGATCATACACAAGAAGGTGTAATGGATAGTTTGTTTGAAGCATTACAAACTGGGTCTGCTTTTAGTCGAGATCAGAGACGTCGAAGACAAGGTGGTGTGAATACCGGAGGTATTGATACTTTCTTATATAATTGAACATAAATAATGAAATGTACCTAGTAATTAAGTTTTCATTTTAAACTGTTTTGATATACTAAATTGAACCTCTATGTATATTTTAGACGATAAAAAAGTTCCATTATTATATCGAAGTCGATCCAGGACTGCTTTTACAGAACGAGACTTACCAACTACACGAGTTCAACATTAACAAAACATATGCTTAGAGCTAAAATGCTATTTATTTTATCTCTTCCACTGTTAATTATTAAATTAATTTAATACTTATTAACTCGATCATCTGCTGTTTATATAGGCAACATTATATTTATTGATAAATCAATTTTATTTTTATATATTAAAACTATCATCATTGAGTATTCATTGTATAGATTTTATACACTGTTTCTAAATACTATGGAGAAATATGTGAGAATGAATTTTGTTTAATTAAATCTACTGGATTTAATTATTATTTTTTAAAGTACTGGCTTAATGAAATATGCAAAAAATACCTAGAAAATTTTAAATCTTAATACATTACAAATAAATGTTCGCAATAATTATTTATCTATGCAAAGGCTACTCAAAACTATACTTTTATAATTATTTTTGTATTATTACATTTTCACATAAAACTAACAAGATTTTTGAAGTGATATATTTTTAATACATTTTAGTAACTGTTTATAATTACTAATAATCTAATTATATATGTGATACTTATGAAGTATAAATTAAAATCATGTAAGTGTTAAATTCAGGTATATACAGAAAAAAGTAGCTTATCAAAACTGTAAATAATATTACCCTAAAAACTAAACATATTGAAAATAATATATTTAAATTTAACTTAATTGATAACTAATTTTATTAGCCTACAAATGAAAAATATATATCTGAACTTAACACATGAAACAAAAGCTAGTTTCTTTCAAATCTCTTTAAATTTAATCTTAGATTTTTTTAAGGAATTTTGGCAATAAAACAACAAATAACATAAAAAATATAATGAGACTGTTCATATATTTTATTGCTCATTTGTGTCAATTTAATAAATTGCATATATTTGTATATTTGTGTGTTATAATATTGTTATAATTATATACATATATTATTTATCATGTGATATATTTAAAAGTAAATGAAAATAATAGTACTATTTTTTTTTTCAAAATAATATTACTGTTGAATTATGCATAAGGTTTATTATTTTTAAATTATAATAGTGTTATTCGTTGGCATGTTAAACATATTTTCATTTTTAACACATGTGTCATCAAATGTCAAAATCAAAAATTTGAAAATATCTAATGCTTAATCGATTTTAGAACTGTTTGTATAATAACTAAATATACCAATAAAACTGTTAAATATTTGTAAAAAAAAATGTTATTCAGTTGCATTTTATATTTTTAAGTATAGTTATGATTATTTTGTAATTATAGGAATTAAGAAATATGTAACTAACGAATTATTATATATTTGTATACAATAATGTACATCGAATATTTAATTAAATTTAATATATTTATAAAATTTAAATAATTAATGTATTATCTATCAACATTTGTATTATTATGTTTATGCTCAGACGAAATAACATTCAAAATTTAATTATTTTTTTACATCATAATATTATTATTTTATCAGTTGTAAGTTACCTTCTTTAATTTGGATATCTGATAACTCGATGAAAGATTATTTTGATTTAATCGTTCATTGTGAGTAACTTAGTAACAAGTTATGGCTATTACATCCCTGTTTCATTATAAACCAAAAGTTATAAATAATATGTTTACGGCCATTGCGTTATATTCATAAGATTAATTAGATCCCATAAATACGTGTTACATTGGTAAAATGTAGCGTTTACTGTGTATAACAACTTCTCAGTTTGTCAATTCTATACTTGTAATAAATTGTACGATGTGCGTTTGCATGCGGAACTATGGCTATCCATCATTTTAATACGGCATACATAATCCTGAAAAAGTATTTAAAAAAAATGTTATTTTTTTCTTTAAGTTTTAAATACATTCATAATTTGTTGTTATTATCATCAGTTGTCCTATTCAGGCGCGGATCCAGTGTAATTATTAGGGGAGGGGGCTCTTTATATTGTGAACATAATATTGTACAGTGGTTTTCAACCTGTACGTCGCGGCTCCTAGGGCTGTCGTCGGTTATTATCATAGATAATACATAATTATGTATTTTCAAAGGAACCGCGTTCGTAGTAGAAACTAAAAATAAAATTGTATTATAATATAGTTTTTGTATTTATATTTTTTAGGATGTCCAAGTCCGCCCACCCTATATATGTGTGCTCATTTCAAAAACTATTAGTTCAAGCCTTAATAAAGTCTTCCTATCTGTTATTGAAATAGTAATCTTCATCAAAATTCGACCTATGAAGTCTAGATGTTTTAAAAAAATGTGTAAAGACATGGGAGCTGAGCATACCTCTATTTTGTGCTATCGAAACTTCCATTAATTTGAAAATTAAGTCTTTCTAAAAAAAACTATCGTACTTATGTGATATTTTTGAAAAACTTAATGTACTAAATGTATATCGACAAGACCTACATTTTACAGTTAACTTCTTTTAAAATAAAATTAGTCTTGTGGAAGTACAAAATGGATGAAGGTGCTTTAAATCGAATCCAGAAATCTCAGTGTGGCCATTTCGGTGTAAACCATTTTAGCATGAACCCTTTTCGGCGTGCATTCAATTCTTTTAGACTTATACTCTTTAATTTGATTTTTATTATAAACGTGCTGTATGTCAATATAGTATATGATTCTAAACACGCTACATAAATGATATTTGCGTAAATTATATTATGCGATACGGCATCGGCCAACAATAATAAAGATAATAATGATTATCCCTCTAAATATCTAACCTATTATAAATAAAATTAAAATAAACTTATGACAACTAATATTATGGGTTATCCCCCATAAACAACTAATGATGACACGATTTTTATAATTATTTACAAGTTTTTCAGCACAAATAAGTCATAAACATAACATAAAATAAGTATTACAATTAATTAATCACATTTAAATAAATAAAATTATACAAACTATTTACAGATTGTGTAAAAACATATTTATTATTATAAATAAAACCAGATCAAATTGTCAACTGTCAAAAAAATAGAAAATTAGATAAATTATAAAACTATTAATTACTTATTTAAAATAATGTTGGTCGAAATTTGAGTAAAACGTTTTTTAAATATATAAAAGCAGAATTTGTTTTTTCTTTGAATTTTTTTATTTCATTGCATAAATGGTCAATTTTTCGGTATTTTTTCCCCCTATAATCTTTTTTGGGCGTATTTACGCTATTCATTAACATATAAGTATTAATTTGAAATGATTTTAAAACATTTATAAATTGAAGTATATTTGGATGGCTTGAGTAAAAAGATAAATTTAATTTGGAATGAAATGCTTCACATGTGTTTGTTGTTCGTTGTACACTAAACGAATATTATGCCTACATATTTGGAGGAAATTGAGCATTTCAGATGTATAATTGTCTAATATGTAGTCAGTAAATTCTAAACATTTTTCTGGAAAGATTGGAATGATTTTATAGACAAATACGTCACTTAACATTTCTGGAGGTAAAAATGGCATACCAAAAAAAATTCTAAGAAATAAACCTATATCTGATTTATTTTTATATTCATTTGCCAATCAAATATTTTGTATTTTTTTTTTATGTACTGCATTTTCAAGCATTTTATGGTAACTGAATTTATATTCTTCAATTATATAGAATTATTTTTTTGCGTACAATTTGGAGCTCAACATTTTCTCCATTTTAAATCGTTTAAATTAAAATATAATAATAATTTTAATTCGGTACCATGAACACTGTAGAACGGAAAGCGTGAACATGTACTGAGAAATATATAGTGCAAAATACTTTGTGTAATTCGGATCGAATTTAATATACGATATACCCATGGGCGTAGCTAAGATTTGAATCAGGGGGGGGGGGCAAAAACATAAGGCGATTAGTGTTAAACTCGTAATTCAAATAATCTACAGATAGACCATTGGATAACACATAAAACGTCAAAATGATTACACGTGTAGATAACATTCGGTCGCACTAAACTATTTTTAGACTTATATCTTACTTAATTTTTGATTTTAATGTAAAACTTATACGTTTGGTATTAGAGGTGGGAATTTTCGGTCGTTGAATGATTCGAATCATTTGAATCGGATCAGTCTAGTGATTCGGTCATATCAGTCATTTCGGTCTTGCATCAAATATCGTTCTTATCATTAGGTGAATCAATTTTCTTATGAAATATGAATCAGTTAATCAGTGACAGAGATTTTATTATGATAATGTTGTAAATTGTACTGTTTGTAGTAAAACGCCGTGGTTGTTATTATAAGCCATGATAATTATCACGGTCTTGGATTATTAATTATTATTGTATATATTTAATATTATACTAATATACTGCCTATGATTACTATTATAGACTTGTGTTTTCTTTAATACCTTACAAAACCTTAGTTGGTATCGTGAAAGTAGATATCACCATTCACCACAGATTATACTATATTATCTTTTAATCACGAGATGTAATTATTATTAACATGTAAATCAGTACAACACTATAGTCAACTATAGTGACTATCAATAATCTATACTGTCTATTATTAGATAATTATTGTTTTCCCCGAGAATAGACTAAAGATTCCATGATATAGTAGAATTATTATTATTATCATATTTTATACTTATTATGCATGGGTTGTACTATCTATTACCAAAAAATAAAACAAAATAATTCAACATTTTGTATTTTTGTAATTGGTACAAGAAAATTATAAATTATATATAATTTTGAATTATACAGAATTTACAATATTGTGTTCATATATTATATATTTTCAATAATTTTATAATTCAAATTTGGTTGTTTTATTTTTAAGTATTTCTTACTTAGTAAATCATAAAAGTAAGTATAAGTAAAAAGTGTTGTATGACTGTATAAACAAATTGTGTTAAATAGTTGATATTATATACATCATATGCATAAACTAAGAGGGGGCAACTACCCCCCTTGATATTTTGTAAAATGCATTTATTAGGTATATTTAGTCTCCATGTATCTTTAAGTAAACGATATATTGTCATAAAATAATTCCGTCTGAAAGAAAAGTTTCATTAAAAACCGTCAAACGAGTCGTTTGACTTAAAGATCGATTTGACCGAAAGACTGAATACTTTTTGGTACATCATTCGGTCGCGACTAGGTCACTTGAATGATTCGTTCATTTTGATTCGGTCAGTCGCGACCGACCCACCTCTATTTGGTATAAACAAATATAATTCAGTTTGAGGCGCAAGGGTGGGCAAGCACGTTTATCAACAATTTTTTTGTTTCACGACATAAACTATATATAGTATAAAATAAATATACTATTATAATATAAATATATTATAAATATAATATATATTATTAACGTCTAAACTGTGTATCTAAAACATTTAAAATGGAAGGTATTTACATATTATAAATTTTTTTATTTAAATCACAATTTAATTTTACTAATTTATTATCAATCTCATATCTTATCAATGAAAATCCGAAAAGCGTTCCAACAGAGTTCAGAGTCCGTGATCAATCCACATGAACGTATGCGCAGTAAATCAATTACGGATTAGTCGGCAACTAATCCCAAATTCCGTGTTGGAATAAACTTATTATTATCTTTACCAGAATTTTGGATAGCTATAAAGAAGTAGTAACCGATGGTAACGAATAAAACTATCAGGACTTTGATTCCATTTGCTTCTTCATACTTATGTGAAACAGGTTTTCGGCCTTAGCAGTTATTAAAACTAATTATAGATCAAGACTGAATAAGTACCGAAAAGGAAATGAGAATCGCGCTTTCAAAATTTACGCTACAATTTGATCATATTATGCAACAAAAACAAGCACATCCGTCCCATTAAATATTAAAATTATTAATAATGTATTAATTTTTAATTATAAAAAAATAAATCTCAAGAATATGTTTCTATTATTAACAATTACATGTTTATTTCATCATTAAGTAAAGTTAGATTAATTAATGTAAATTTATTTATTCTAAATTTTCGTATGAGAGCCGTATATTTTATTTCTAAATCAAAGGGAGCCGTGGACCTAAAAAGGTTGAAAACCACTGATGTAGCATACAAAATTCAATAATTCTATAGTACGAGTATTATAAGGATTACCATTTACCACAAATATTTCTTAACTCTATGAAGAAATAAATTTTAGACTAAAAGTTTAAAAAAATAGGTAGGTACATTAAAAAGAAACATTTTTATTTAAGAACAATAAAAAAAATATTTAATATGAAAGTAAATTAAAAATTATAAAGCGAAATCTAATTTTCTTTTGGTTTTTGAAAACATGTCAAACATAGTTTCTATAGAAAAAGGTTTTTAATTTAATTATTATCATTGCTTGACATTGTTGCGTGCCGTTAGTTCAACCGTAAAGATGGTGTCGATTTAGGAATGTTTCAAATAAAATGCTCAAACTAAATTAGACTGTTTTATTAAAATTTCTCCAAGTACAATTAATTAATTCAACGAACGGTCTGGCGTGGAGGTGCTTACTAAAACAAGTATAAAACACATCTAAATAGTGGTCTGTTCGGACTACCTTATATACCCCGTTCTTATGGTATAATTGACCCGGATATAGTTAATATTCTAGATCTCCTTCGAACAGTATCAACTATCTAATTTTATAATACCTTACATAGCATGTTTTTTATGTCGTCTCGGCTTTTTGCAACAACCACTTAGTTTTATGTGTCTTCTCTGTAAATCTGGATATTCACAAACACATATATAAATATATATATATTATATTACATGCTGTATTATATGATGCTCCCATGCAATGACCTACATTGTATATATCTGTAAGAGTCGTGAGGACCTACGTATGTATGTCCGTAACAACATATAATATTATAATTTTTTTTTTCATTTTGTTTCGTGACATTTGGGGGGCATCGCCCTCATCCCTTGTATCCGCGCAGAGACGTCGCGAGGGGATAGGCAATAGGGGCAGTTGCCCAGAGCCCCCGCGCCTTAAATTATAATTAAGGCCCTGCGGTTCTGATTTAACTGAACTTAAAATATTTTATTAATATAAATTATAAGACCCAACATTTATTTTGCCCAGGGCCTCGCAAACTCTAGCACCGTCACTGTATCCGTGCCTGATTGTATTGTAATTAAATTATCAAGTACAAAAGTAGATAAAGGCTTCGAACTTTTAACTCTAGAAATCTAAAATCTGTTCTAGAAACTCTAGAATCTAGACACCAGAAGCTTGTTTTTTACATAAATTGTTAATATCAGGTATGCATTAACATTTTAAATAGTTCGTAAGTGGGGAATGTTTTTCCGTCCAGTCAATTTAAGATATTTGAACGCGTGTGTAGGTAGAGCACTATATATAATAATATTATAGTGTCTTAGTGTAAGTAATACCGTTGTATGTTTTCAACATCGGTACTGACGAGTTTCCCGGCTCGATTTACGAATCGGTACGAGAAAGAGATAACATTCGTGCACTACGTTATTGTTTCGACGAAATACATTTGTCGCCGACGTGCCAAATGTTAATAAAATTAATTGTCCTTCGTTCTCATCACAAAGACGACGGGAAATTATCACGTCGTGTTTCAATCCCCTTGTACGAATGACGGGTGCTTCTGTTTACCTATTAATACGAGAACATGTTAATGGTAGTACACAACGACCGGTAGGTACGCGGACTGTAAAAACAAAGTCACCTATTACACATGGGTATTTGTGATCGCTGAGTACACATCGAGTACACGGGACACCAGTACTAGTTAAAACTGTCATATAAATATTTACCGATCATTATATGTTTTTTCCATTCGGTTGTTTGTTTGACATCTATATTGCATGCTATCCACGAAACGCAGCTGCCACATTAAAACGATGATGTTCCTGTCTTGTAGTTCACAACTGTTTCCCGCGGCCGCTACGACGTTCAAACCTATGCGAAAACTATTGTTGAACCGTAATAAGCTTTTATTGCGATTAAATATAATAAATAGGTACCGATTTATTATTGCAACACACCCGGCGACGTGTTGACAACATGACATCATCGACGTTGGCGTTGTTCAATTTTCTAATGCTGATCTCTTTTGTAAGTACTCTTCGGATGGTTTGGTTCGAAAAAACCTAAGGGTTTCAGGTAAACGTAACATCTACTGTTAGCGTTGTGGACATTTCGATGAAAATAAGTTGCGCATGACTTCCAATATTAATTCACCAAATTTCGAGTTCAGGGTTGTGATTTAAAGATTAATATTTAATTAAAAATATATCAAACCGAATGCGATGTAAAAATTAGATATTAATATTAAATAGTTATTATTATAATTTTTTTTATTCAAAGAATATTTACAATCTGTGTTAAGATTTTACGCAATAAGCAAATATGATGATTATAAAACATACATAATAATTGTGAATTTTATGAGAGAGAGAGAGAGAGAGAGATGCTATCCAGTGATACTCATCGCATGGTGTATTTTAATTAAAACAATTTTAATTTTAATGTGCGCACCGAATGATCTAAATACTTGAAAGTTTTACTGTACCTTTTATATCTTTATTAAAATATCAAATTCAAATCTAATTTTATTCGTTAGATTGAGTTTATATTATATTTACATTATAACAGATCATTTATTATGACTACAAATTAAGATAACCAATATTGGTACCACACAAGGTCGTCCATAGGGGAGGGGCAAGAACATATCCCCTGGCTTTTCCATATCTATTATACATTTATACATAAAATATTATATATATATTAATTTGGATTAAATTAATTTTGTTAACTAATATTATCTCTCATGGATAAAACTTTACCACAGGAGAACAAATTCTAGGAGTCATAGATACTAATTATAAACCTTTCGATAACGATCGCCGAGAGGCACCGATCACAAGTGTCCTCACCTGGAATTTTTATGATTGTCGCCCTTGGTACCAATATCTAATTCATTTAACGCAATTCACATTTTAGTTAGAGTTACATGTACCTAAATAGATACTTAATAAAGTTTACCAAATAATATTTTTAAAGATTTTTTCATCGATCGCTGGAAAAATACCAGATTCGGAATGGCCATTCGAGTTTAACCACGACAAAGGATCCATAACTACTGATGATAATGTACTTGTTCAATCAGTATCGAGTGATGGAAAAACTGTATTGAACACAAACGATCCACAACCAATAAAAAAATATTACGGTAGTAATAACAAAAAGCCTAATGTACAGCATACTGCAGATTCTAGTGGTGTTTATGAACAAAATCCTAATAAAGTCAATCAAGGCAATAACTATAATAAAAAGATCAATAAAGTTGGGTCTTATTTTGGTTATTCACCTTCTATGGTGCCTATTGAGCATAACCAGCGGGTGTTTGAACATTTCACCAAGTACGTGAAACAATATTATATATTTTATATTTGCATTGTTCAATTAAATAAAATTCAATTTAATTAAGCAATCTATAATTACGAAAATAATTAAATTAAAACTTTTCTATTACTACGAGAGCATTTAAAAGACAAGATGTATAAATAATTAAAATATTCCTTTAAATATGATTTTATAAAAATAATGAGCATAAATACATTTTTAATTTCACAATTAAAGTATGTTACTTTTCGGTACCTATTTTAATTTGTAATATTCGTGTGGTAATTAAATCATAAAAAAAAATCAATTGAAAATGTATTATTTTAACCTATGGTAGTACTCGTATATATTATATATGTTTGTATTTTCAATCCAATATGTTAAAAAAAAGAAATAGCTCACTTTTAGGCTAATGATTGTTTGTACTATTTGCACATATCTAAAACTATTGATTAAAATAATTTTTTGGGTTTAATTGAGAATTGTTGTACATTTGAAAAAGTGTTTACACTTTAATAACATTATTATGAAATCAGTACACTATCGTCGTTCTACATCTAAACGGATTAAAAACTACTTTAAATCGAGACAAAAGTGGGATGTTTACTGAAAATCGTTACATTTTCCATTTTCCGATCGGATGCAACATTTTAGTAAGATACCCATTGAAAACAATCAGACACCTGAGCAACATGGTTTTACTTCAAGAAAACTATTTTTATTATTTTGCTCCTGTAGAAAATCAAATGGCTAAATAATTGTTTTTAAAAAGGTTATTACCATATAATTTAGGTGAGAATTGAATATAGTTACCGAAAATTCATTAATTTTACACATATGCAGTATTAAACTGTACTTCGATTTTACCTAAAAGTATTAGGTTACCCAAAAGTATACTCACCCGAATAAAATATTTACGTACTAACTAGCGGTGTTAATTATATCTCGTTGTGTTAGCAAATGGTTTGAGATTCATTTAAAAATAAAATTGTTTACAGCTTTCATAATTGTAAATATATTAAATTATTTTAAAATTATGTTCAAAGGATTGTTATTTATGAAACAGCATTTTCATATGGTTCGCTTGATCAATTGAAATTCAATAAATAAAACACGTTTTATGCTGAAAATAAATGGTTATATTACAGCGTACTATATAATGTTGTATTCATATTCGTTAGTATAAAATCATTTTGAACTTTAAGAACAACTATTGATTCAGACAAAAAAATTTGTGTGTAATATAACGGTGACAGTCTGAAATAAAAATTAACTACAGTGAAAACAGTCAACATTTTTTTATACTATAGTAAAACTAATATAGACCTATTGTAGAAATAACAAATACGTAGAAGGACTTCAGTCCTCTTATTTGAAATTAGAAAATAATATTTTAATATTTTTTATATTTATTAAATGGTGACTGTGAGGGATCTGTACTAAGTTCTTACGGAGCGCTAAGAGAATTTGTTCATCATTCGTTATTATTTTTTTCGTAAACTTAATTACAATTTTAATAAATATGTTTTTTTTGTCTTTTCTTAGATTTTTTCCTCGAATGCCCAACAATGTTAGAGTTATATATATTTGAAAACTCATGATGGGAAAATAACAATCATCAATGCTGTCTTTTTTCAACTTTATAGTCGAATTACATCAAATCATACCCATACATATACGGTATTTTAATCCAACTTAGTATAATACTTACATAATTTATAAATAAATAATTTTGATTTTTTTTTTATCGGTATGTATTTGAATAAAAAATAAACACAATAGTTTCATTCTAATTTTATTTTTATTTATTCTAACTACACTATGTATTGTGACATATACATTAAATAATTGTATTCTTATGGTTTTGATTAATATTATATTATTCGTATATAATATCTAAACAGGTGGTATATACACGTTTATTTTACATTAATACAAAAATTGGTCTTGAAAAAAGTTAAATTTAAGAATAGCACATTTCGACATCGAAAAATCAACAACATTATAACAATAATCATAATCTAGGTAGTTTAGGTTTTTCCTGTGCGTTAATTAATAACCTATATAACAATTATCACATTCATAAGTATGTGTTTATTTGTATAAATAAATAAATAAGCTCAGTGGTAAAATCTATTTATAACAAAATATAAATATTAATAATTTAAAATGTTAAATGAATTTAAATATAATCTTAAGTATCAAAAAATATAAAAATAAATCAAAAATTAAAAAAATTTAAATGATTAAATTAAATTAATATCACGTCATTACTTTGTCGATCCATGGTACAAACCGCTGCACGTTTGTGTACACGCCGGGCAAATGTTCACGACCACATCCAATTCCCCACGAGACTAACCCGATTAATGTTTTTCGTCCTTCCAACATTGTTGTCAGTGGTCCACCTGAGTCACCCTATATGGTGTATTGATTGAACATTAGTTTTGAGTAAGTAAAATTTAAATAATATTGACGCGTGGAAAATTATAAACAGCAGTCGAGCATACAATTTATAAAAAAAAAGCTTAGCAAATAATGTGTATGATTCAGTGTGGAGTGTTTCTGTGTATAAATAGTTTTTAATTTAGTCATAAACGTTCGTTCTAATTTATATTTTAATTATTCCATGACATATTACATTTTTAATATTCATTTATTATTATTACTATTGCGTAAAAATAATAAAATATCAATATAGCATGGTCAACATTCAATTATCATCAATGAAATAGGTACAATTGTGAGTATTTAATGAGAGAAGATATTATTTATTTTTAATTTTTAAATCGCTTTTCATTCGTATATCGGCTAGTTTTGAACTATGATTATTCAATAAAGAGAAATATAGCGTAGTATAATTTGGATATATATAAATAATATTTTTTAATGTTGAGTTCGAAAATTCAAAAATAAATGTTCAATAGTTTTTGAACATTCTCTCGGAATAACGAAAAAATAACTTGATGTTATTTCAATCATACATTTTTTGTAGACTACTAGAACATTTTTAATTTTATCATATTTGTACCTTTTTAACATTTTTAAATTTCAATTTATTTTGTATTAATATCTATTAATCACTTTAGGATCACTCAAAATAAGAAGATTAAAAATTGTCTTTTTTATTTAAAAGATTTATTGTCACTGTAATATCAATGATGTAATAATTAAAGAACAAATAAATACTACACCAAAAATATTTCACGGATGTATTTCACAGTATTCTGTGTTTGAATTAAATATTTCTTTTGCTGTAATTTCCTTATTCACACCGATTACCAAAATTTCAATCAACGTGGCTGAAGATAAGAATAAATATAAAGAATCGTTCACAAACCTGACAACTGTCTCGACCTCCTTCTTTGTAACCCGCACATAGGAACACATCATGAATAGTTTCTCGGCGACCAGCCGCTCGGAACCATCTTTGGCATCTTTCGTTAGGTATTACCTCGACTTGTACTTCTTGAAGCACCGTAGGAACTGTGGCAACTCCTGCGGTTCAAAATAAACGTATTAATATAACAAAATTTAAATAATCTGTGGAAGTCATTTCAGTTTTTCAAATTGGATTTTTGTTGGACCATAAGTAAGAAATGTTCAAGTTAATTAACTAACAATGAACAAAAATTGAACCTTTTATTTCATTATAATAGATATACTTATGGTCAGGACCGGTATTCAAGTCAAATATTTAGAATTAAACCATTCAAACATCGACATAACCATATTGTTAATTGATAATTGTGTATTATAATTCAATTTCGGCCAATGACACGAAAAATCTGTAATCTGTGTAATCTGAATTATCTATACGATACTTCCCTATAAGCTAAAGGTGGTGAATACCTGTACAGTATATTCAATAACACGAATAAAGAAATATTAATATTATTATATTATAATAATATAATTAATAATATATATATATATATATAAGTACCTATATTTGACATAACAATTCGAGTAGTTTTTTATTTTTTTATTTGTTAATAGATATCTGGTGAAAATGTTATTAAATTATTGTTCAATAATTTAAAATAATAACATACATTTTTTAGAATAAAAAGCCCTTTCACAGTTTCACTTAATTTAGGCTATCATTTGTGTATAATATACCTTATGTTGTTGTATTGAATTTCATAATAATAATATCATCAAAGTATAAAATATTTGATTATCTAGACTAATTACTAAAATTAGCATCTTTAATAACCTAAATACAACCTTTTGTCTATATTTGTGCTATGCCTTACATGGAATACTTACTACGGCGATGATGAATAAATTGATTTGATTATTTTTTTTATACATTAATGTCCTTGTAAATGAAAATAATTTTATTTTAAATTTTTAACCATTAACTATTTGATCTAACCAGTCATATCCATAATAGAAAATAAGTCAATGCTATGCTTGCCGAATTTACAAAAATATTTTTTATAAAACTGTGTTACTATACATGATATATACATCAGTTATATACTGAGCCGTATTGAGATATTTGTTATTAATATTGATTATTTTAATCAAGAAGAAATAAACAAGAAAATAAATTTGAAAATAACAAAATAGTATAAATATCAACAATTATTTTTAGATTAATATGATCATATAAATTATTTTTACAAATATAAAATAACTTTATGTGGGACTGTATATATTTTAACGTTTCTTGGGACAGCGTAGCTATTGGATCCTACGCCTCTAAATCTGACCCTAATTATGACATTTTCATCGAAGTAAATAATTCATTGCCATTTCAAGTGTAAAATGATTTCTGGTCCTGACAGTATGATGGGTTGAAAATTATAAACATGGATATTCGTTTAAATTCATAAAAATAAATTAGTGGATGTTATTATAAAGTATATCATTTTCGTAGAATAGAAATGTTTTAATGTGTTATTATGTCACAAACTGATCATGAATATATGACAATAAATAAGAATTTTTAATTAAGGTAGTAATTACTTTATTAATTTAATAAAATTATTTATGATACTTTTTGTTAAATATATTTTAGATTCTGAGTGGGACGAAGAATATATTGGTTTTACCTTAATGTTTGTTTTTTCTGTCTATGTACATGATCTCGACCATAAGAATTACTCACAATCATATTCGATTTCTGATAGGAAATGTTGTCTAATTGGTACTTTGAAAGGATTATTTTTCGAATTTCACAACCATTTTCTTAATATTTATGAACAACTGACGAAAATTTATAAAAAAAAAAAACAGCAACGACATAATGGTTTTTGGCAAAATAAAATTTTAATTTTCATAGTATTTTAAAAACTAATAATCATAAATATTTGAAATATTCACTGAATGTTAAATTTTCAAAATATTTATTTGATCTATTTATAGAAAATTTAAGTGTTCATGTTTTCTTAGTTTTTGTTTTCAAAAATATCGATAAAATAATTTTGCTTTCACAAAAATTCTTGAAAATGTAATTCAAAATACTGCATACATATATATTATTGATTTATGGAAAAATTAAGCTCAGTTCTAAAACAATAATGTATAAGTATTTGAATCTTAAATTTAGACAAAACGATAAAAATTTTTACATTTATGTAGTCAAAAAGGTGTACAATTTTTAACTTATATATTTATAACTTGAAAATTGGAAGCAATATTTTTTCATAAGATTTTCTTAGTACTCAACAAAATAAAATTGACTGAAAAGTCATAAATAGTTTTATAAACGTTAAAAAATGAAATTTCAACCAATTGTTTTAGAATGATATTGTTTGTTTTGTTGTTACCTAGTAAATATTAATCGTAGCAATTACAAAATATTTACTAAATACTTGTATAAGAATTTTAAAAGACATTTCATAATTTCAAAATATTTAAACAAAACTGTGGTGTTTTTAAACACTTGCAATTTTCGATGCCTTTTTTGTTTTTTTTGTGCAAAAGTTCAAAATACCTTATTAAGAAAATTGGTTATTTTACTATATTATCCATCTTTAAAAAAAATAAACTGATCCACCCAACCTCTTTCATTAAAAATTCTTTTTTCAAGAAAAATGGTACATTGGTTTCGAGTTTAAAGACCAACACAGCAATATCATTCACCCGCATACCTGTATTTTAACCGATGGTTAAGTTTTATCCAACGTAGAAGTTTCGCTCTTTTTATATTTTAAAATATAAAAGCTTATAGCCATTAAAATATTTAAAAAAATACGATTTTAATTACTTTATTAATAAATTACTCTGTCAATGATTAATACATATAGGTGCATTTTTGGCTTGTTTTATAACTATATTAAACATTTTAAAGCAATAATATTAACGAAAATAACTGAAAATAACTCAATATGGCCACTTTTATTAATTTTTATAAGTGTTCTTACAAATATAAAACTATATAGTGAAATAAAAAATAATTTGTATTAAAGTTTAAATTTCAAATACACAAAAAATAAGAATAAAATTGACTTTTAATAAAATAATAACATACATTTTTGTATTTTCATATCAATATATTTAAGATTAGAATAACTAAATTACTTTAAAACATACTAACCATGTCGAGTACGGCCCCAACCAGCTACAGTGGCGGTCTTTCCGACCAATTTGGCTACTGCACTCGGCAAACATACAGGAATAATATGCTGTTTAAACGCTACGTCGTGGTCAATTTTAACCAATGCCACATCATTACGGAAATCTGTAGGACTATACTGCGGATGTACCTAGATTTAAAAATTATATTTAATAAATTAAACCTTTATTAAGGATCAGGCATGAAATCACAATTTATATATAATATCACTATTTGTTCTTTGCAAACTGAATTCTGATATTTCGAATAAAGAAGTGAAAGTTAAAGTCTTGCCATCTTAGGTTTTTATGTATTACCCAGAATTGTATTTAAATAAAATAATACAAACAATGTGTTATGTAATTTTGAAGTTGCATATTCATTTTAAATAAATCACTCTATTGTCTAAATTAAACATACAACTGAAATTAAATAGCGAAAAAATAATAGAAATTTAATTTTGAATCGAATTAGTAATATTATCAATTTTATTTTATTGTTTAAAATTTACTTAATATTTTAATTTTCGTTATGTATATGAATACGTTTTTTTAATAAGAACTTAAATTTTCTTGTCTTAGTTCCCTAATTATATAGCTTTAATGTTGTGATTATAATTTCTGCCAAGTTCGATCTTTATAGTCATAAGTAATTATAATTTCTTACTTCTTTGCGTTCTACGTTAAACTCTTCATGTGAATACTTTTCTGATTGATCTCGTACATCCCATTCACCGAGTCGTACTTTTAAATTATTATTCGCCGTGCTTTATAATACATTAAACATTTGTAAATTAATATCAATAAATACATATATTAAAAACCGTAAAGGCTTAAACTTAATAGGCATGCTAAAGTCATGTTTTTTTTTTTTTTTTTTGGATCGAGCTCCTACTGCAAATCAAACCTTCTAAGATAAGTATGATTAAAGTATTAAATGGAATTACCGACTTGCTCAAGTAAGTTTCTGAAAGTGTACGATATCAGTATTACAGCTCTATTCTAACATTTCTGACCGAGTAGTATTGAATTTCGTATTTCGATCAGAATAATGCATTAGAAACATTATTTAACTTTTTTACCGTTTGTATGTTCAATTTGTGAAAATTTTACTCGACAGTTAGGTCCAGTACATCACATGACTCGACTCGTGTAAACTTCATTCAATTAATATATTAATATTAATACTTACGTGGCCACGCAATGTGCAGCGGTTACTACCCATCGATTATTCAGAAGAGCTCCACCACATGACAATTTTTTTGACAAAAATCCTGACTTGATGATTGCGGCCTTCATTAATAAAAATTAATTTTTATTAAAATTCGAATTGATAATAATGACATAAAACATTGATTTTAGAATAAATAATTATGCTGTTATCTTGTTGAATTAGATTGGGTCTTTGTGGACACAGCCACTTGATGTTTACTGTAACTGTTTGAACTCAACTTAATGAAAAAAGGGTTTCAATAACAAAGAACTAAAACAATTGTTATTTTAATTGTTGAAAACAAGTTTTTATCAAGGTGAATGCAAGCGATTCTAGTGGCATTTATTGGCTGCATCCACAAAGGTACTAATGGGATAGCGTACCAATATATTATAAAATCAACATAATATAACCAAATCTATGAGTGTATTTTACATACCTGCCATGGATGAGTACCAAAGTTTGATCCATGTCCACCCACGATTCTATGGCTTCTAGCGTATAATTCTCCACAACCTATTTATTAACATTAAAATATATTATTTCTACAGTTTTTACATAATATAATAACGGTACAAAAAGCATAAAGTAAGAATGATACATATAAAAATTACATTCAAAATAATAAAAGCAAAATAAATAAGATTTTACAAATACATGTGCATATCAGTGCACAAAACTAATATTAATAACTATAAATAATAACTAGTAATAATAATAACTACAAATATGTAATATTTTATAATTACGAGTATAACTGAGGTAGAAAATGTATTTAATTTTGTAATATTCTTAGCAAAATAAAATATTATTAATAATATATACAAAATCCCAACTTTCCCTATAAACATTAATAGGTATTTTATTTTTAAAATACAAGATTATTATTAAATTAATGTTTAATAATTATTAAAGTAGAAATAGTCAAAAAAATCGCTCTTATTAAATACGATGTTCAAAATAAGTGTTCACATTAATTACGAACCAAATCAAGCAAACGATATTTTTCAAACGAATTGTGTACCAGACGCAATTCGTGTTATTTTTTAATTTACAGTTAACTATTACAAGTGGTTCTTAAAGTGATATTACCATAATATATATATATATATATATATATATATATATATATATATATATATATATATGTTAGTTAAAACATAATATAAATTCACATATTTATAGAAAAAAATTGAATTTATAAAAGCATAATATCATAGTATAAATTGTGTCATAATCATATATTAATTAAATTTTTCTGTATTTATTTTTATTGGCTAATGTGTTAACAAATTCTTAACTGTGTTTCATTATTATTATTTTTATTATTTTCTATCAATAGAACTCTTATTGGGTTTTTTGGGTACTCATCATTTTTCTAGACTACTTCTTATCAATATTATAGTATGGATTTACATATTTTTTAAAACTTCTAAAATTCTGTATATGTTTGGATGAGGAAATAATAAAATTCGTTAAATATCGAATGAAAATATTTGCAAGCATTAATGGTTCTTTGAGAGCTTGCATTTTTTTTTCCCATTTGCATTTTTTGAATTTTCATTTATGTATGTATCTATTAAATATATTTTTATTGAAAATGTAAATACAAGTACAAACCACTAAAAAACTAAATTTCATGTAATAATATTTTAAATATTAAATTATTTATTATTATTATTTTTTTTTTAAAAGTTAAAAAGTATTTACAAAATTAAAATTTAATTTATAAACCACTACGAACCACTAAATAAAATGTTAAGTGTTAAGTGAAAGATTAACACGAATTGCGTCTGAGACACAATTCGTTCAAAAAGGTTAGTTTACCAGACTTGATACACAATTCGTGTGCACCTCATAACAAATATAGAGTTTAATAAAATAAAATTAATAGAAATATTTTTAGATATTGTAGATATTTATACAAATATAAAAATAAAAAGGTAATCATTAACAAGAATAATTGAAAAATTGAAATTCTTCAATTTTATGCATACATGTTAACAAATACCTATACTGCTATATTATACCATATTTATATAATATAATATATATTTAAATATACTACCAACGCATATAATATTATTCTATAAATATGACTCATCATTCAATTTTTATTAAACTATTTTTAAGAATTGTATACGATCAAACAAAAACAATGATTGTTATTCGGTTGAAAAGTAAAGGGAGAATTTTAAATAGTTTTATTTTGAAATATTAATAAATTTAAATCGTATTGAACTATATTTTAGTCTAATTGACTATAAAATAATTTCTTCAAACTAACTTAACATAAATAGACAAAGTAAAATTAGTACAACTCATTTATGTGTAAATAAATAGAAGCCATTTAATTTTAGGAACATTCAATTTTTAATTAGATTCACAACTTAATATACTGACACTAGTTATATTTAATTATTCTCTGTTGTTTCGAGTTATACATTTATGAAAAAATGAATTTATTTGATATCAACTATTTAAAAAAAGAAAGTACTCGTACGTTGAACAAATACATAAATTGAATGAAAATATAAATATGCTTTTACACAGATAAATGCCATGTCAAGTCTTGTATGAGATGTAATAAGGAAAACAAATAAATGTTGCTAAATTAAATTAATTTTAAATTCTATCAATAAAGAATTAAACAATAGGGTTCGAGAGGTGGTTATATTTTATGAAAATGATTGTACATATTTTTTTTGTCCTTCCGTGAATATTTCTCATTTATGTTACTGTCATATTATTATGATCAAATTCTTAAATATGTTGGATTAGTAAATTTTCTTTGTGTATTAAAAGCGAAATCACACTTATAAAAATATTACTGTATAAATACAGAAACAGTTACAGGAAATAATTAATAACAGAAAAAAAAATGAAAATAAATAATTATATTATTTTCTTATAATAATTATACAACCTAAGACAACGAAGTTTAATTTTTCAATTATAACACATTTTTATAGATACTGTGTCTAGACATTAGACTTATGCTTAATATCTTTCACATATTACACTTTGTGCGGATACAATTTTTCACAGTGTTTTGTTTCAAACAATGTCCATTTCGGTACGTTTATTTTTAATCGTTTCTCATGCATTACGTTCTATGTATAATTGCATATAATCTATGTAACACCCATACCGTTTTGGGTGTGCTGTACATTGATATAACATCCGTGTTCACATTTAAGACCATACATTTATTTAAACCTGTTTACGCGTAAATCTAGATGGTGAAAATGTATAGCTTAACGGTGATTGCGTGCGTTTGTGCGTTTTTCTTACATCTTAATACTTATACTATAATATATATAAATATAATGTGAGTATAGTAAATAATCAAGTTGAAGGATTTCGTGTTCGTATCGTGAGTATTGAATTTTTGAAGGAAAGTACGTGTATTGTTTGAACAAAATTACTGTGCTCAGCGGTGCGTTATTTCCATATATGTGTTTGTGTGTGGGTTCAGTGACGTGGTAAAGTGGTAGTTTTTATGTAGCCGCCCTTAATATTTATATTTTAGACTATCGATCAGAAACTAGTTATCTAGGTATTTGAGTATTTATTCACTTTACTATTGTTGTATGTGTATGATATTAAAAAGTTAAATTGATTTGCAAATATTACAAGATCCATTAAAAGAAACATTATTCTACAAACATAGGAAACGGTATGAGAAAAACTTCAATATATTTACAAACAAAAAAAGTCCATTAAACATATGGACGTTTTTGTCTACGAAAAACACGTTAAGGACAGATTCCATTAATTTCATATTATTTGTCCGAATAGATTAACATTTAATTTCAAGAGTTCTAAAACCGTATGATGATCGGTTCCTGCTAGACACTAAATATATTTGTGACCACGCCACTTTGCATGCGTGCGTACGTGCGTATGTGCGTGTGTGCATGTGTTTGTCATGTTTGAAGATACAGACTCCAAGTGCAACTTTAATAGGTACTTAAACATTGGCGGGGTTGTTTACCACGATATCCTGACGGCATGTAGTGTAGCAACTGACTTTGTTGTTGTTGTTGTTGTTGTTGCTGCTGCTGCTGCTGCTGCTGTTGTTGCACTTGCTGATCTTCAACGCTACCGCCACTGCCACCGATCTGTGTGATATGGGCGAACGTGGCCGACGTGGACGACGACGGCGGCTTGTGCGTGGAATAAAAGACGGTGCCGTGATTGTTATGAAACATTATCTGCGGCGTGGGCGGCAATGCTGTGCTGGTCGACGTGCTACCGATACCATTCATGTGCCAATGCCCGTTCGACCCTCCGACCCCCATATGACTCTGGTGGTGCTGATAGTAGTACGGATGGTAGTGCTGGTGCTCTTGCTGATAATAGTAAGACGGTTTGGCCGTCTGGTCGGTGATGAACGACTGAGACGACGGGCTCACGTCGCTTATATAATTGTCCAGATAACTCGCCGCCGTCGTAGGCTGATGGTTGTAATGGTGCTGTTGCTGTATCTGCAAATGTTGTTGTTGTTGTTGTTGATGCTGTTGCTGCTGTTGTTGTTGTTGGAGCATATACAAATTGTAGTGTTGTTGAAATTCAGGGTATTGCATCAGGAACTGTATAGCTTTACATATATAGAAGGAAACGACATGAGAGTGTACACACGGTATTATAGTTATCTTTTTTGAGCAATACTATTCGCCCTAAGTATACGGAAGAGACTACCAGATAACATGGATATATTTATATGTACTTGTATATGAGAACACAATTTAAAAATGCCAAAACATATCGAAATGTATTATGTTATATCATGTTTGTTCCAAAAATTAAGAACAATATATGTTACAAACATGATATTATTACAACGGCATTGCCGTCGTCAAGAATCAGAATTAGAGTACAAATTAATATTTATCGTAACAATAAAATTATATACCTTACGTGCTATACAACCATGTGTGTCGCCAAATTAAATACGCGCGCGAGTACAAATGTTTATGCCGTATCGTCTCGGTGTTTTGTTTCGTGCGTAAAATGAAATACATAAATAACTCGTGTGTGTTGTGCCTACATTGTCATTAGCATTTCGACGAAAACGAGCACCGTGACAATAGCGACCATAATAAGTTTTGCTCTGATTATAATACCAATGAGAGAAATTATCGCGATTATTATAATGAATTGTGCCGTCGCACATTCAGTATGCAGTACGCGTAAGTGCGCATGTCCATCAGTTGTCTCGCTATAGTATTATAAATAACACAATACGAAAACACTATATAATATTATTGCACAATACTATTCCGATTCATTTATAATAATTAAAACAATTCCGCGATCTAAAATCAGATTTAGAAAAAAAAAACTTACTGGCATTTTCTATTGTTCCCACCGAATTAGACGCGGCTGTCACGGCTGATGACGACGATGATGACGATGAGGATGACGAAGAAGATCCGGATGTCTGAATTTTGTCTCTGGATACACAACAGCTCCAAATCATTCCACCACTGCACAGATCAACTGGTTTTCCACCCTCCAGAACGCAAGATATACTAAGTCCACAATCGAATTTGTTACCATTGTACCAACATGTTTGAGGAATCACTATTTATCAAGAAAATCACATAAGTTTTGATTAAAATTTCAGTACATACAATTAAAAAAAAAAAAAAAAACTATAATTAGTATTTTTTCTTACACCAATATTTGCATAGGTTTAATAAACATCGATACATATATTAAAGACGTATGAATACGATTCATCATATAAGTAAATGTCAAATGTTGTATTATAATAAAATACAATTGAGTAAAATCGAATTTTTCTGAAAATTTATTTTTCATAAACCACAGACTAATATATATATATACTTTTACGTACTGCACACTGAAGGATTTTGTCATATTCCTCTTACAAAAATATGTAAAATTAAAAAAAATACCATAATATAGAAAATAGAACCAGAACACACTTTTTAATTTCGTACTACACACGGAACATTTCGTATTACATAGTGTGTCGTACTGCACACAATTTTAGTTCCTGTCATAAACAGTGTAAAAGAAATTTTGATATTTCTGATAGTAAAGATAATAAAACAATTTGAAGCAGCATTCAATAGCTTAACAATTTATTTTACAAAAAAATTATTTAAATTTGTATCGTAAATATTTTTTTATCAAATTTAATATATTTAAATAAAAAAATTGTTTAAAAATTAAAATATTCGACAACCTTATAGTTAACTAATAAAGTGATAACTTTCTACAAAACGTTTTCATTGACATGTATATATCATAATTATTTATATTTTATCGACAAAACCTAGAACCGAAAAAAAGGTATTGATTGATGATATGTAGTAAATTATATTTTTCAAACTAAACTAATATATACCATACGAATATTTTCTGTAGTTTTTAAAATACATTTTATAACAAAGACAAAAATATTAACAAATTTATAAACTGTAATTAATAAACAGTATGATTTATATATACATAAATTATTATATATATATATATAATAAACTACACCGAATCATATTCAAATTTCATTTTAATATAATAAAAAATTCAAATTAAATATTTTTTTCCCAAATTCAATCATACTCGTATGTACTATTTAATAAACCTATATATTATTACAGCGTACAAATATTCATTATTTTTTTTTTTAATTTTATTAATAAACTGTTAACTATAACTTTCAAGACTTAAATTTAGATCTAAAAATAAAAAAATTGTTTATACGACTTTGTTAATATTTATTATTTCGTACAGTTTAACCAAATCACCGGCCATGGCAAGTTGTATACGAGTATAACAAATCAAGAAAGGAAAAACACAGACGGCCATGGTGAAGAAAGTGAAACCACACGACCATAGTGCTGCTTTCGTTTATACTACCATCGTGATGTGTATAATTTATTAATATTACTATAGAAACGAGATCGCAGGCACGCGCACTAGTTTTTTTTAAAAATTACATAGTATAAATCATAATATATTGCTGAAAATAGTATAAATTAAAAAAAAAAAAAAAGAATTTGAAACCGGATGTAAGAGTACAAAAATTAAAATTGTTCCATTTGTTAGGTACAACGTTAAATTTAGTGAATTTTACATTACCTATTTTCATACTTTTATTATTTATAAATTAAAACTAACAGAATTATATTCTATCGATTTGACACTGTCCGTTTTAAAATGAGTCTAGTCGCTATCCGTTGTGTAATGTTGTTCAAATAAAATCTAGTATTTATTTTATGTTTGAAGAGCGTATGAATAATATTTCTTTACGCCAAATGTTTTGCGCTACATAATTGTTAAAATATTTACAGCGTCGAATAAACCTGAAATTATTTTATTTATCTTGGTGAAAGTCATCAAGGATGTAACTAAATACAATGGAGTTATTCTGAACAGAAAGTCCACTAACTTTATGTACGTGGGTAATATGACATTTGATCATTATCATATAATTGACGTTCAAAAAATCATGAATATAATTACTATATCGAAGCGAAAAAAATTGAAATTATAATCGACCTGAATGAACAAAACATTACTTATAATTATTAATGAGAATTAAAAGTGTGTGTATTATTATTACAAACATGTTAGTTTTTAATCAAACGAGTCTAAATCAATGTTTTTTTGTGTTACGGTATCGAGTGGAAATAATACGAACCGGGTATATCCTGAACGTTCGTACACATCACTTAATCGTCTAGTTAACGATAATTTACTATTGTACTTATTAGACCAAGGAAAAAAAACGACAGTGATTTCTTCACGGAATTTTAGAACATAATGACATCAACAAAAACTAATCTCAGAACCGTGGTAAATCGTTTGTGTTTGTTTTTTCTCGTTTTCGTCAACCGCTCTCCGCCACGGGTATCGTTTTTTCGGCTGATTTTTTTTTTTTCGCCTCCCTTTAATCAATCGGAAACGTCAACAGACCCATCACGTCGGCAGCCGAGTTCCGCGTGGCTTCGCGGCGGCTTCTCGTCTCCGGAAGTTATACAAACAACGCGTGTCGGAGTATTACAATATTTTTATGCGGCCCGAAGATTAACGCGCGCGGGGGGTTTTCTTTCGATTATTTTGTTTTTTTTTTTCGTCGCAGCACACGATTATTGCGTTTACGGCGGAGGGGGTGGGGAAGCAGCGAATAAACCGTTACGTGCGTTCGGGCTAGGGGCCGACGAAATCTAATCTCGCGAAAAACGAAAAACAAGAAACCATAGGGAACGAAAAAAAAAACCGTCACGTGTGAAAACGGACGCGTCACATACTTTTACCCAACATGTCCATGAGATCGTTCTGAAAGCCTTTGGAACCGGTCGTCGTTGACCCGTAGTAACCGGCCGCGGCGCCTTTGCCCGCGGTCATGTTGAAACCGGACTTTTGCCCTAGCACCTCGGCCAACAGCACCGCGTTGCTCCCCGCGGTCACCGGTTGCTGCTGCTGCTGCGGCAGCGAAGACGGCGTGGACGCAGTGGCAGCCAGAGACGATTTGGTCGCGTACGACAGCCGTTTCGAGTACCACTTGGACGCCGCGTCGGACGATTGTTGCTGCTGCTGGTCGTTGGCGGCCACCTCGCGATGCGGTGACTGGTGCACGACCACTTGCACTTCGGACAGCGAAGACGCAGCTTCCGGTCCGGGCCACAGGCGCTTGTCGTCGTCGGGCTCGCGCTGCTTGCTAGGCTGTTCGCTCGCCGTCGTCTTTTCCTGATAGTACTTCTGCGTGGTCTCGGGTGCCCGGCGACGGCTGCCGCCGATGATCCAGCCACCGCCGTCCGTGTCGCTCACGTGGTGATACGTGTTGACCGTGCGATGCGAGTACGCGTCCGATCTATCGTTGCTGTCGTGGTCGTTGTAGAAGTCGTCCGTGCCTCCGTCGGTGTCTCTGTTGACCCGTTTCTGCTGCTGTGACATCAACCGACCGTTGGACCGGGCGGGCAACGCCGAGGACGACGAAACCAGAACCGCTCGGTCCGTGTTGGTGGCCGGCGGTGACACGCCGTCGGCGCACCGGAACATCATTATGACACTGATGATTATTATGGAGTGTGACCTCATGGCAATGGGCTCGTCCAAAAGAAGTACCGCGCGATCGGTGTGCGACGACAATACGGATGGGCGACACGATACGTACGACTCGTCGTTTCCGCTGTCTTATCCGTTATTATTTTTTTATTTACGTTTTTCGTTTCCTTCTTCAAGTGCACGACATAGTCACGAATACAGTCGCGTTACGATGTAGTAGTAGTTAGTAGTAGTAGTAGTGGTGTTGACGCTACAACGCTGACACTTTGCTGCCGTACTGCTGTGCGCTGCTCGGTGATGGCCCGTCGACACGGCGCATCGACATTGACCCGTACTGCCGGCAGTATGGTACCACTACGGTTGCTGTTGTTACGATCGCGCGGTGATGGCGTAACATCCGCCGCCCGACGATGACGTTGACGAACGAACGATTGTTGGTCAGCCGAAGGAGTGCTGCACTCGAGTTTCGTTAATGCTCGCAGCCGTCACTTTCTTCTTTCACCCGTGTCGGGCGCGCGCGTACTTGAGCACACGGGCCAATAGAGCGATTGGCGCTAGTAAATAATAATAAACACGACTGGCGAACGCGTGTGTTTATATGCGTGCGTGCGTGTAAACGCGCGTATGTGTATCGCTCGAGAACTATCACTTCAATAACAAGAGTAGTAACAGCAGCGGTTTACCTTGGATTCCGGCGCGCGTTTACAATGTCACGCAATGAGCGTATCCACTTTCTTTCTGTACGCGCTCGTCGTTGTTATATTATTATTATTATTATTATTATTATTAATAATATTATTATTACTATTATTGTTATTTTTTTTTTCCCAACTCACACGGTGCACACGCGTTCACTTTCACTCGCGGTCACTGAGAGTAAAAGAGGAAAAGAAGAAGCGGTAGGTAGGAAAAAAAAACCTAAGACCGGCGCGTTATAAAATTACGGCGGTAACAATGTATATTATGTTACATATCGTTATTGAAACACGTGCATTTAGTAGCAGTGGTACGCGGTGATTTGTTAAGCACTTGAGTTCGCACGCACAAGTCGATTTACACTTTGTTTTCACCGAAATTTCCGTACAATATTTTCACTCGCACTTGAAAAAAAATCGAATTTGTCGAGGAATCCTTCGAGGATGAAAAAATATTAAAAACGATCAATAACTTACCGCGTTAACGGAGCCGTATACCACGTGCAATAGTATAATACGAACCAATGACACATTAGTGTTTTATTATGTTAATTATAATGGCAAAATTAAAACGGATTTCAATAGAATATGTTGTAGATTCGCGAACGAGAAATTTTCTTTGTAAAAATGATAACAATAGACGTTATACGAGAAAATTGTCCTTTTGTAAAACTTAATGTAGTGACAGAAGAAACGACAGATCACATTTGATGTTTTTTGTACATTTTTATCAACACGGCCATCAATACACCACGCGCATATGTATATATGTATATATATATATTTATGTGTGCGCGTAGATAGATTTATATATATACATATACATATATGTATATATGTATATAATGAAGATGTAGTCTTTCTTCTCCGAAACAATATTAACAATAAAGAAAAATTATGAAAGTAAACCGACTGAGAGCCACAACAGCACACAAAAGACTAGCTGCTGCAGAACGAAGCGACCACCATCATCATATTCAAGTGTCTCCGCCTAACCGTTCTTTTACCGTGAACTTTCTCTTAATCGGTGTGCTGCTACAGACTTGACGTTCACCCCTCCACGATCGAAAATAGTAATAACACTCTTCCACACGTTGTAACTGTGCTTTTACTATTGTTACATAAAATCTCCACAAATAGATAATGATTTGAAAACAGTCGATCTAGTTGATAATATTAGACGTCTATTGAATACACAGATATCGGTTCTTACAAAATATATGTTCTATGCGAACGGAAATCTTAATGAATTTGTGTGAAATTTATACTCGTAATGGTATACAGAGATCGATTCCAGAAGCCAGAAATAAGAATTAAAGAAACCAGTATTAATGTTACAAACGAGACCCTTCTGTTTAAAATTATAGAAATAAATTAACAAATAGTCTACACATGAAAATAAATAAATAAAAGCTTAGCATATAAAGTTGCCATTTCAGACGTTCATATTCAGTCGCGATTTTATTGACTTTGTATATAGATGACGATAAGTTTTTAATTCGTAACCGGTCGTACTTTACAAATATATTAATACTCCAGGTTAAACTTTTATTTATTCATTTACTTATTTCTGTATATGAACTATTTTTTTATATATATATATATTTATGAGTTTTAACAATTTAATTATTTATAGTCTTTATTTTTTTTTTTTTTGTTATTTAAAAATAGTCAAACATATATTAATTATTTTTTTATAAAGACAAACCTATAATTTTTTTACTATTTTCTATATTCATTAACTTAATCCGATCTCAAAATTATTGATAATGTTGTTAAATTATAATTGTTTAGTCAGTTCACTTTCTATTTTAAGATTCAATCCTTGTAGGTATATTAATTATCCATGTGTAAATACTTATTATGGTTATAAAAAATGTACTTCCAGTTCACGAAATCATCTAATTTTTATCAAGAAATTGTCTTCTTTTAATCTTTTTCAGTTTAATTTAATATTTAAACCTATGGGTTCGTGTTGAATAAGTATTTTACCTTGTATTATTAAACGGTACGCGGATGTGTAATTTTAAGTATTATAAAAATTATTTATAATATAACATTACGTATGAAACACTATTAACTAATTACATTAATGTAGAGAATATTTTAAAGAAAAAGAAAAAAAAATTACACTGTATATTATTGAATTTTGTTTAATTCTTAAACCAATATAATATGTATATATATTCAAATATAATATATCTAATCGTGAAGTTAAAAACCGTTGTTATTATATATATTACCATGTTTCTTGACAATGTATTTATATTATATTATCATAATATTAATATCTTAATATAATATTATTTATTAATAATACAATCTTGTCGTAGAATAGCTTTTAGTGTAGTAATATAATTAAACGACAATTTTCTATTATATTTGTCCGATATTTTTACTGTTGTAAATATTTAAATACTGTATACAGTATAATTTCCTTTTACAGCTATACTTAATATTGATAAAATTTCTATTGTAGATATTAGACAGTTTTTAATCACTCGTTAATAGAGGCTAAGTTGTATTTAGATGCATATAATATGTGTATGCATATAACTAATATACTTACAGAATTGTTCAAAAAAACGTGCCTTCTTTTTCTTTGTTTTTTGTTGAATTTCTTGTTGTTTCAGCCTGGTCATTGTCGAATGATTGGATGGTGAAATTATTTCTGTGTAATTATATTTTAATGTAGAACTTATTCCTTGTTCACCAAATTGCATCTCTAAAATCAATTATGTCTTTGAATAAAAGTAAAATGTAATAAAAATAAATATATTATAAATGTTTACTTTTTATTAATCGATGAGTATTTGGGTAGTTAACTGCCACTGATTGATAACTGCTGCTGATTATACAAATAATGATAGTAAATAATGCCACTGCTATTATTTTGTGCATGATAATTTAAATTTCATCAAATTTTACCTTTAAAACATAATATAATATATATATATATATATATATTTTATATAATTTATATAGTTCACGTTTGTGTTAAAATTACATTAGACGATTAACAAACTAAACACATATTACGTCATAAAATGTGTATAGCTATAAAATTCTAGATTTAAACGTAAACATGTATAAAAATAGACAAGAAAGTTATTAACACAAAAAAAACAATTATACTTCCTTACACTCATTATGTATTTCATGAACGTCTCTATAATTACTGTTAATAATATTTTTATTTTATTTTAATATGTTAAATCAATTACTAATGCATAATATACGTATAAAAAAAATGTGTAATATGCATGTGTATAATATTATAACGTATCCGTGTATAAGAAACAATCATAAAGAAAGAAATTTCTTTATTATTATAACTTATTATTTAATGCCGCTAATGGTTCAATCTCATTTAGTAAATCAATAATTAATTTTTACGAAAATATAGTAACGATAATAAATGTATAATTTAAATTTATTTGATAGGCATGCATTTGATTAGATTATTATTTTTAGTCGGTTACAATAAACAATAATATTCTTATTTTAAATTATAAGAAAAATTTAAATATTTATAAAAGAAAAAATCTGTTTATATAATTTGTAATTTACATTAAAATAATGCACGCTTTGTAAGACTTATCAGACCGTATAATTTTGTATTGAAACTTAACAACGAAATTCATATCTACTAAAACAATAACGAACAACTCAACTAAATCATCATTATTGTGACAACGTATGTAACATAAAAAAAATTATTATTATCATTTTTAATTTCACGACTTACCCGTGTTTTTTTTTTTTTTTTTGCTACAAAAGTAATAACAAATATTTAATCAATCCAATGTTATAAATAGTATATATTAACAAAATGTACAACAATACTATATAATATTCAATAAGGAACTGTGCAAGTATATTGGATATAAGTATATAATATAAATATAAGTATATGTTACAACTAAAATACGTTATTGATAATAACAATACCGACGGATTGGTTAAATATGTTGAAGAATAGCTGATCTCAAAATAAAATGCCAAAAAAAAACTTCGAATAAATGATCATGTTTACTCCGATAATATGAGATACTCATAAATAATGATGAGAAGACATTCCCGCGTATTAACTACACGGGTACTGCAACACACGTACCGGCTGTTGATATGTTTACTGGTCTGCCATTGCCGAGTGAAAGTGATGCTGTGCTATCTCGCAAATGGGATGTATGTTCAACGCATAAAAAAACGGCATTTCTCCTTTGGCTTTATCGCGCCCAAAGAAAATATTTTCTATTATCAAATATGTATAATTTATTAATTTCAATAAACGCAATCAAATAAAAACAAATGTATAATTTATTTTTGTACCATTTCCAATGCATCATGTATAAATGCGATGTCTGATTAAAAAAATAATAATATATATTTAGAATAAGGATACGATTTCGTTATCACGTCTGTAAATTGTCGATTATTATCTATTTTATACGAATTCTTGTGTGAATATTTAGAAGTTTGATTGAAACAAAGCGATAATTATAAAAGCAGTTTTTTATGATTAGAAATTGTACAAATTACTGTACAACCTGAAGCTAGTTTCCTTAGGGAAAATGTTTTCGAAGAATGCAACTAATACATTCTTCACCCTCAAAAACAAATTATGAATAACTATGAGGGTAACATTAAAATACAAATGTATCCCTTTTGTATAGAATATACAACATTGAAAGAGGTTTAACTGCGTTGGAATTAAAGTTTATATTTTATTTTATGTTCAATCACTAACATATTATAAAATATAATAATAAATAATACATTTTCAGTTAATTTATTTTAATTTAATTTTTAATTTTAAAAACTAAACTGTTTTGGTAACACTTATACTTATAATAACATTCTATATATATGTACGATAATATTTTCCAAGATCAACTAGAAGAGTGTAGTTTATATATAATATATTTGGATTTAAAAAATCCATATAGCTATAAACAATAAATTTTTGTTAAAATAAAATAGTAATTTAATAAATGAAAACATTTTTTGTAAGTAAAAAATGAAGCTATAATATTTTATCAGTATTTATAAAGTGTATAAAATGTTATATTATTAACTCTATAAAAACCATTAAATACTATTTTATACTTGATTTAACAACTGTATCGAATACAATTCAGATATGTATTTAGAAAGACAAGGTACACGTGCCTCTAAGCATTATTACTTTATTATTACACATATTTTAAATTTTAGCATTAATTTTATGATACATTTTATGTGATAAAAACAGGGTCTTAACTATTGTAAAATACCAATTGTTATTTTTATCAAGTTGAATTTATATTATTACAATTATTACTACAACGACTTTTGTTGTCTACGTCCACATAAGTACTACCTATTTTAATAATAGAGTGGTATGTCTATATATTATAATATCAATGATACTAATATTTTATTTTATTCAATATTAAAAACACCTGTACTTGATTATTGAATGTTAGTAAATTTTAGAGCGGTAAAAATGAAAGTGGAAATTGTTGGCAAATTATATAGTAAAATATTTCACCTGTAACCACACATGCATATTTAATTTATTTGAATAGGATATCTATGCATTAATATCTATATAGCATCTGTTTATTTAAAATAGCCTGCTTAATAACTTGTCGCTTCCCAAAATGATGAGCACAGTCTTAAATTAAAATCTAAACCAGTAATATAAATTTATCATAAAATTATAAGCTTTGATAACATAAAACACTTACATTTACTATATCTAGTACTTATTTATCTTTATTAGCAATACTTTATCCATTATTCAAATATTTTAGAAGTCTAAAATAGCTCTATTTATTTAAAATAAACGTAAAACATTCTGTATACTGGAAATCGAATAAAAAAAAAAATTTATTCTTTTTAATATCAATCTTTATTAATAGATAAACAAATTAAAATAAATGCTATATATAGACACCAATTAAAAAAAAAAAAAAAAAATTGAAGTTCATATTATTAATCCGATTGACTTGTTAAGTGTAACGTTCTGTAAAATAAATAAACCACTTTAAAAATAAAACACGTATAAAAAATATATTTTAACAGTTGATTATAAAAATGTACTCTAAATACAAATTATACTTGTATCTGTTCCCAGAAAACCTTTTTCACTTTATTATGTACATGCATATGTAATCAGTTAATATATTATACGTCAATTATCATAAGTTTAATAAAAATTTGAATAATCACATATTAGTTAACCGGCTGGAAGTATAATAAATAAATATAAATAGACGTCATCAATGCACAGTGAAAACTCATCAAAAATGATCCTTTCCCCGAATAATATTATTATTAAGTTTGTCAAATTATTTTTGAATGTATATATATATATATATATATAAATTGAAAAATTATGAAACAGCATTTTAATCAGAGTTTAACTTTATTTTATATTATCTTCCAATATTTAATCATTTATTTTCTAATAATTGTTAATTATAATTATCAAAAATAATATAAATTTAAAGAAAACTATACGAGCACATAAAAATTAATAATATACATATAATTTCATATATCAATTAATATTAATCGAATAATATATAATATTTATTTGAGAAAAATTACTTTGATTATATTTTTAAATCCACTAAAGGTTTGGATGGTTGAGAATGATATTGACGAGGTCGATTTATAATAACCCTTTGCTGACCGAATTGAAATCCACTATATTTTGTATACTTAATTATGATAAATTATTTTATATTCATTTTTATGAATATAAAATATATATGAATATGATATATAATGAACGATATAGTTAAAATATTATTTTTGTAAAAGTTTTTATACTTAATAATAATATTTTTTCAAAATATATTTTTATACAATTATATGTTTTTAGAATTATAAAAATAATTCAAATTTCTAATGATTATTTGTAATTTGTATGTAATTTGTATTTGTAATTATTAATAATTTGTACGACAAATTCAAAACAAGTAATGCAAAATTATTAACTAACATTAGATTAAAAATGAAAATGAAACATTTAACTTATTAAATAGATCACGATTTAAAAAAAACTTTAATTTGAATAATTAATTTAAAAAAGTAAGCATATTCAAAATTATTTCATGGACATGGCTACGTACATGATCTATGCATGACGTACGTAACTAACATAATTTATCACTTACCGACATAAAAATATATGATGATTTTCATTTTATTTTGTTTCATTAATCCATTAAGACGTTACATACTTGTATGTAATACATACTTTCATCAACCATTTTATAACATTCAGAACAATAGTATCCATAATAATTGTTAGATGCAGCCTTATATTTTCAGCAATGATGAATATATATAATACTTACATGTTATTCTTTATGTATATTGTATTCATTTTTGGTAATCTTTTAAGCTCCCTATTGCCGCCTATTGTTTACAAAATATCTTAACCGAAATTGTGATTTCATATTAGTTATTTATACTAAGTCACTATAAGGATTATAAATGTAAATATTTGTAACCACTCAGAATATATTCTGTATACGTTTAAGACTATTGATAACGGAGTAATTATTTGCCATCGCAAAAAACAATAACAAAAAACAATATTTTATTTATACATATGTTATTGAATTGAACTGTTGTTGTTTCGCAGTAATAATTCATATCAGCATCAAACATATGCAATAGTATAAACTACACAAATTATTATTATATAACAAACAAATAATCTTCCTCCTATAAACTCCTTTTATAGTAATATAAACAAACATTTTAAATTACTATTGTTTAACAAGTATTATTGATTTTACTTGATACCCATAAAAAAATGATTTACTCTCTTTTTTTATTTAAATCATTTATAGTCGAAAATTCGATGATACTCAAATACATACTCATATACCTGTATATGTATACACAGGGAGGAGGGACCTGTTGCACACCCTCGTAAAATCGCCAACGAACACACGGAGCGCCCATACACTTGAACCCAAAACAGTATATAAACCCAAGTCATTGCTGAAAACCATCTTTTTCTGTACTACCGTTAGTAAAGCTAATACATTTGGATTTTTACTAATAAAAAAAAACATACATTGAATATTTCGTCAACAAAAGTTATAAACTAAATACTACAATAAGAGGTAAGAATTAAAATTGACTTACCTACTTATAAATTAATAAATACTGAATAGTTTAGAACAAAATATGTATATAATAATAAATATTATTTAGTTTTGTAAATAGTTTAATTATATTTATAGTTGTATCAAAACACTAATTAAGAACCTAATTCAAGTTTTTATATTAGTACATCATTATATTTGTATACCTAGTTTGTAAATGACATATTATTTATTAAACTAAATACAATAATTAAATTAAATTATATTTATTAACCTTCTAAAATTAATTTTATAATGTAAAGTATTGATATCCCACATAAATACTATAGTTTAAAATATGTAGTCAATGAAAATTATGTTAAATTATTAAATTATTAAATCGATTAAACTTAATTTTGAATAAAATATAGGTACAAAATAAACCTGAGTAAATTCGTGATAAGAATATTAAACAATACATTTATAAAAATTAAATAAATCTCTACATCGAAGAATACATTTAATTATTGTTTACACTATTGTTTTTTACAACATAAATTGTTGGTAATTTATTTTATACATATATTTTATATATGTACAATTATTAAAATTAGATTTTTAGATTTAATTACCAATAAAGTAATGAAATTATTTTTGCATACAATATCGATTACAAATTAGTATTTTAAATTACATAATACGCCTTTAATTCCATTTTAAATTGATGAACTACTATAAAATGAATTACCTTTAGGGCTTTAAATTATAATCATATGGAAGTATAGCAAATTAAAGTCGGTTAAATCATTCAAATATTTTTTAAATATACTCAATTTCCTTAATGACTAAAATATATATATAGAATTATCATTAGACATTAATTCATCATTAGACATAAAATATTATATTATGTACCTGTAAAATAAAAGGAACTAGTATACTCGTATATAATGGATAATATTTTTCTCAATATTTTTTCTAGTATACATAATAATTGAACTTATAATAAATATTTAAAAATTAAATGTTATAGTCTAATGACATAGATATAGTATTCAATATATTTTTTGATGAGTAAAGTTACAACTCTTTCATGAGTAATTAACTTGCAAGTTTCTTACGCCCAATCGATCAACCTATGGTAATTAGTTAAGTCGTAAAAAAGATATTACTCAATTATGGGACATAAAGAAAAAAAATTGGCTCGATTAAAACTGTTGATGCCCTATTAAAAAACTAAAACTTCATTTTTTAACTAGTATGTGTGGCTTTCCAAATTATAATTTATTATTTATATTGTGATAATTTTTAAATATTATTTATATTAAGTTTGGTTTATACTGTTAAGCATCAAAACAGTTTTACAATTTATAGAATATTGTAAAATTTTAAAATAAACTTGTTCTAGAATTAATTTTGTCGATAGCTTAATAAACATAAGGATATTTTAATTTAGCGTGTAATCAAAATAATTGTATCAATAATTTAAAAAAAATGTAAGGTAACAAAAGTAAGTACCAGTAAATCTGGTAGGCAAAGATCTCATAGCATTCTAAAAAATATTTTAAGTAAGGCTTTAATTTTTTAATTTTTTATTATTCATAGTTTCTAGTATTAAACCATGATAGCTCGAAAAAGCTTTCATTTACTATAGGGTACACTAATACATAAAAAATTTAAAAACATAATCATTTTTGAAATGTTAAAACTTAAAGTCTTAAAATCATTATGCTAAATAATACTTCTGATGCATGTTTATTACCTACTTGAAAAAGCGTTGTCAATCAAATTAAAATCAACACTCATATAATTTACACTTTGCTTGGAATTTTTTTGTAACAACTATGTATACTTTTTAACTCCACTACAAGTATCGTATATAATGTATGGAAAATATAATAGTGCGAGAAAGTATTTCTAATCCCTAAAGGCTATTTAGGGATACTTTATATATATATCATATACTCGTATATACACGTATAAATATAAATGTGGAGAATAATTTTCAATATTCATATTTTAAAAACAATATATTGTGATATTTCAGGTATATATCATGAAAAATAGTATTTTTTTAAACTGAATTTATTAAAATTATAAACATTTAGTTTGATAAAAAAAAAATTAATTATATACTGTAGTATTATTAATTGATAACTGGTCAAAATATCTTGTTATTTCTACGGTTTTTTTCAATCATGCAGCTGTTTTTAATTTAATTATAGAACGAGTTTTACTCGGCTCTTGGGATTGTTAAAAAGCAGTCAAATTTTTTTTTACCAATAATAAAAATATCTCTTATAAAAACATACCGTATACATGCACATATTATCTTGATAATTAGATACAGACTCAAAATTGTTGTGTTTTATTCAAAATTGATTATCCGTTATTTTTTTTTTTTTATTACTTTTTTTCGTATTTTATATTTGTATGTGTACGCTAAATGAACCCAGACTAATTTTTATACTATAAATAATGTAATAATACATATTTGATACATAAATAAATTCTACATAGAGTTTATAGTCATATTGTACTGTGTAATTAGATTATGTATCTACCTAAAATACATATTATGATCTTTTGGAATTACATTACTAACAAATATGCTAATCTCAGCATACAGCTTTCCATTTAATTAAAAAAAATATGTCGATACGAAAAAGCTGATCTGGTTTGCAGCGTCATTACTAATTTGTTATTCTTGCACGTATTGCTCGTTGTTGGCATGTTTTAATAGTATTTCTTTCTTTGGCTTATTACGTAATCACTAGACGTACACTTTAAACAATCTCAAATAGCGCCCTTTCGCATTTTTTAACTTTCACACTACTGCATATTATATTGTTGATGTAAAGACCACTAATGTTATGAACACTTAAAAAAAAATAATAAATAAATAAAAAACATGACTTTAGTGTATACAAAATTTAAAAAAATGCGAATTTTTCGACTACTGTATTCAAAACCTGTTTTACATATTTTCTAGACTGCCGAGTAATCTTAATATATTATTAATAATATAATTTTCCTTTTCAACGCAAAACTAAATGTTACAGTATATAAGTAATAAGCTTCTACAATTAAAATAATGACATTGAATATTAACAGTCAATAAAGTTTATAAAATATTCGGACAAGTGAAAGTAGTTTTCACTGTCGCTATTTTTATCACTAGATCACTAATTCAATGTTTAAACCTAAGTTGTATTTAATTTTTTGTATTATTATTATTATTATTATTATTATTACTATGTGTAATTAATTAAATTTTGATTGAATTTTTAAATAGCTTACAAGCGCACTTTATAATTTTTATAATTTATACTATTATATGTTATTAATTTTAGTAACACAGAACTGATAAAAAGTATCCAACTTTAAATAAAAAATAATAATATAGTTTTAAAGAATAAACAAGATTAAAAAATAAACTTTAAATATTCACTAATATTTTATTAATTTTGATATATTTTAATACACATAAACAAGTTAACAGTTTGAATAATAATTAAATAACCATATTATTAAATAAATAATAAAGTAAATAATTAAATATAATATTTAAAATTAAAAAATTCCTTATTTACAGGTATACTTAAGCCTTTATTCTGTTGGAAATATTTCTTCTTTCGAAAATAATAACTAGATTCAATTAACTATTTAAACAATTTGTATTCAAAACTTATACTTTATTACGATTTAAAAAGATGAACAGTTGATACAAACTTTAAAAAGTAAAATACTTTAGCATTCATCAACTCAATCAAAGTCTACAAATATATGGCTTAATATGTAATAGTTCAATTTATTATTAATTTACCATAAGTATGTGAATAAAACATTTTGTATTTATGTAAAATTCCTTTAGGCAACATATATCATTGAAGTAAGTTCAAAATTAGATAAAAAGTTTATAAGATACAATTAATATTAAGAATATAAGTAAAATATGTAATTATAGTATATTTAATTTACCCACTGTGGCTTCGTTGATATTAATTTCTTAGATATTTAAATAATATACCAATTATATAAGTGCCAGTATGAGTTATAAAAAATTTCGTGTTGTGATAGAAATTTCTTTCGAATTTTAATTTAAGAATAAAAAATAATTTGATTTCCTATTAAAATGTCAAATGTTATAATAATAATTCTTTATCAAACAATGGTTTGTATTTTTAATATAATTTTGGGAATGATGACTAAACACAATCAAATCCTAACATTTTTATGATTATAATTTATTTTAAATTATCAAACAATATACTATTAACACATTGATAACTTTAATATATTTAAATTTGTAATTTGAATACAGGACATAAAAACAAAAAAATTAAATTAAATTAATATAAATGAATACGTCATACATTATTAAAACCATGTCGTACAGTAATATATTTCAGGTATACAAACATAATATAAAAATAAAAAAAATTATAAATACTATAATCACTACAAACAAACTACGATACAGTTACTTGATCGTTTTATTTTTATAAATAAAGTTAAAATAAGAAAGAAACATCGATAAATAAAGCAGTTAACTTTTTAATACGGTCGACTAAGTATTTCTGACACTAAGTAATCACAAAATAGCAGTTAGCAACTAATATATTAAATTGGTTTGCTCCTATTGTTGTTACGTCTTAGAGAAAGCTTAATAAAAGTTTCGATAGGGTTCGACACTCTAAACACCGCTTAATATAAAAAAATATTTGGCGCACTTGATGTTCAACAATCATTTTATTTTTTATTTTCATATGAAAAGTTATTTTTATACAATTATTATAGAAATCTTGATCATTTTACCTTATTATTTTTAAATTCCTGTTATATATATATATATACATTACTAATGCATCACTCACACAATGTTGAATAGATGTATCGTTAAATTGTAAATATTTTTGATATATTTTTTAATTTAAGATTCTCAACAAATTTAAAAATATATTGGTTCAAAGTCAAAATATTACGGATATTTGAATTCCCTTCTGTAAAATCAAAAATCAATAAAATAATGAAGTATAAATGTGATTCAATAAATAATATTAAAATGTGAAAGTTTTGTAATTGGTATAATTTTTCAATTTTTTCAAATTTTAATTATTTTACTAGAATTTATAGGAAATTTGAGTTAATTTATACAAAAAATGTATATTTCTTACCTTGTAACTCGACAAAATTATTTGAGTACATTAATAAGAACAATATGGAGTGTGGGAATCAAACGAAAAAAGTTTCACTATTTATTTAGATAGAACTCATGTTTTGTGTTTTGCATGCATAATCATTTAAAATGTACATTAAAAATATTTATATATATAGACATTTTACGTTGTCTGCCAAATGCAATGACTAAATATAATATTAAAAACCATTAAAATATTTAAATTAAAAAAATCATTACTTTAAAATCAGTGTTTTTTCATATTATTATGCTCACAATGAACTTTCAATGTTCCATAATAAAATCTATATAATCGTAAGAATAAAATGTAATATAATTATGTTAGCAGTAATTTTAGTTTACGTTTTGAACATGTGCTATAAGAAAACACATACTACATACATGATATTAATTTAAAATACATCCTGTATATATTAACATATTTTTTCATTTTATTTTAGTATGTAAATTATTTATGTCATACAAGTGCAATTTTTTTTAAATTTTAAACACATTTGTTAATTATAATATTGATTATATAATTATTTTTTCAGACTTAGATAATACCAAATTAATGCATCAAAACAGAAATACAAATTCTAACATGATAAGAAGTGTGGTCTTCATTGGATTTTTTATTTATGTGATGGTCTTAGCCACATCATGTTGCTGTCACCCCGTCATGTCTTCTGAAGTAGAAAATATAGCCCGACCTACACGGCCTAAGACTTTCGGCTCACCAGATGAATTACGTTCATACTTAGACCAGTTAGGACAATATTTGGCAGTAGTTTCACGTCCAAGGTAAATACATATATATATATTAATAAGTATGTGCTAATATTTACATGCATTCATCTATTTATTTCATTCTGATTATTTTAATAACTAGGTATCAAAATATTTATCAGTTAATATAAGATGTTTTTACTATAAAATATTTATTTATTGATTTATTAAACTATTATTTAAAATGTCTTATATTAATTTATAAAACTTATGTTGAGATAAAATAAAAAATAAAAGTCTTGATATTTATTTTATCTATGTAAATAATTAATTCGACGACCATTTGATAATTGATATTTAGTTGGTTCATACTTTTTCTGATTTAATTACTTCTGAATTAAAATGTAAAATAAATAATGACATTTTATTCGATATCTATATTATTAAAATCATAAAAGCAAGCGTCAAACCGAAAAATTATGTTTAAAATTATAGGTTTGGAAAAAGGAAACCAGCTTTCCCCATTCCGTCTACTATAACAAAACCAAGACTACAACAGTATATCGATCAACAACGCATGTTTAATAATAATTTCAATCGAGAAGACGACGAGACATATAAATTACAGTTCAAACCTGCAGTTATAAGAAATTCAAAAGATTTATACGACATGTTGTTTTCATCACGCCGTGAAAATGGCAATAATGATCATCATCAGTATTATTTAATGCAACAAGACACAACTAATGCAGACATCGGTTTAGATTCAATTTAATAATTATTATATGTATAAGTAGATAGTATAAGAAACTCAATGCAATGTAATGTACCGATATTTCTTGATATATTTAGTCAAAGATAGTTTATTAGATGTATAAGAATCTTAAAATTCAAAATTCAATAATACCTAAATTAAATTCTTAAAATAGCTAAGCCAAAAATATTGTATTAGTTTAATTATTTACACATTAAAATATTAAATATCATCAACAATTAATAAATATAAATAATTAATAATAAATATACTAGTTTGTTTTTAATTGTTTGTTATTATATACATGAAAATTGTAGTTAATAAATATACTTACCTATGAATAACTAGTATGAAATAACAAGATAAAACAATCTAGAATTTAAGAAAATTGATGTTTATAATCTAATTGATACATACTGTAAGTATGAAACCATTTTTCCATTATACAAGTATTTATAAAAACACATTACATTCAAAATGTATCGCATGTTCCATGAAAATCAAATCAAATCAAATATATAGTTACCTATTATTGAATACCTTAGCTATAACTTGTAAGTATCAAGAACATATTAGGCATTGAAGAGTAAAAATATATATTTTATATCCTTTGGAAAATTCATAAATACTATACATTTGTTGCTGATAAATAACCCATACATTTTGTAGCATTTACCGCTGGATATATTATTATTATAAATATTAAACAATTAGATACTTTATCGCTTTAAACATTTTACTATAGGAATATAAAAATATTGTGCCAATAAATGTTGAAAATATATTCTATAAATCGTTTTCAATTTTTTTTTATATTATATATTAATTTTTATATGTTACATATTGTATACATCAAAAAACCAATAGCAATAGAATATGAAAAAATGCAATTAACCTATAATAGGTAAATACATAGGTAGATATAATAAATTATATAATAAAATATCACAATAAACCCATTTATTATTATTTTAAAAATACGATTATTGTGTAGATACTGTCAGTGTACATTGACAAGATTAACGTGATATATATGAAAATTCGATAAACATTATAAATTACTTATCTAATTTATGAAATGTATTAAGGAAATGTATGTGTTTCATCAAAACAATTTTGAAAAATCAGGCAAATATTTTCATGACTCTTCACTTCAACAACTAGGAAGCTAAACATAATAAGTTTCCAAAAATGTAATGTACATTTTTTATCTATCCGCACTATTGAAATAATATAAAATATAACATTAGTAGCATTTAATTTAGGATTTACTTTCAGACTTATTCCAAGAGGTTTTTAAAATCATTATTATTAAATATATCCCAAAAAACTGTGTTGAAGGAAAAATGTTCAAATATTTTCAAATATTAATAATGTTATATTATACGGACATTAGAACTTGGATCAATTAAACAGTTATACATATCATACATCCAAACAGTACATATACCTTATAGGTATAATAAATCTTTTATAAATTGACGTTAGAAATATTAGGTATAAGGTAACAAAAAAAACCCCTATTTATTAAGTTTAGATAGTAAATAAAGTTAAAACACGTTGGATATTTGCATTATTAAATCGGAAAGTTAAAGTATAAAAATACTAAAGAATGTCATATTCTCATTTTTTTTTTAATCGCCTCAAATGTTCAATAATTAGACTCCGGTAATAAACATTTTTAGTTCATAATGTGGTTAGACATTTTTAGTTTCTCTTTTTAATTTTTTACTAGTTACCTATTTTTTGTCGGGATAACAAATTTAAAATGAATTGAGTATTAAAATCAACCTATATATTATTTTAATAACGATTTAGGTTTAAGACAATCTAGTTTAAATATTTTTATAATAAAGTTAAAATAAAAGTATAATATTATAACAGTATAGAAAACTTCGCACTGTAGTTACAAGAAACTATGCGTTTCCTTGGAAAAGAATTTATAACTGCGATACACTTTCGATTCTCCTCTTTCTCCCCTCTCTCTCTTTCTCTCTTTGTCTTCATTATTAAGAAGAATATTGTCATGGCCATAGTTCATGGACAATGGACTTATTGTCATCATTATTATTCATCATTAAATTGTTTTGGTTACCTAGTAATTCAAAAAGGGTGAAGAAAAAGCCGTAATTATTATTATGTTGAATTAGTTGCAGACCTACCTTTTACTTTACACATTTTTAATTCTTAAAAATTAATTTTATTCAATCTATTTTTTATTACATATACTAAAAATGGTTATATGTAAACAGTTCTAAAAAATGATTCAAATAAACTGCTGAGCTTAATATATATTATAAGTATTGAATTATAATTGATAGTTAGTAGGTATTATAATTTATTCATTTAATACAATTTAATTTAATTGACAATTGTAAATGAGTACCAAATAAATAATGTATGTAATGGTCTTTCTGAATTTAAATGTTATTTTTGTGATATTTTTGCATATTTCAAAAAATTCCATAGAATTTGGACAAAGTGAAGTCTCTTCCTCTAACCAATAACTTAAAATTGCTGAAAAATGATGCATCCTAAATTATTTTATTCATTATTATTTTGTATATTTATTTATCTATTAATTTAATTCAACATTGTTTTCCAGTTTTATGGCTTACGTGTGCAAAATACAAACTTCGATATTAAATATGATGATATTTTTTAATTAAGTACGGTTTATACTTGTGTATGACCAATCGCATAATGTGGACAAATAGGTCTCAACATGTCCACATAAAACATAATTCATTATATATATTCAATGGCGTATTTTCGGGGGGGGGGAAGGAAAAGATTCCCGGGTCTCGATCCCACCCTTCCCAGAAGAAAAATAACGTAAATAACTCTTCATTTGTATTTATAATAATAATAGAATAATATAATTATTAATTCATACCATCTATACATTTTTTTTGATATTGTAAAATCACTTATTTCTTAGAAAAATTTAACCTACCCCCCTAAATATAAAGCACGTATAGTATATTTTATGGCCGCGGTTTCATGAAAATTAAGATAGGTAATCAAACATAAATTATAGTTGTACGGTTATACTGAGATTACACAAATTATAAATTAATTAAAGCAATATTGTATCGTTACTCTATTGACTAACCGCCAAAAACGCATTAGCCAAATGTTTTTGGAGTAGTGGTAGTGTGAACCACTGTTCAAAATGATTCACAGAGGGGTGATAGAATAAAGATATGCGAATGCAAACAATAGTAATAAATTGTAATAATATATTTAGATGTCGCAATCGACAGAATAATAATAATGATGCTCGACGGAGTAGAATAATAAACAAAATTATTTAAAATATATGAGTTTGACACTGTTGAAATACGTACGTAAAAACAAAGGTGCGGAAAGGTAAAAGTGACAGACGTCTGACTCGTTCGAGGAATCGGTGGTGAGAGTGAACAAAGCTCGATCAAGCGATCGCGCCGTAACAGTCGTCGTTCGAACAGACAGGGTTTACATAATTTATAGCTGACAAGGAACATATATAAAATAATTCAAAATAGTAAAATACACAATTATAGGTTACACACCGAATCCCCACATGCTCATCAGTTTATCAATGTGTTATAAAATATTATATTAAATTAATTAAATAGTAATTTGTAGTTAATTTTCACTTTTAAATTGAAGTTACAATTATAAGGATAATGATAAGAAAAAAGTCAGAAAAATGGCGTTTTGAGTGTAACGAGAAAACCATTATTTTGTACTTATTTAAATTTACCAGGTTGAACTATTATTTCCTTGCCTTTTAGTTTCCACTCCACCACCAGATAACACTCTCTCTCCATAGGAAATTTCTGGGCACACCACTGTCTAAATAGGTAACTAATATCTGAAGTTTCCTCCACTCATCACAAGCATGCTTAAGATGAGAGGTAATCAGCTCAATTCGGATTGTCGTTTAATTTAATTTGTATTTATGTATCCTACCTAAGTCGAGTTGAATAAAATTATATTATTATACATGTATTTAAATTACAATTATAAATGTATTACCTATACATAAACAAAAATATAAATTCTCCTGTCCTTCTCTCTCTAATCTGTTTTAAAGTTCCTAGCCGTTCATCTCGTTCCAATGTCCTCTTTTATATCTTACACGCCACGACCAACTTATGGCTAATGAGTCTTTAAGGCGCTTAATGTAGTTTGCCAATATAGACCCTGCCTTCGACGATTTACTAAGCTATTAATGTTAATATTTATAACATAAGTTATTGTAATTGGATAGATTTTTTTTTCTTATTATATTATCATAATATATATATATTATGATAATATATTGATTCAATTTTGATTTTGAATTTTGAATTCTGTTATCACAAATATGTAATTTTTAATGTCGAAAAGGCTTAGCCCGTATAATTAATAAAAATAAAAACAAAAAGTAAAAAAAATATAACAGATGGTCTTTAAGTTTTAGTTGAGAACGCAAGTGCTGCCCTACAATAGCGGACCGTGTATTAGCGTTAGACGCTAATTATGGGCCGCAGAGGTTTTATGCACCCAAAAGTGGCTAGCCGCATGGAGAGGGGGAGTATACCAGGTCGCCAAAATGGGCCACCAGCACCAGGATGCCGACTCCTGTACCGTTGTCGCCCGGTTATATCTCAAGCGAAACCAATCCCGTCTAACCCAACCGCAATACGCGGGTGAATTAATGGCGACGACGGGATATGTTTTACACATGCCGTCCTGGGCTAACCGCGCTCCCCGACGTCCTTTTCGTCTTTTACACCGGGAACAAAAAGGTTGGACGTCCGCCGACGGTGGGAGGTCAGCCCACCGCCTACCGATTCAACACAGGCAATCGGCCTGCCGCTATCACGACCTAGCCGGCGTCTGAACTCGAAGCCCTGATGCAGACTTTACGGCCAAGATTAACGTGAGACACAACACGTAAAGCTCGGACTGAGTAAAGACCGATCATCGCCTCCCAGGAGTTACGTGTAATGGTAAATTTTGATCGCCGACCGGTCCCGCGGTCCAGGGCACAGTCGGTATTTTACGCGACTCGGTTGTGTAGGTGGAAGTTGCCACCGTGGCCGAAGTATAAGTTCGCTGTTCGTGGGGGACGTATTCATAGCATTTCGTCCCTCTCCTCCACCATAAGGGTGTGTTTTAATACTGCTATCCAAAAACCGCGGAGCCGGTCTAGTGACGAGAACTAGCGCTCCGAAACCAGGAAAACCGGGTTTCCTATATGTATATAAATCGAATAGTGCAGTAGCATTTTTTAAACAATAAAACCGTGGTAATAGAGTGTTATCATATCATGTGCGACGATAGTACTATCTTATCAGACGTTCATCCCTTGTTTTCGCTATCCATTTACTGGCCACCGCTGATTCAAAAACATTGAAAACATAAACAATGTCTATAAATTCAAAGAATTATTATTGTTTTGTAGTCTTATTTGAGCAATTATTAAACTCCTACTGAGAATATAGGTAAACTATTTTTGTTTTTTTTTTTGACATTATTTTTGATATTCTACAATCATGGCCATTAAGATATAATTTATCATGAACCATCAACAATTTCCATTGTCTTACGGCGATGACAATAGTATTGAGGACTACTATTCTCCAGCTGGTAACTTTTTATCTAGTAAATAATTTTGGCAATCACAAAGGTTATAGTTCATATTTTACAAAACCAGATTACTACGATATATATGTTGATGAGATCAACATCAAAAATCAGTATGATCAGTCAAATGTGGACATTCATGACAAATCGTCATTTTGGAGCGATTTGACTTTTCATCAATTGTGCACTAATTGTATTCTGCCAGCTGTCTGGAGTACTTTCAACCTGCTAGGCACTACTCTTATTTTATGTATAGTTTTCAGATTATTCATTGTTATAAGTAAGAAAAATATTTTATTCATATTATTGTTCAACTGATTAATTAAAAATATATTCATAATTTCAGATAATAAGTTTAAAGTAGTCCCCGAATCAATTTCGCACATAGTATGTGCCATCTGTGGTGTTCTACCAATAGTACTGTTTCATGAAGATGGAGACTTGTATGGATTATTACAACAAATTATTTTATTTCCAATATTTTGTTATATAGTGTCCATAATATGCATGTTGCACCTAAAACAACATTCTTCTCTTGTGTTTTCAGCAATAATTTTGTTAACATTGTTGTATCGGTGAGTCATTATTTACTTAAATCTTAGAAAAAATTAACAACTGAAATGTAATTTTATTATTTACCACTGTATAGATTTTCATTTATTATTTTGTTATCATATAACATATAATCATATAATCCTTAAGTTAATCATCATATTTGTTCAAACTTAAGTGATTTTCATTTAAAATTCATTTTATATAGGTATATATAATTTAATAGTTTTTAATCTATTATAATATATCAAATTATGAAGCGCGGTTAAATGTAACATATTACGATTTATATTTCCTAAAAAAATTATACTAACGGCTATAAAATATTAATTTAAATCTAAATTTTTACAGAGAAGGTTTTTTGGACAACTCAAAATGGCAAAAAACTAAAAGTGCCCATATGCTTATGTCTATGAAGGCAATGGCTGTATTATTTGATGTTAAGTCAAATGAATTGCATAAATTTCCTTCAATAGCTCAATATGCAGGTTATATGCTATGTGCAGGTACCCTTTATCTGGGTCCATTTTTGTCATTTCAAGAATACAACAATACTTTTTCGTTGCCTGTTAATTGGGTAAAATTAATTAACTAATTACATTTTTACTTATTATTTAATATTAATAGAATAATATAAAGAAGTCTTGAATTCTAATTCTACCTATCTTAATAATAGAATAGTAATTTGCAATTCTAAAATTCTACTAGTATTCCTAGTATAAAATAAATGTAATTTATTTTGTTAATAAAATTAAAGTTTCCAAAGAAATATTTTAATTATTAATAAAACTAAAAAAATTGCTAACATGTATACTGACATTAACATTTTTTTTCACATTTAGAATAAAACTAAAATATGTCGTATTATATGGAAAATAATAATTTCATTGATTTTCTTTGTATTATCAATTTGTGTAGTGGACTGGTTGCTTAGCCAAAAAATAGATGTGCATAAAAATAGGTAAAGTTAAATTTTGAAATTCGGTATAAAATTTAAAATTTTTATAATTTATAATTAATAATAATTCTATGTTACAGAAATACACCTACAAATATTTTTCTAATAATGTACAAGCAAGCTTTGGAGTTTCGCACCGGTCATTATTTTGTAGCATATGCATCTTCAGTTTTCGCTATAATTTGTGGATACCACAGTCAACACAGTAATGAAATTATAGTAACACATCCTTTGACTATAGAGTTGCCAAAATCTCTATTACATGTAGTTGTACATTGGAATACACCTATGCATTATTGGTTAAAAAAATGTAAGTGATTTTCAAACTTCTTGTTTTTGTTATGAGAACTAACAGAGATCATATTTGTATTTGTTTAGATATATTTGAGCAAGTTTTGAAGTATGGCAGTAAAAATAAAAAATATAGAAATAGAATAATTGCTGTAGGAACCACATATTTGATAAGTTCCCTATTACATGGTTTAGAACGACGGTTATCGGCAGTATTACTTTCACTTGCTGCTTATACATATGTAGAACATCTCATGCGTACAAAATTAGCATTAAAGTTTCCAAGATCATTTTATTATTATTCTAAAATTGATTATTCAAATCAAGGTTCTAAAAAATATTTAAATAGTTTCAATAAAAATACCTGGTTATCTTGGAGTGTTAACATAGTATTTACTATTTTAAATATTATTCATCTTGCTTATCTTGGTTCAATAATGGACATGTCTGTAAGTAATTCAGGTGAGACCATCAATCAAGATATATTTGCTCCTTGGCGCCGTGTCTCATATTTCAGCCATTTTATTATGTTGTTTATGTACTTTATCAGTATTATTTTATAAAGTTAAAACCATATGTACTTATTTTTATGTAAATAATTGTATTAGTGTATAATATTTTGTATACATTTATTTTATTTTAATTTATTGGCTAATATAGCAATATGAATTATAGTTTTATAAATTTGAAAGAAATCATTAAATAGAACATCTAAATTTAAAGAAATCTGTGTAAAAATGTTTGTATTAATAAATGAATAGAAGATACCAAAATATTATAAAATTATTAGCTAAATGTAATACATTATATAATCATTGAATAATTTAATCAATACTCCCTTGTATATTTTATTGAACGAAAAAAAAAACAAAAAAAAATGGTAACAAGTACAATTAGAAACATTTTTAATATGTATGTGACACAAAAATAATATAACATAAAATGTTTAAGTAAATAAGCCTTACAGAATTATACAGAGTATTAATAATAAATGATATGTCAAAGTTATGCATTATACAAACAATATGAATATGAATATATTTTATTTAAAGAACAATCCATTTATAAAATACAGTTATAAAGGTTAATTCCCACTAGATAAAGAACATATTTAACAATTCTTGGTCATCAGGAACAGATATTTACTCTGGTCTGGGTCGTATAAATACAGGGAATGCTAGTTCCAAGGTAAGCCCATATAAGAGCCTGAGAATACAATTAGAATTTTCAACCCAAACAAGTCAGAATGGCTTAAACTTCCATTTAAAAAAAAATTCTACTCTGGTGGAGCGCCTAGCAGAAACATATTAGTGGGAATAAACCTTAATAGTTTATACTATTTTTATATAAATAACTTAATATAAATCATAAATATTTAAAACTATAAAATAAAATTATACTAAAAATACATGTTACCCATTACCCATAGACTAGAAGTGACACCAATTTTAATAAGATTCAAATACTTTTTGACACATGTATTTCAAATACTTAAAATTTATTTTTATTCCAGTATACTTAATACTTTTTTTTTTTTGTTCTAGCGTTGTGTTACTAATTTTTTCATATTTTAGATTATGTTTCTAAAATATTATTGATTATAACGATTTTAACAAGTAAGAATCTTTAAATAATATGATAACAGAATGATTAACCCCACTCAATAATATTTTTCGATTGTCCCATCATTCCTACATGCATGACAGCGTACAGGACATAAAATTAATAGTTGTATTGGCATGTCTTGTACCTATGGTATAAGTCATTTTTCATAATATTTTAATATCTGATAAGTCTCAGAAATGTATGCATTTGCAATTTTTTTTCTTTTGTTTGGATTTATTGCTAAATGAGTACAAATCTAAAAAAATGTAGTGCAACTTTTGGCAATTTTTTGATTTTTTTGATTTAATTGCAATATTGTTAATTTTTCTGTTTTATAATATAATTTTAGATACAATTGAATATAACTCACATAATTTATTTATTTTTTTTTGTATCAAAGAAATAAAATAACAATGGTCACCATGTCAGAATAATATAGTAATAAATAATAATTGATGGTTATTTTATTGATTGTGATGAATATATTGGAAATAATATTTGATTAAATGATGCATAATTTGCTGTTCTCAACTTGAAGATCCTTCGAGTTTAAGAACTAAAAGAAATAATTAATCGTTAAAAGCAATAATTTTTAAGGTAGGCATACAAAATTGTATTAAAAAATAAAACAAAATTTTTCAAATAAAACGTTTTTAAATAATAATAGTTTGTAGGTTTCTCTTGGAAGATTAGACTAAAACTAATATGAATTTTTATTTTGAAATATTTTATAAAAGAGCTCATATTTGTAATATGGTAATCTTAATAAAAAATATTTATAAATATTTTTTTTAAATAGTTATTTTGATAAATAAAAACGTTAATAGTAATTTTTAAGTACAATTTTGGATATTTTTTACTGCAATAATGCAATCATTTTTAATGTTTATAGTGCAATAACTTCCGAGTCCTAATAATAAGTAATAAGAATAATATAATTTTTAGGTAATATATTTAAGTACTAATACCTATTTACAAATAACACATATTTCAGTTTAAAATGTAAAGAAATAAAAAATAAAAAAATTGATAAAATATTTTAACTGAACTTAAAAAAGTTATTTGTGCAGTATAACCTTAATAATCTGACACCTATGGGATCATAAAAATGCTGGATTATGAAAAAAAAAACTAGAAATTTTTAAAAAAAAAACCTAGTAAAAACATTTATTTATTTATTAAATTATACATACATATAGAATTTAATTCAATAAGTAGTATTGAAAAGGTCCAATTTATTTAGATAAATATAACAATTATCATCGATAAATTTATGATTTTTATTATAATTCCAATACCATCTTAAATAAAAAATTTAAAAAAAAAAATTATAGCGGGTTGTGATAAGAATATGCCAGATTACTAAAAGATCTGGACTAATAAAGTGCCGGATTATTAAGACTAAACTGTATTTTAATACATTTGAAAAGTATTCTTAACAATACTGTTCAAGTTCGATTATACACATTTGTGCACATTCATAAATTTAATTTAGTAGTAATTAGAAACATTAAAATTATTATAAATGCCTAAATTATAATGCTTCTCAACACTATGAAATTATAATCATTCAACAAATAATTTGAAAACGATGCTAATAATTTTATGTCTTTACATATTATACATTAAAATTGAAATATGGGTCCAAATTATTATAAAATGATTTGCCGATGTTTTGACCAATAGTAAAAAAAATCAGTTTGAGACATATTACTAGGATCAATATTTAATTCATAAAGTGCTTCTATTCGCCAAATCTATAACCAAAAAAAGAGAAAATAAATAAAAAATATCTATTTAATTAGTACCAAAAACTGTAACTTACGTCTTCATCTTCAGGAGATGGCGCTGGTAAAATACTTTTAGAATTATACATTAAATCTTGTTTAGTTACTAATCTGACTTTGTACAGAGCATACTTGTAAAACATTGCATAATAGTTTGGAGATAAACCTAATTGAAATGTAATAGCAAATCTGCTTATACATTTCTATAATATAAAATTTTATTGAGATAATATTATTAGTGCATGATTTATTTTAATTAGAAAAATTATAATACATACATTCAGAATTTTTGGTCTTAAACTTTTTATATTAAAAGCTTCAGTAAGATTTGTTGAATGAAACAAGGTACAGCCAAATGAATCCATATTACTAATAGGTATCGCATTGCTTAATTTCCTTATATAGAAATCTATTAAGAAAAAAAAACAATTGATAATTAATTTATATTATTTACAGTTGCTAGTTGTAGAATTATGAAATTATAAATACATACAATTTAAATGTACAATACTTACTTAACATTTGATTTTCATTAATGGATCCATCCTCATTACATGCATCCATATTACTGAGCAAATGGAATAAAGCTGCTAATGTATTAGCACTAAGTAATAAGCCTGCGTTAACATTTATAGCTCCATTGACATATTGACCTGCATAGTAGTTATGATTGTATTTGTTGATGTTTATTAAAGATATTAAATGCATCAAGTTTTCATAAATTAACCAGATATTATCCTTGGCCAAGAATATCCAATCATATTTAATAGTATTATAATTGTATTTCTTATGTAAATGTAGTAGAGTCTGGCAATAATACTTCCACGGATGTGGTGAATAAGTTTCGGTCAAAACATGACCAATATACATATGTTTTTGTTTACTCACATATATTTTACTATTGCCGCATTTGTCAAGCCAAACATTTTGTTGTACGAGTAAAGAATCAATATCGTTTATAAATATAAGGCACAAAAGCGATGTGTTATGAATGATATTTGCCTTGGTCAAATCTATTCTATAGTAATTATTTGTATTGCTGTTGAAATTAATTTGATCGAAATTTTCTTGTTTAACCGACGCTGAAACCAATTTCTTGTTATCGTAGTTCATAAACAAATAATATGTGAAAACCGACAGAATGCCAACAACGAATCCCATAAATAATGGCAGTTTATTTATACATTTTACTCTACTACTATTTGAGCTCCTATACTTCGGCATGGTTGCGATTGAAGATATTCATATGTCAATGAATTTAGGAACACATCAACTTTTTTCTACGTAAACCGTAGCACCAAATAGCTAAATAGCGATTTAATAGATACATTATTTTTAAGTGGTATTAAATAATTATCGACCAATAATGTTAATTTTAATCATCAACATTTTTATCATACAATAGGTACTTGTATTATCACAAGGCCAACGGTTGTTGTGGTGTTGTTTCAGTCACAGCCACGAACGTATGGGGACCGAATGTCGCGACACAAGTGCGATCAAGTGACGATATAGGTAAGTGTAATAAATACAAATTTAGAATGTTGCAAGTTGATTTTTATTATTTCATAAGACTCGATCAGATAGGTAATTAGACAATATTACATCGAGTATATTCAAAAGAATTATTATTTATTACCTAATATAAATAGAGCCGGTAGCTGAATTACTACCGACACGGATTTACATAATTCCGGAATGGTCGGTCACCGAAACTTATTGATGGGTTCACTGTGTAATATGCAGCAAGTACTAAAATCAAATTCTTGATTTTTGGAATGTTTTTTGAATGTGAAAGTTTGCTTAGAATTATTTTAACAATGAAACTATTTTGAAATTAGCAAAATAAAACTATCAGAAAAATAAACAATCATCTTATGTATTGTCATTAACAGGGTCGTTTGAAGACATGGGCCCAAAGCTGTAGGCCTCAAGATTTGATGGGACCAAAATTTATATAAATCACATTATATCTACAAAATATTACAGTTTTACATTTTTTTTCTTTTCTGTTTTTAAAAATAAGTATCGAATGCAAAATATTAAAATTAGCTTTTTATAAAAATAATGCAATTCTATAAATAAAAATAAAAATTGAAGTTTCTGTCCTCTTATGATATATCATGGGTAGACAGGGTTTAAATAAATTGTGAAAAATGTTGAGTATAAAAATATGAACAGTTTGCTGATCTACAAGCAACGTCAGATTGGACAAATTCGGCCTACCGAGTTTTCTATATGTTACCGGCCCACTTACTAACTGGCGACCCTTGTCCAAATTTTTTTAATCGCATATATCAATAGGTGCACTAATCTTCAACTTTAAACTATTAATATTTTCTGTTAGCGGCCTTTCACAACAAAATTGTCGCGGCCCACCGAGTTTTGCTCGGTAACTCGCCGGGCCAATCCGGTCGGTCTACAAGCTGGAATAAAAGAAAAGGCGCATGAAAGCTGTAAGTTATTTTTAGTTTATACAAAAATTATATAATTCATGTATTTAAAGGCCCCCTATATATATGTGTGTGTGTGTGTGTGTGTGTGTGTGTGTATATAAGCCCTAGAACAGGATTCGGGATCCAGAGACTCCTTAACATGCAATCTGTGTCTCTTTGGAAAATATCGAGACCCGTAAAATATAAATTATATCATACGTTATTTTAATGATATTTCTGAATTTCTTTATAACGATGTTTATTTCAAGTGAAAATAAAATATTTTATTATGTATATCTATATATATATATATATATATTATTTATCTATAATGACCCCTCAATATTTATTATTTATTTCTATAAACTTTTCACCATATTATAACTTAAAAATATTGTGAACGAGTCCAGTGGCGTAACTAGGTAGAAAAGGGCCCCGGTGCAGTAAAAATAATTGGACCCCTCTCTAATATTATCTTAATATGAAAATACAAAATATACTGGTCATATTGTTCTTTCAAATACAAATACTTACTATGAAACGATAAACGAAAATAATTAACGGATAATTAATAATTGTACAAAGTAAAAAGGAAATGCAGTTTAATATTATACAAAACATATTGCATATAAAGTGAATCATTATTATACTTAAATACTCGATCTTAACTAGAATTGATTTTGAATAAATGATTGCCACATATTATTTAATTTTAATATTTAATAATTACTGTTATTATTTTCATGTTCTTTAATACATTATGTACACTATTTTCCCTGAAAGTTTTTCATCAAACTACCACGTATAATTTAGGAATTATATTTATCAACATTTTCATTTATTTGAAAGAAGTATAGTTTCAGAATTGTCCACGGCCTTGTGCTCCAGGGCCCCGGGGCACTACCCTATATTGCCCTATGGTAGCTACGCCACTGAACGAGTCTATAAACAAAAATCTCAAAATTTAAGACGTAAATAGAAGATTTAGAAGTGAGTGCATTTGTCCAGAACATATTGGGACAACTAAAATGTCTTATTTGTCACAAAAACTTACTACTAATAAAAAAAAAGGATATCCAAAAAGCTCTCTGAGTATCATGGTTTTGAACATTTTTTTTAAAAAAATTGCTCTTTTCTACGAAAAGATTCACGACAGGGGCGTATTTATGGTGGGTGAGGGGGCTGGGGCCCCCTCCAAAATGAAAAACACCATTGTTAAAGATTGTTATTTTCAACATGGATATGTCTTAATGCTGGAGGTTACCGAAAATTTGTCGCGACACTGAGAATGTTGCTTATGCGATAATTTAAAATTTTATATTTATAAAATATATTTATTCTTTTAAGAAAATATGTGGTGAATTTTGAGTGACTCTAATAAAAAATTTGTTTATTACAATGTAGTTTTTATACATTTAAAAAATAATAAATCATTAAAAAAATTGAGTTTCTTATTTCTCTGATGGTGTAAAGACAGTCGAGAAGTCTTATAGTGGTAAAGTATTTTGTTTCGTAATAGTGTACTTACTCCTTCCCTTTCACCCATAAATCAAATACATAATCGGCCACTCCGAAATGAAAATCTATATACGCCACTAGTTCACGATTTTATGGTCTCACATTACTCTAAAAACGGCACCGATCATTAACGTTTATTTTAACATAATTTATTATAAGAAATAAATGGGAACTGCCTAAAGATATGTTTACAAGTAAAATAATGGAAAATAAAAAATAAGTTGCTCCAGGTAGAAATTCTTTGTCGGCAAAAACGAAAGTTTTGAAGTTTTCTGGGGGGGGGGACCGATCAATTTTTTTTAAGACTTCTGTAGCGACTTTTAAGGATCATTAAATTAATTTTTAAATTTTCTTAATATTTTTAATATTTCGGAGGGGGGAGCTGCAGCCCCCCAGCCCCACCCCTGGCTACGCCACTGGCCCCCTTATAGAAATATGTCTGGTTACGTACCTGTATATAATATATAGCTCACTGCAGTATAAATTAGTCTGCGTGAACGTTTATTCATTTTTACCTATTTATTTTGAGTTATCTGCAGTCGCGACGTTAGTACGGGCGTACCTACACTTGTATTTTTTTTTTTTAACTTGTGGCCCATAGAATTTCCTATTTGTATTAATTAAACTATTGTATTATATCTATTTATTTATTTTATTATTGTTAATTATTTATGTTTATATGAAGTGCATTATTCAACGATTATGGAAACTTCTGGATTATGAGCTGATATATTAGGGGCCAGAAATATAGTTGCACATCATGTAGCGAGTCTCATCTATAATGTTAATAACAATGTAGTTGTCTAATATATAAAGTTATAAATCACAACAATATAGAAAATATCGGCTAACGGCATCCAACTTTGGAAAAGTCTGTAAGCTTCGATCTACAACTTCCCGTGCAAATACAATAAAGCATATTTTGTACGATATTTTTCAAGGAAGTTCAGCCACGAGGTAAGCTTAAGGTTTTTTTTAATGAGTGAACGTAGCAACTAAATAATATTTATTGATTATAGTTTATAATTAGTAACTAATAGATTCGTATGCATTATATTTAAATATTATTATTTCGTTTATATAGGTATGGAATCGAAAACGAATCGATTGCTAGAAACGCCGTTCAAGATACTTTAGAGACTATACAATTAGCAGGTTTAGTTATTTATAAATCTTTTCATTATTTATCTGCAAGTCCAGACGGGTTAATAAACGAAGACTCGATAGTTGAAATAAAATGTCCGTCAAGTATTAAAGAACACACACCGCAGGAAGCGGTTACTCTTAAAAAAATTAAAATATATGACCGATTATAAGGGAAAGATTGTTTTAAAAAAAAACGGACTGTTATTATTTCCAAGTACAGGGCCAACGCAATACTGCCGAAAAGAAATATTGTTATTTTGTAGTATGGAGTCCCAATGGTAATCAAATTATTATATAGTTGTTATTAATTGTTTTTAAATGTTTATGATGTTGGCAGGTTTTGTGGTAGACAAAATACCTAGGGACGAATCATTTTGGAATACAAAAATTGAACCATTTGTTACTCGATTTTATATGCATCATAACTTTCAGAAATAACCAATTCTAGGTTTGATCGAAGATTACTAATAAGGCCAGGCATTCCCGAAAAAAAAGTTGAATACTTCAATAGTTGTAGTTTGATAATTATTATTATATTAACTGTGATAAATTATATAAATATAATTACCATACAACTTATGAATTTATTTGTTATGATTATAGCACCTTTAGCTTTTTATTTTATTTCAAATACATCTTGAACTAATTAATAATTAGATGTTATGAATATTCGTTCTAAGAATTTTTTTTATAAAATTTGGCAACCGATGATTCTCGCACTCAAATTGCAAATGCATTATACTTATTAATTATTATGAATTGATAAATAATAATAATAATATTGAATAATATTATAGCGTATAAAGCTGGTTACACACGTATCGTTTCGTGCACTGCGTTTTCGCGTTTCGGAAATGCTGCGTTTTACCATCTAAAATTATATACTCATGTTTAAATATGTATATTCACACGATAAGCATAAACGGAGCGTTCGACAGCTGTCGAACGCTCCAAGACGAAATGGTTCAATTTCTGAGCGTCCGTACGCTATCAAACGCTAAAATTAGACATGGGTTTTGTAATGTAGTTATACACAGGGGGCGTATCTTTCGCCGCGTTTTTTTACTATCTCGCAATACTACATACAAATTTATTAATAATCAATTTTATTTCATTCATAAAATCATACCAACGAAGTGTGTTTACACACTGCAGCAGTGCATTTTTTAACTAGTTAACTAGGCGACAAAAATGTCGCCCAGTGATTATTCTCTGTCGACAGTATTTTAAAAGATTAAGCGAAATAATGCGAAACAAACGTGTAATACTATAATCGTATTATGGTATTATACATTGAATATTTCGAGAAAAACATTTTTTGTCTCCCAGTGAAAATTCCTTATAAAATGCACTGTTCTGCGGTGAATATTATTGTATAGGTACTTTAGTACCTACCTACCTGCTTTTTTCCTGCAATGGCATTCGACACAGAAAAGTTTATACTTGAGGTTCAAATCGAAGAATATTTGTAGAATATACGTAAGTATTTATATAGATAATTTGTATGAACTTACTCGTATGAAAAATCAATGTTTTAAAAATACTCTTTGTTTGTTTTTTATGGTCCTTGTATAAAGAAATATAATCCTCCGAAAATTACATAAACTATAATGTACTTACACATTTACTAATTACTAAAATACATATTTTATTGTTTTATGACTGAATAGTTATATAAATTAAAACAATTATATTTATTATTGAGCAAATAAATTTGAACTGATATACCTAAGAACCCCATGTTCCTCCTCTTAGCACCGTGCCTGTCTACAGTTATATAGAATAAACAAATCTATAGTTAAATTTCTAAGTTTAAATTTTTAAAAATTAACTTTTTAGACACCTAAATACCTAATAAATAATTTTTGACAATTTACGTTAAAATACATTACACTAAAAGATTACTTTGTGATGAATTTTGTACGTATATTTCAATTCCTGATTTTTTTTCAGAGTCAAAATCTTATCATGATAAAATAGAAAAATATGCGAGTTAAACAAAAGTAGCGACATCTTGCTTGGATGATTTTATAAATTGTGATGAAGACACAAATAGAAATCAAAGAAATCAATTACATCAATATGTATATATTAAACAAATTACAAACTGTGTATTTATTAAAAATAAAATTAATAACAGTTTTGTTAGAAAATATAATGGAGGGGAACAAATGATTAAAAATGTTATAATGTATTCTGTTTGCAGTTATTATTTTACAAAAAAAAATGGAAGTCTCTTAAAAATGCATTCCGAAGAAAGTGTATAACCAAGTCAGGGCAAGCTGCTAGTAAAACTCAAAAATACATATTTTCAAATATTTTGGAATTTTTGAGACCCACTATGTTAAATTGATCGTAAGTTTATTTAAATACTTTTATATATGTATATTATCCATGACCAATATTTTTATGTAAATGCATATTATTCATAAATATTTTAGATTTTGAGGTAAATGAAAGATTTTCTGGTTTTACAATAATGTTTATTATTATTATTTTTTTTAGAACTGAAAGTAACATTGAACACAGTGATGGTTTAAGTGAGTGCGATATTGAAGGAGACGAACAGGACTGGAACAATGAAACAGTTCATAGTCATGGTGTTGAATATGCTGAAAATGAACAGCAGAATACAGGAAACCAGACAAAAAAACTAAAAAAAAAATCTGTAGATTTTGAAACACGTTTGTTGACAATGTTAGAGGAGCGTAAAGAAGAAGTACATTGCCCAGAAAAACTTTTTTTGCTATCTCTTTTACCCAAAATTAAAATTCTTATTGAAAATCAAAAAACTCAACTGTACATAGACATACTGAATTCAATTAAAAATATTCAATCTCAAAATGGTTCTTTTTCAATTTCACATACTACTCATAATGATACTGTCAATTATCATGAATCAGCTAATTTTAACCCAAGACCAATAGTTAATAACATTATAAATTCTCGTTATGCAGCTCCAAATTCAACTCGTTCTCCAAATGAAAACATGTTTACGCCTATTACAACTATTCACAATTATCCTGAATTAAATTTACATCCACAATCGTCAAGCACCATAACAAACCACATTTTATTAAATTATTTTTATAGTGCAGAATAATTTACTTACCAACTCATCAAATAATTGTATGTTCATCCGGTAAAACTTAAAAAAAATCTTCTGGATGTGCTCGTAAGGTCATAAAATCTATTTGGAATTGGTCTTCTAGTGGCCTTTTCAAATTTAATGGGTATACCCAATAACGTCTTCTGTTCGTTTTTTATTTTTGCATTTTGTGTTTTTTGTATAAAACATAAGCAACACATGTCGCTTCAATATCATTAAACTGATCCATCATAGATGTAAAAATAACAATTTTGAAAAAAATTAACTTTCGAGTTTCGACTTTCTTCGACCACGTTGTAATTTGAACTGGACAATGACCAAACCGTATGGACTATGATTTTAAATATGTTTTTGCGCATTTTTGGTAAAGAAAAACGCGCTTAGAACGCAGGTACGCTCTTCTCGTGTGAACACTTACAGCGTTCGCGTTTCGATACGCGGCGTTTCAAAAACGCGAAAATGCAGCGGACGAAACGCTACGTGTGTAATCAGCTTTATATTTCAAAAATAAACAGCTGAATGGTTAATCTTTTTATTATAAGATTAAAAAAATATAATTCTTGCAATTATGTACCTACATCCCATGATACATGCACCAATGCAATGTAACTATAAGTTATTTAATTTTGAATGTCATTGTAATAAGTAATTTTACTTTTATGAGTATTAAAAATTTCAACTTAATCAACGATCTAGCATAAATATTTTTTATACTTGTAACAACGGCTATCGAATAACGTTAACGAGAAGTAAAAGTCGAAAGCGAAGCTACCGGCTGTAGCAGGTACACAGCTCACAGCTCCAAAACTAAAAGTGGTTTCTCGTAGATTACCATATGAAGCAGGAATTATTATGAACTATGCAGAGCACATAACTGGATCTATGTTTAACGTGGGGTCCAAAAACACTAGGATTATTCTCGGAATGAATAAATAAATTAGCATTGATCATAGGCTTTTTCTAATTTCTGATCTCAAAGTTATTGTTTGTTTAGTAATTTTATAAACACACAAGAATTCTGAGATAGAAAATTTGATAATATTAAAATAATTTGTGACGCCCCTAAATTCATAATACTTTGTTATGCCCTAAGATACTTGCCTCATGTAAGATACTTCCCTCTCCCTTTGGGACAGCTATGCATAGCTATGGGTATTAGTACCTACTCATTGTAAAATAGTAAATTTTTTTGTTTATTCAATAAATCGTATAAATCATAAAAAAACACAGTAGCGTTAGAATGTATAAAAGAGAAATCGCTTTTATTTAAAACATAGGCTTTCACAGGCGCGGATCAAGGGAGACGGTAGAGGCGACTCCCCCCCCCCCTCATTGGCCGTATCAAAATGTGTTAATTTAATTTGATATCCTATTAAATTGCATTATCTTGCATAATAACATTCTATGTATTGTTACTATCACCCATTTTCGTCTTTTATTTTTATAACATAAATTAATGATTAGTCGATAAGAACAATATTATTGTGACCGTACGATCGATAACATCCGTCAGCCGGCCAGCCCCAGCCGAATCATATAGTATACTTATTTATAATCCACCCCTCCTGTTATGGTCGGCTGGATCTGCGCCTGGGCTTTCAACAAAAAATAGTATGAATAAAATAGTAATAAATAAAATTAATAATTACTGTAAAATAAAAAATATATAGGCTTTGATTAAAGCATAGGTAATGTAATTTGTGTTAATTTACTTTTTTTTTCTGTGAACATTTTTTGAATACTGTACCTACACGGTTACACACTACATCAATAATCTTTATTTGCCAACATATTCTGTATTTTATAAAAATTAGATTCTGGTAAAACTTGATATATACAAAATTCGAATTGGTCTTATATATGTTTAAATTACAGCCCTAATATTATATTATAATGGGCTTTTGTTAATTACTATTTTTTTATTATCTTTTTGTAAAAACTTATTAGTTATATAATAGGTTAAAGAACTGTCTAATATATTATTTCAAGGTTTATAATTTTAATACAAACATGTATTATTCTTATAGAATTGAAATATTTTTAGAATTCAATGATTTTATCTACGAAGGACATTCGGTCCTTACCAGTTTTTTAAATATTTGGTTTCAATTTAAATTCTATAATGATATTAAATTGAGTACATAATTCATTTTTATGAACATCTTAGATTCATATTTATATAATGAGCATTGATATTTTCTGGATTTCTTGAATAATATTACTAACATAATATTATATTATTGTGGAGGTATTCAAAAATGTAAGCAGACGTACGTTATTTCCATTACATCAAACCATTTTAGATTCTGAAGGATAATGTATACGTTTTATTATGATGATTTTATTTTTCTGTTCACTTTTTCAATTACAAAATCTGTACCAAAAATTTGTCTCGAAATATTCTTTAAAATATTGATTTTCATTATTTCGGTGGTTTTTAAGATATGATGATCGACTCCTCCCCAGGACTAATAAAAAATTAAGAATTGGCCTTCATCAAGCAATTTTTTTGTTAAAAAAAAAAAAAAAATTGTTCATAATAATTACAATAATGAATCATTCTCTCGTTGTACATGGGAACCGTGATTAAGTATTAAGGATAAAATAAATGTTTAAGACCGATCATGATTGAGTTCCGGTAAAAACATTATTGTTTAGCATGGACACAGCAAAGCAAATATTTATCCTATGTCGCGGGCGGGTTAACGATCGAGATCGACGACCAGCTCGCCGTGGGGCTCGTCCACAGGTGTCTAATTATCACTTATATTGCAACTCTATATCGGACCCTATAGTGCAGCTGTGAACGCCGGGCAGTCGACGGGCGAAGGTCGGGACGATGGAACGTGGAGTGAAACGTTCGTAGACAAGAGAATGCACGACGGACGGCGTAGTCGTGGGCCAGGCGAAAATCTTATCCGCAAACGTCGTGATTCTTCCGTCCGTACCGATGGCACGATGGAAAATTCAAAAATCAAAATGCCGGCCGGCGGCTACCGATCCCCGTGAAACGTGTACGGTAATATCGCGCGTGCGTCCAATCAGCATTGGGCCGACGTGGATCTTGGAACAATGCAACGACGGGCAACGTACGATATTTCGTGCTCGCACACCCCCATACCGTAACCAACACCACCGCCGCCACCTCCACCACCACCACCACCCCGATAACCCAACGACGGGAAGGCTGACCCGCCGACAGCGGTGTGCCGTTTAGTGTTTTAAAGTTTCAATTGCAAAAACGAACGGTATTGTCAATGTTACGATATCGTACACGACTTGCAATAACATGGTTTGAATTTTTTGATTCTCGCATTATTATTTTTAATACTGTAAAACCCGACGACGGTCAACGGTGATACCGCGACGCACGATGTTAACAGCGCACAACATTGACGCACGCGCATGCACACACACGTATGAACGCACGCGCATACACACACACGTACGAACGCGCGCGCGCTGATGAAAATACACACACACATACAAACCCACGCACACGCATACGCACTCCAAATCAAACGTTCGCTGTTTCGTCTACTGTGCTCATTTTCGTACGATTCGATCGGGTTGCATCCCTTGACCCTACGTGTCGACGGTTAGCGTTAACTACCATCACGCGCACGCCCGCGTCCCGACTACGCTGCCCGTCGACCCGACCGACAGCCAACCGCTTGCCGCGCTCACCGCCCGGCGATCCGTTTCAAAGTTCCAAACCGGTATGTATTCGTCGTCGGGATTTTTTTCCTTCGTTTCCCATTGTTTAGACGCGAATCTCGAACAAGCAGTTCGCCGATGACGCTCTCTGTACAGTGATTTTTTTTTCGGGTTTCTCTTCTTTTTATTTTTTTTTCTTTTGTTTTGATGCTGCTCAACTGAGTGAAACAACCACTCGTTCAATTCTCGTGGCTCGTATGACACCGTTTCGCTTTTTTTCTGTTGCAGAAAACGTTTAGTAACGATTTTGAAAGGTTTCACTGTCGTTTTTCAAAAATGGCCGTCAATCTACATCAAGTGAACAACGACACCGCAAATAGCAAACGATTGTCGTTGATAAAAATCATCAAGATTGATCTGTCCAAAGAAAACGATAACGGGACCAATGATGAGAGTACTGAGTATTCGCCGGCGTACATTTTAACTATGAACACTTGCAACGTGAATAGCGGAACTGCATCACAAGAAGTGAAATTTCAATTATTAGGTACGTTTGATTGAATTAGTATATCAATGGTATCACTATAGGAAGTTACAAATTAAACAAAATTATTTTATTTTCATTGTTGGTAAGTAATTTTAATAAGGTATTGTTTAGTACCTATATTGTTTCATTTTGGATAGTATTTTTTTTTTTTGTATTTTATGTATGTAGGTACCTATATATTTTTTATTATTTAGCTTTAATAATATTTTGTATTGTCTCGTATCAATTACATAGCTAAAACTTGTGCACATGAACATATACCAGATACACAAAAACATTCATTTAAAATTCTGATAATAATTACATTTTATTATCATTTTGATTTTAGGTTTCTTTTTTATAACTAATTTAAAACTATTATTTAACAAATTAAAGTATATATTATGAATGTTTCCTGTAAACTTGTGTATTATCACTAACATTTTTGTTAAACTATATACTTAACTATTATTGACAATAATATCATTAATTATAACGGACTATATTAAACATTACTAAAAAATGAATCTTTATCTATCATTATATCTATTTATTTTATCATTAGTTATATTCAGGGCTTGGATTTGTATGCAATAAAAAATTGTTAAATATGCATTTTATTTACAAAATATGCAAAAACATGCATTTAGATTTTTATATGTTAAACACAAAAATATAATTACAAAAAAATGTTTGTTTATTGAAATACATCAGTGGTTGGCTGTTTGTCTTAATATATTATAATTCAAAAATAAAATAAAAATTTTTTTTTTATGTAAAAATCCAAGTTTTATACTTTAATTAGCCGGTCTAGAATTAAATACGAAATATACTATAAAACATTTATTTTTCACGTTCTTATAATCGAAATATGCAATAATATTGATTTTATTCAATATATGCAATAATATACATTTTATCCGAAACATGCTAAATAAAAATATCACCATTTATCTCATCATGAAGTGATTCGTGGACATTACTGACAAAATCAATAATCAGAAGTCGCAAAAAAAAAACGTGCTGTTGCATACAAATTCTAGCCCTGGTTATATTTTATAGATAATTAAGTATTTTAAAGTTAAAAATCAATTCCTAATTTTTGACAAATGTGGAAGGAATATATTGTTTTTTCCTGTTAATACTTTTGAATAGTTTTAACTACCCATGGAGTATCTACCTCATTATTTATTTAATAGGTTATTTGAAAGATAATTTAGATGGGTATTATTTTTACATTCTTAGTAGTTACTTATACTATTTGTAATGCATTTTAGTTAGAAATTAAAATGATTACTGTGTTATATGTTATTGAAAAATTAAAATAAATTAACTTTTTTCCTTTATAAATATTGCAATTCAGTATTATTAAACACATTGAAATAATAATTTAGTAAATATACATAAAGTAGGTTTTTAATACAAATCATATTTTTTCAAATATTTATTTAGTACATTTAGTTTAATGTAATACTGTTATGACTGAATATTTTACTATTAAATTATTGTTTCATAGTATATATAATTAATGTAAATATAATGCATCCATTCTATAGTTCTCTTTCAGTAGTATAATTTATTTTTTAAATTGTTGGCATATCAATAATATCTAGTCCAATAATTGAATTTATACTATTTTTGTATTTAATTTAATAGATTTTTTTAATGATTGTGATTTTTTTTTCTATCCAACACTTTTTACTACTCATGTTATAATAAAATCTCTAATTATTGATCCTTTAAATTATGGTATAAAATTCCCATTATATCTATGGTACACTAAACAGAAAAATGTTATTATTTTATTTCATCTTCGAGGAGTTTAAAGTATTGTTATTTTATTTTTGCAGATAGCAACAATGAAATTATTATAGAATTTATTCCTAATTATACAGTAGACTATTGTAAAGTTTCCAAAGATACTTATGCCATACAATTAAACAATCATACATATATGTTGAAATTTAAAACTCAAACAGGTACTGTGCTATACAATTTATTGTATTAAAAATATTACATTATTAAATCAGCAACTTGATTATTAGCTAAATTAATGTTTAGATGTGTATGAATTTGCTGTATTGTTGGTTCGTGCTAAGAAAGGTAATCAGCTCTCCGTCTTTTCTGATAGAACTGATGAAGCATCAGCTACACAATATTTTCAGGTATTTAATAAACTATAAATCATACTATTACTTATTCAATATTTAATAATTTTATTATATTATAGTTTTATGGGTATCTCTCTCAGCAACAAAACATGTTACAAGACTATATACGAACTAGCACTTATCAAAAGGCTGTGCTTATTAATACTGTAGACTTTCAAGACAAAGTTATATTAGATGTAGGTGCTGGATCTGGTATATTATCTTTTTTTTCTGTTCAGGCAGGTGCTAAAAAAGTATATGCTGTTGAAGCAAGTTCAATGGCTCAACATGCTCAGGTATTATGTTTATTAGATACCAGTAGTTGATTAATTGTTAACTTTTATTTTTTGCATTTGTTTATAGACGTTGGTAGATGCCAATAATTTAGGAGACAAAGTATTTGTAGTAGCTGGTAAAATTGAAGAAATTGAATTACCTGAAAAAGTCGATGTAATTATATCAGAACCAATGGGATATATGCTTTATAATGAACGTATGCTTGAAACTTATTTGCATGCCAAAAAATGGTTAAAGCCAGGAGGTAAGTTAAATTTTAAAATTATACAGATAAGTTATTGGTGATAGTATTACAACATTTAAATTTTCTTAAGTATAAAATGTCCATTTTTTTAGATTTCTATTTACTTGAAGCTTTGAGTACCTAAATTTTAATATTTATATATTCATTTTTTTATTTTAAATCAAATTATGTTTTATATATAGGTAAAATGTATCCTAGTAAAGGTGATCTACATATTGCTCCATTTACTGATGATGCTTTATTCATGGAACAAACAAATAAAGCTAGTTTTTGGTATAATAAATTAAATGTTATGTTAATTCAATTATCTAAAATATTTTTAATGTATAGGGTTCAGTCATGTTTTCATGGAGTTGATTTGAGTTCATTGCGAGATATGGCTATGCGAGAGTATTTTAGACAGCCAATAGTTGATACATTTGATATACGCATATGTCTTGCAAAATCTGTTAAGCATAGTTTGGATTTTCTTACTGCCACTGAAGAACAACTACACCAAATAGACATTCCTCTTGAGTATTATATACTTGAATCGGGAACAATTCATGGATTAGCTTTTTGGTTTGATGTTGCATTTCAAGGCAGTAATCAAACATTGTGGCTATCAACTTCCCCTACTGAATCATTGACTCACTGGTATCAAGTTAGATGTCTTCTAGAAAAGCCTATTCTTGTTAAAGTTGGTCAAATTTTAACTGGTAGTGTTTCACTTCAAGCTAATGTTAGGTTAGTATATTTATTTTAAAAATATGTTTAACTTATATATTGTAATTTTGTGTGCTCCTGTATAAATTAGCAGATTTAAACTAATTTTTAATATATTATTATTATTTTTATTTTTATTTTAATATTATACCTAATTTCAATAGGTATTGTTTAAAAATTAAATAGAATATATGATTTGTAAAAATAAGTTTTGATCATTATAATATGTATAGATATTAATTTTAATAATTAACTAAATATAATAACAATTTTCTTTTAGGCAAAGTTATGATGTTTTGATAAATTTGATGATTGATGGACTTCCTCATACAAGTTCATCAAATAATTTAGATCTTAAAAATCCATACTTTCGATATACTGGTCAACCACCAATGCCACCTCCTGGTGTTAATACTATATCACCTAGTGAAAATTATTGGGCAAATTTGGATCTACAAAGTACTATACTTGATATTTTTTTATTATTATTTTTAGTATCATTGTATTAATCACTATAATATTATCATTGAGATAGCTTTAAATATGGTTAACGGCATCCCATTGAATGGTTATGCTACAGATCTTTCCATGGATATTCAGTCATCACCTACAGCTGTAGCTAACAATTCAAATCTTATAAATTTAGGTGATAGAGCTTCTATACATAAATTATGTTAAAATTAATATTAATATTAAATTATAATTTTATATTGTAGTTACTGTACCTCAACCAAATATTCATCCAGGATCCATTAGTAGCACTGGACGACAACGTGTAAGCACAGCTACTTCCACAGCAGGTGCTCAACTTATAGGTGGAGGAATATCTCCTACCTTATTTACTTCCAATCAGGTAGATATTAGGTAATTTTTTTTTTTAGCGTAAGAAAAATGTTCAAAACATATTTTCATGTAATAAAACTCCATCACTTATGTTATCATTTATTTTAAAATATGTGTTGCTTCCTTTCTTTAGTTTTCAGCTAATTTAATTATTTGGTTTATTATATACATTTTAACTATCCATCACTTTTTTAGAACCAAAATCAACAACTATTGTTAGGAGCAGCAACAGCTGCAGCAGGAGGTTCAACCACTGCTATGGGAAACTTTCCAGTAAACAACAGTTTAATGATTGGAGACTATGTTGCGCCTAACACTGGTGTTTTAAATATATCATATCGTTAACTTACCATTCATGTATACAAAGTAATTTTTTAACAATTACAATTTCAAACATTCTTTTAAAAGGACTTACATACACCCTTTGTAAATTGTATCATTTATTTAAACATGTATAGTTTTAAAGTTAAAGTGCTAACTTTATTTTCAATTAAAATCCCAATTGAAATATTAATACAAAAATTTATAAAATAAATAGATAGGAATTCTAAATTTTTTTTGTATAAATACTTCTAAAATATCAATATGATCAATGCTCGTAATTTTGTAAATTAGTTTACTATGAATTTATTAAAATCTATTTGAAACAATCAATCTTACTACTAATAAATTTATTATTTCCAAATATATTATTAATGTAATATAAAAACACTTTAAATTCACTGATATACACAATATTATTTTGATATTTATATTTGCTTTGAAAATGTTAAATTTTTTTGAAAATTAATGCTATAAATTAAACAGTATTGTTGTGTTCACAACATCATTACAGATTGTGATAAATAATAAAATTTAATTTGGTAATCATTATAGGCTACTGTTTTTGAATATCTATGAACTTGAAGTTCATACAAATATTTTTAAAAAACAATAATATAAAATTCTTAAAAATAGTTGTTATATAATGTATTACTATTTTCTGAAGAATATACATATTGTTGTTAAATAGTGTACAATATTCTTAAGTCTTTGTTGCTGAGTGGTCGTTCAAGTTGACTATATGATACAATAATTATATGGCAATAACTATATGTATAATTTTTTATCATTATTTTTATTTATAATGTTATTTTTAATTTGGCAAGTATTAATATTGAAGGTGAATATTATATCTTACCTTCTATACTAATTTTTACATGTGTTCTTAATTTTCTAATGTTATTCGAATATAAAATTTCATATAGCTTTTTTACAATATATTTTAATATTAATTCATAATTGTGATTCCTATTGTATATCTAATATATAAATATTATATATAGTAGTTTGTTAAGATAGTACAGTTTGTAAAGCTTAATTAGTAAAGTTTCAAATAAATTCATTATAATTATAAAATAATTATTTAATTAAAATTTTTTATAGTCCTTGTGCTATTAATTATTAAATTCTAAAAATAGTTTTCTGTAATTAATAAGCAATAGGTGATTTAAATATTGGAGAGTTTATTGAATCTCTTTGTATTAATTTGATTTAAACATTATTGACTTAATTTGAATATATCTTTAGTAAAATATTTAAGATAACAAATATTGCAACAAAATCTGATTTAGAGTCCTTAAAAATTGTTATGGCTTATAATGCAAATATTATGAACATTTTGAGGTAAGTACTTCATTTAAGAAAAAAAAAGTTACAGGCTAATGAAAATTTGTTATTTATATTAGTATTCTAAAGTTAAAATAAATTAATTCTTAAGAAATTCACAATATTTTATAGAATAATGAATAAATAGTTTATTCAGGTCTTGAAACCACTAATTAACAATTTTGTAATAAAAAACTGTTCTCAATTATTTTATATTCACATTTTGAGCATCTGTGTTAACATTATAAACGCATTTTCAAGTTCTTGATGCCAAACTAATTTTCTAATTTTTATCTGAATCTGTTAAGTTTGACTAGTAATGTTATCAGTAAACTTCGGATGTTAATGACCAAAATTTCATAAAACATGAATTATAAAATGTCATAACATGCAATTATATCCCATAGAATGTATTAAATATACTTATTTTTTCGACAAATATGTGCAAAAAAATAGTTAATATTAAAAAAATGTATATACTCTTTTAAATATATATTATAATTGCTGTATTATAAAAAAAAAACAATAAATACGAAAAAAAAATTATTAATTAGTTTTTGATCTATTAAAGTTAAATTTTACATAGGTTAAGCATTTCAAATATCAGGATTATACTATACAACAATAATTTTGCTGATATTTTTAAACTTAAAGGACCTTCGACGATACGACAAGTTTTGTAGGCTGAAAATAACTCAATTAACGGTAATGATTGATAATTTATAATAATATGGACAATTTTTAATATTATACTTATAATTTTTTTAAATATATGCTAATTAACCTAGAAACAATAGATATATGCAAACTAAGTTTGCATATTTGACAATCGAGATTTCATGAATCGAATTTATATCATATTTGGGTAAAATTCTGGTTGTGCGAAAAAAATATGCCAAGTCATAAACATCCGAGCTCTAGTTATCAGTGTTTGAATTGGATTTCTATTGAACGCCCGATATCAAGGATATGGACATTTAGTGTGATATTGAATAAAATAGTATAGGATGAGTAGGTATAAACACAAATATGTATAATAATATATATTTTTTTTGCTTTATATAGGCCATTAAGGCCCTTTGCCGTAGCTACTACCTCCTCCCATCGTTCTCTATCCTTGGCCATCTCTTCCGGATTCTCAACTCCTATTAGCCTTAGGTCTAGATTTACTCGGTCACTCAATAATATTACTATACATATCTATGGTATAATGTTATCAGGAGCGTAATTTAGACTTTTGAAAGGGTGGGGCAACTGATTAAATTTGCCGACTTCATAATATTTAAAAAAATATTATTACCTATATATTTAAGTATTTAATATTTATGAACGATAGACTATCAATAAAATATTGTTTCGGAATAAAACATGTAAGGATTAGTAATGAATAATGATGTCATGATGGTAAACAAAGAACATGAAACGTTTCAATTTACCCAATTCAATAATAACATTAAACATAGTTATACATTAATTAATTTACTTATCCTATAGACTAAAGGTAAATTATCTATGGAATAATGGAATAATAATATAAATCTAATTAAATAAATACTTATAATTTTATAATTTGTATATTTAATACTTTACAGAACTTATTTATAAAAACATAAAATTGTATCTCAAATATAATATGTACCATAGTTTGGGGTGAATAGGAATAATTTTAACAGTTTTTTATAGATTATTAGCTCAATTTTTATGGTATCGATATCACGAAAACTTTTATAAAAATCACATACTCGTATATAGAAACATATAAATATACCAAAAATAGAGTTTATAAGGTTCGCGTAATAACGAATGTCATAAATCTGGGAGGATCCAGTGTTTCTCAACTTTTAATAAACCGTGAACGTGTATTTAAAATAAAATATCTGATTTCTGAGTACAAAATAGTAAAAAAAAATTTACTATTTACCGATTTTAGAATTTGATCATCAGAAAAAGAATTGTCGACTTTTTAAAATTTCTTAAAGTGGGGCATTTGCCATAGTCTGCCCCCTCCCCAAATGACGCCTCTGCATGTTATTACTTGTTACATGTTAATTTCAAAAACTGAAAATTAATACAAATTTTTATGATTTAATTTAAAATAGATATAGGTTAGGTTAAATTTAAAATTCAAATTTAAAAAGTTGATCTCATAACTATTTAAATAAATTATTTCTCTTTTATTTTAATTTCTGACTGAAATGAAGAATGTAATTTTTTTTTATGTGTACACGATGTCCATTAGACATATTATTCCGATCATCACAATTCTAATAGGTTTCTTATAGGAAATGTTGCTAGTTAGTAGGTACTTTAGAGGGCTACTTTTTACTTTTTATACTTCTTTACTAATTTTCTAACTGTTTTATGTAATTACGAAAAATGAACAAAATTAACAGAACACCGATTTGTTGAAAATCAAATTTTCGTTTTCAAAAATTGAGCTATTTATGGAAAATCAAAATGTTCATGTTCTCGACTGTTTTTTCAAAAACGTCAAAAAAAAAAAAATCATTTTGATTTGGTGAAGCCTTGAAAATATAATTTAAAATATAAAATATATATATAAATATATATAAAATATAATTTCTCGTTTACATCTTTTACTGGTAATCAAGAAATGGACTTAATTAAATAAAAAGAAAACGAGTATTAAATGATTAAAATTATAAAATTTTAACGAAATCAAATACTTCAACAAAATTGAGGGATATTTATTTTGTTTTTATCCTATAAATATTAACTGTAGCTATTTGAAATATTTACTGTGCATTTATTTCAGCACTTTTTAGGCAATTGAAATTTTTGATTTTGTAATACTTTAGATGCCTTTTTATTGCTAAAAATAAAACATTAAAAGTTTAATCTACTTCAGAAATATAAGCTAAATTACTTAGAATCATTTTATCGAGAGCTACAATACATTGGTTTCAAGTTTTTAAGACTATTGTAGATATTGTATTTGTACTATTATAAGTAAAAACTTGTTTATATTCATTCCAGTCAACAGTAATGTAGATATTGGGTAACTTTTTATTATTGACTGATCGCTAAAAAAATTACTGTCATCAAAAGTAAGGAAGTTAGAAGATCACTTATATCATGAATGTACCGTGTTTTTATTTTATATAAAATATATTTTTATATTATTTCGAAATAAAAATTATAATGTTTAATTTGTATTATATTCTAAATTAATTAGGTACCTTCAATATTTACTTAAGAGTATACATTTTAATTATTTTTCAACAATATATTTTAGTATAATTTTATATTTATAATAAAACTTATAAAATTATATTAAAATATAATATATTAAGTTATAATATTTTAATATATTATAATATTTAATATTATATATTTATAATAAAACTTATTGAATATATAAACTATCAAATCAATTAAATATATATATATATATGACATTATTTACACCTGGGTATTAAAAAATATTTAATTTCATTTTTATTATAAATGTATACCTAATTAATTTTACAGCTATCACTGTCCTAGAATATCGTATTTAACTTATGGTTGGTATCAATAATTTGATATCATGACCGATAATAACAAAATTACAATGATAACCAGTAGAGTTATAAAATGAGTACGATTTTATGGAGTTTTTAACGATTGCATTTTACCTAAAAATGTTGGTTGTCATTTAGAAAATAATTTAAGTAAACATTTATTTTGTTATACTCATTACAAATACTTTAATATTCTTAAGTTAAAAAACTCTTATCAAACTTTGTTTATACGTTGTTTTTGTAATTTATGATGATTATCGTTTGTAATTATTTGCGCCGGCTGAGTACTATTTGTAACTACCATTTGATGTTTACTAGAACTATGTTTATTCGATCTATTGACAAATCAAAAAGTAAAAATTGGTCGCAACAACAACCATATAATAAGTTCTTTGTCTTAGACTTTGAAGCTACTTGTGATGATAAAGCACATTTATTAAAACCACAGGTTATTAATTATTTTTGTTTTGGAAAAAAAATATTATTTTCTTGATGATAATTAAAAATAATTAAACTTCTCTAAATTGTATTAGAAATAGTGTATAATTTAATTTATGTAATAATTTATGAAATAAATGTATGTAAATTATTAAAATGTATTATATAAGGTGGAAAAAAAAAATTACACATTTTTTCCTTAATATTCCTTTATATATAATAGAAATTTTTCTCATACAATGTACATACCTATTTACAGCTTATATATACATATATGTATCTATACTTCTATGTACATTTATTATTGTACATGTTATTTTTAAAATTCTTCATATTTATTATTAAAAGTAAATATGTAAATTGATCAATTTATTCATTCTCTCATAGCTGATTGTTTACTATAAAAATGTAAAAGATTAATTTTATTATTTTTAGGAAATAATTGAATTCCCATGTATATTAGTAGAATTTTCAACAGTTTCAAGAAACTTTGAAGTATTATCATATTTTCATTCATATGTTAAACCAATTATTCATACAGAGTTGACTGAATATTGTTCTCAACTAACTGGAATTACTCAGGTATTATATTTATTGAGTTGAAGAAATATTAGATGATATTTTTATAAATTGGATATAAGATTATTTCTATTACTTTTTCCCAAAATTATCTTAAATATTATAAAGTAGGTTGTAGGTATGTAGTATATTTTTTGTACTGTATATTTATATTTCGTAGGCCACATGGAGAATCAGTCTTGTTTGCGAAAAAAGGCTTTGTAATGGAATAGCTTGTTTGCAATGTACTTATTATTTTCCAAACGGCCTGCTGTTTTTCTGACATATTGCATATAGACTAACAACATTTAGGCTTTTTAAGAACTAAAAATATTATTTAGAAGTAATACAGATTCCACCATGTATTATATGTCATCAATTCATATCTACATATTTAAAATTTCCATTCATAATGTACTAATGTAGGTAAATATCTATAAAATTATAGATAATATCTAACTAAAACATTAAATATTTAGTAAACTGACCTCTCTCATATTCTTGGGGTTAAGATTTGATTTTGTATTAAACAAAAATAAAATGTAAAACTTAACGTTCAGATTTTTATTGGTTTTATAAATATGCAATTGATACAGTTAATAAAATTAATATAATACTATATAATAGGGATAATAGGGACCATACTTATTTAGTTTACATGATATAATAATTGCATTATTCTTTTTTTGTACAAGTTAATATAAAATAAGTAAAATGGTTATTACTATATAATAATTGCAGTTTTCAAACAGCCTAACTGCTGGTAGTCTTTAATGCGATAAGCCTGAAAAACAGATCATTTGGAAAAATGTTAAGTAGTTAGAAAATGAACTTCACCATTGTTAAGACTAATTTTTATACGGCCTACAATATATATACCCATGGGGCGCTCTCTAGTAACTTTTCAGGGGCAAACTTAAAAAAATTCTGAAATTTAAGCTGAAAAAAGGTTTAATATTATTTCAACATATAAATGTGTTATTATTTATATAATTTATATTTTCATAGTATATAATAATTAATAAATATCCATTTTAAATACAGTAAAAATAAATGGAAAAAAATATAATCAAATATATTATTCGGTTTTGGAAAATAAAAATTGTAAATTTCTTTCTTTCATTCCAAATAAATTAATGATATCTTGGCTGAAATTAATTTTTTTCGAGTTCACCCTTTCACAATGAACGCATGTGTTATTAGATAAAATATCCAAAAATTACTTAGGAATTTATAACAAATTATCTTAGATCGATATTTATCATTATACGATAATCATTAATACAATAACAGTTGTGCATTTTATACTAAATACTAATAATTATAATGATAATAATGTTTTAAAAATTACTATTTCATATTATTTTTCCATGGGGGGGGGGGGGAATAGGCACTATATAGTCTCCTTCCAATGGGTGCCCATGTATATCAGTGGTGTATACATAACTTTTGTATGGCGGGGGGGATTAGTTGCAAACAAATTATTATGGAAGGAAAATTCCTAAACCTAAGTATCTGCACATTTAAATAATAAATAATAAAATATATATATATTGAATGTGTCATAATAATAATTTACAATAAATCCTTGCAATATTTTTTTTGTTTCCTTATAATTTCCATATATTAAGAACACTATTTCATACAATTTTAAAAAAACCTATGGGGGTTCTTTTATATACCCTTAATATATATACCTATTTGACTCTATTATTTGGTAATAAAACATACATATTTAAATTATACAATCTATCAAAAAAAATGTATCTATATAACTTCAGTAATCAGAAAAAGTAATATTTTTAATCTTCAGAATTCTCTTAGTCTACTAATTGACCCATTTTATTTTATTTCAAATTTAAGCTATACTAGTAGCTAATTGTGTGATAGTAAACTTGATGTTTGTAACAGTAACATATATTGCAAGACTTTTGCTACTAAACATTTTACTTATAAGTTTAAATTTTTAAATAAGGTATAATTTAGCAATAAACCAAGAAAGGTAATAAAACACAATAAACGTTGACATTTACTACTATTTGAATACAACTAACTATATATTGTACGTATTATTTATACTTATAAATTAGTATATTTATAGTTTATTTAAATATTAGGATATGATATGTAATAGTCCACTATTTGATGAAGTTTTCCAAAATTTTTGTAAGTGGTATATAAATCAAGTCAATGATGAAGATAAGTCTATTATTGTTACTTCAGGCAATTGGGATTTAGGTAATATATTTGTAGAACAATGTAAACTATTTCCTTCAACAGTGAAAATTCCAGAGTTTATGTGCACTTGGATAAATATAAAAAAGGTATTTAATTTGTCATTACTATCTTATTTAATTATTAAATTAAATATTTGTTTTTAAAATAAATACTGTTATTAAGTTATTTGCTCTGACCATTGGACAGTATCCCTTTGGTATACAAAATATGCTGAAGACTGCTAATTTAAAACAAATGGGGAGCATACACAATGGAATGGGTAAATTAATTTAAAATAATTATTCATTGAAACATAATTGTAATGATCAATATAATTTTATTTTATTTTTATAGATGATTGTGTTAATATTATAACAATTATGAATCATTTATCACAAAAAGGTTGTATATTTAAAGCAACTAATAAACTCATTGATGTATAATTGTTTTTGTAAAATATTATGAATAAAATAAAACTTATGATTTTTACTATTGTTGAATTATTTTTCTTATTATAGTATTTCCAATTCATAATAGATGAATTCAAATTAAATTTAAGTCGAAGATAAAAGAATTCTAAATTTGTTTATATTTAAAGAATAAAAATGTTGAGTACAGTTTTATTATAATTTATTAATTCAAATTTTGATTATTAAATTAAGTAGTAATAAAATAATGATGCATGAATATTCTTGTAGAAATGATAAATTGTATAATAAATTTAAATAATCATACTTGTTAGTAATTATTAATAATTAAACACTAAATTATAACATTATTTATTTATTTATTTTTAACTTACCAATTGTACTCAGGGTTATTTAAACAAACTTATATATATTATTCAGTATTATTCAGACAATAACAGTTAGTTCACATGTATGTGTTTGACATTTAATTAAACGATGTATTTTTATATGTAAATTTAATAGTTATCTCATTGTAAGTTTATTGCGTATTTTTTCTATTCAATTCTTTAATTGGCCAATTTGGAGTATTATTTGTGTACATATATATATTTGTGAAACTTCGTATTAGTAAATTTATTTCACTAGAAAAACATTTACGGGGTTGAAAATCATATTTACAAAATTGATCAACGTTAGCTTTATTATTTTGTCAATATTATTTGTATGATTATTTCAATTAAATTTTATATTTATTTCAATACAGAAACAAATAGTAGTAATTATGGAAATTGATCAAGTAGGTAAATGGCCAGAACATGTGGGGATATTAGCTTTAGAGTTAATTGTACCATCCAGATATGTGAATCAGATTGATCTCGAATTACATGATGGTGTATCCAAAGGAAAATATACGATTGGTTTGGGCCAAGAGCGTATGGCATTTTGTTCAGACCGTGAGGATGTAGTTTCGTTGTGTCTGACCGCAGTCAGTTCTTTGATGCTCCGTACACAAACAAGTAAATTTATAACTATGAAATATATTATTCTATTTAATGTTAGTATTGTTTAATTTGCCTTATACTTATTAGTTATCTATTTATTAAATATATCTAGCTTTTAATTTTAAGAATTTTACCTTTGGGAATCAATTGTTTTTTTTTTTATAAATAACATATACAGATTTAGTGCCCACGGAAAAAAGGAAAATCTTAAATAAACCTTATTGGGATTTAAGAGAATGACATAGTCATGTTTTGTATGCTTTATATTTTATCTAACTTTATATTTACGTATATCTATACTATAGGCTATTCTGATATTGGACGGCTTGAAGTGGGAACCGAAACACTGGTAGACAAATCCAAAAGTATTAAATCGATGTTAATGCGCTTATTCAAAAATTCTAACAATAATAATGTCGAAGGAGTTGATTCGACAAATGCATGTTACGGAGGAACTGCAGCTCTGTTCAACTCGGTAGCTTGGTTGGAATCCAGTGCTTGGGATGGTATTTAGTTTAATTATAGATAAATCAATAATTATTTTTTATTTTATAATATATTATACATGTGTATATAGGAAGGTTGGCCATCGTTGTAGCTGCAGACGTTGCAACATATGCTCAAGGTGGGGCGAGGCCAACAGGTGGGGCAGGTGCCGTGGCCATGTTAATAGGGCCTAATGCACCCTTAGTATTGGACAGAGGTGATATATTTTTAGTAAAACCATTGAATAATAAAACATTAAGGTAAACATTAAAATGAAGTAGTAATGCATAAGTTGTATATGTTGACCGGTGCAGGATTAAGAGCTTCGCATATGGATGATACGTACGACTTTTACAAAGGAAATATGCATACAAATTACCCATTAGTGGATGGTAAATTGTCAGTCCAATGTTATTTTGAGGCGCTATACAATTGTTATTGTCTATATCGCAAAAAGTTTTTAAACAAGTTTGCAAATGACAATGAAACCAATACAAGTATTTAAATAATAACTCATATTATTGATTTTAGCTCTATCCAAATGATAATACTACAATCATATATTAATAAGTAATACAATTAACTACAAATGTATTATCAAAAATCTTCAAATTATAGGTAGTAAAAGTGTGTTGCAACATTTTGATGCAATCATATTTCATTCACCATACGGAAAACTCGTAAGAAAAGCATTTACTTGGTTAACACTTCATGATTTGCAAATAGATGCTAATTTCTACAAAAAAAATTCTAATTTATTAAAATACAAGTGAGAAGGTAGTTTAAATAATAAAATGGTATCTAAATCTAATATTTTGGTAAAAAAATTTGATAGACTCACAGATATTAATGTTGATCTATTATCTGATCCCGATGTCTTAAAAGATACAGAACAATTATTTAAAAAACTTACAGAACCAACCCAAAAGTTACCTAGAAATATAGGAAATATGTACACAGCTAGTGTTTTTGGTGGGCTCATTTCATATTTGATCAGGTAATATCATAATTCTCACAAATACTTAATACAAATTACAATACTTTAAACATTTAATTATAGTAAACCAGCTTATGAAATGGGTGGACAACGAATAGCAATGTTTTCTTTTGGTTCTGGTATGTGTTCTTCATTTTATTCAATCAATATTCGTTCAGGAGAAAAATTGGACACTCTTATTAGTCATTTAGTACCACATGTTGCAGAAAAATTAGAAAAAAGACATTGCACATCACCAGCTGAATTTGAAAATATACTTAAAATACGTGAATTAACTTATAACAAAGGTATTATTTTAATGTTCTTTATAATCATGTATCAATAATTAATTAATAATTCATATTATTTGAATAATAGCACCGTTTGAACCAACCACAAATATTGAAGATTTGTTTCCTGGTTCTTGGTATTTGACATATATTGATAGCATGTTTAGAAGATACTACTCACAATAATAAATTACATGAATTAAATAATACAATTATTGTTTTTTTCTTTCGAATAAATTACTTGTATGCTTAATTATAATTAAGTTCAAAATTAATTTGTTTTACCATCATTATTCTTGATACTTATGATGAGTTTATGGATTTCTTCAGCACTATACTTCTGAAAATACAATTTAAAAATAAATTATTAAAAATAATTTATAATATTATATAATAATATAATAATATAATCTTATATAAAAGTAAAACCAATGAAACTCCTCAGTTTTACTTAAATAATTACAAATTTATAATACAATATTTTCAATTAAATTAACAAATAATAATTTATTTTATTGTCTTTAGTAACTTTGTTTGTTGGATACTGGTATAACTTTTTTATTTTACTACAGTCAATAGTCAAATTTTTAAATGTCTTTAATCGTCTTTTGCACAATTTTTTTTCTTCCTTAATTATGTGAAATATAAATAATAAACCAAATATAAATGTAATGAGGGATTGCTTAATAATATATTAAATTAATGAAGTAGAAATTATTAGTTATTAAATTACATTAATAATATGCACCAAGTTTTTTTATACTAAAACACAGTGCTTAATGATAATAACTATAGATCAATTAAAATGGTTAATCTAATTGAGTAAAGATTAATTTTTACATAATATAATTATTTCAAAAAAATGTATATAGGTAATGTTTTAATATTTATAAATATTTTATTAATTATTACTTAAACTCACAGACTTAGTAGGTAATACACTAGAAGATTTGTCTTCATTCATTAAATTGTCCTTAGTGCCCAGTTTGTCCTAAAAAATATTTTGAGTAGTTTAAAAACATATTTAATCATAAAACATCAAAAATTAATTATTACTTATACAGTTTATGGATTAACACCATACAATATTTTTTAATAATAAAATATAATTTATAATTTTATATACACGTTTAAAGATTTACAAAATAGATTGATTAATTGAATGCTAGAATGTCAAATGTAAAAATATTTCATTAATACAACTATTCATACAGTAAATAATTTAGAAATTTTTATTTTAAATTAAAATAAACAAACTGCTATTTAATTTTTAGCAAAGAAGGGCATTAACTAGTTAATTTTCTAATAAACTTTTTAACTTTTAACTAAATTAACTGGCAGTTGAAATAACTTAGCTTTTTATAGTTGATTTAAAAAGGATCCATCAAGTTAAAATGTTTTTACATTTTTCATTTATACGTAAATATTTATACAAAAATTAAATAATCATGTAAAGTAAAATGGTCGTATACACTGTAAATCAGATGTCATATAAGATTGTGTAGGTTGGGGCCCACCTTTGGGTATTGGGTTCTGGATACAGAATGTTATGTATAAAGAATTTTTACTATAAAGATAAATAAATATGGTAGTGAATGGCCCCTTGATGTATATTGTACAATATCATAGTATTTTTCAAACACTTCAGCGCCACTGCTGTATATTATAATAAAAAATGCAATAAAATTGTTTATTATAATTTAGGAAATAAATCTTTCTGAAGAACGAAGTCATTTTTTATATGATCTACTTACTAATTAAAAAAGCAGATTAACTTTTTTTAAACTGAGTTAAGTTAATATTTTTTTCTTAATAACTTATAACTTATTGAGTTAAATTTATGAATTGTTAACTGTTAATTTTTAACTTATTGATCTTGTGTTTTCTTAACTTAACTTGAGTTAATTATTTTCATTAACTTGCCCACCTTTGCTTTTTAGAAATAATTTATATATAAAATATTTAAAAAAAGATTTAGTAATAATATCAATAATTACTTCTGGATTAATTAAAAAATAATTAATTACCATTTTGTTTTAAATATTCTAGTTAATAACAGGAGTAAATTTAAATAAAAAATATACAATTATATTATTTACATTTTTTTACTAAATTTTAAATTATTTTACAAAGAATCAGATATAAAACAACTCTGGTCGTTTAACTTTTAGTAAAACTATAATAAATGTATGTTTAAAGGATTTTTAGATTAAATTAATCATACTGAATTTCTGATTATTAAAATCAAAATAATAGTTATAAAAAGAACTACTGAAAAAAAAATTAAAAAATTCATAGTCATTAACTCATTGATTAATCTGAAAATGATATAAATTAATTCAGAAATGTAAAATATAATTTATTCAATTCATAGTAAAAACCATATATTTCTTGATCAAAATAAACTTTTCACAATCTAAACTTACCTGTATATTATTAATATCGATCTTTAAATTGTGGTTTACGATTTCCATAGGTTGATTATCATTTGAACAAATACTTGATAATGAAAACTTTCCAGTATTTAATAACATATTTTCTAATTTTAGTACATGATCTTCAATCGACTTGAGTTTTTTATAAATATCAATGTCATTATCATTTTTAAAGTTCAAACATTTCTCTAAATTTGATATTCTTTCATATACGTCTGGTTTTTGTCCTATAGAATTTTCATTACTTGACAATTTATAGCTGTTTTGACTAGCTGGATCCAAACCACCATTACACTGTGGACCTGAATGATTAACCACTTTGCTATCTGTACAATTCAAAACGATAATATGTTTTATATAATTGTAATTTAATAAAAAAAAATTATAATACTTTTTACAAAGGATTCTGATCCTATCTGACGTTTAGCTGCTATTGTAGAACAAGTTCTGGATGAATCAGAACTAGAAACTAAACTACAATACACTCTGGTATTTATGTCGTTACTTTCTTCTCTTTTTCTTTTTAAGAAATTAGTTATTCTACTGTTCACCTATCATAAAATACCATTTATTCAATATATCATATAGATTAAGTACGCGTTTGCGTTTGACTTACTGCAGAGTAAGATTTACATATTTGTACTTCGTTCGGATCAAATTTTGATTCTATCTTGTTATCCATGGTTCTTTTATGAACACATACACGCATAAACCAATATTATATTTAAGTTAATAATTATTTCTTAATATCCAGAACATAATTTCGGTTCATTAAAACATCAACAGCAAGTATTAACTAACACAGCAACGGACTTACAAAATACAAGATTGAGTGATAAATATTATTACAGATTATATTTATTATTATTTTATATAAGTATATAGGTAAGTATTAAACAATGCGATTATCATATACTCGAAACGTTGATAACAGTAAACATTGTTATTGGTATTGAGATAGATGAACACTATTGCTTAACAAACCCATATATATATACTACGTATAGAGCCGTATGACCAAGGTTCCTTATAATTGTGGACCAAGGTTGATTTACCTATCTTAGCCGCAATAAAAGAGTATTTGTTCATCGTTGTAATCATAGACCTATAAACTAAGGTCTTTATAGTCCTTTGGCTATTTTGGATCCTTTGGATCGATTGCCAAAGACGTTACAAGCGCACATATCGGTTTTGGCCAGTGTCGGTTTTTACCGCAGACGAGTGGTTGAACGATGAACATTATACAGATAACAGTTGTGGACCGTAGCACGGCGGCATACCACAATACATCGTTCACAACAGCGTAACTATTGTAGTGACGTCTGTAACTCTTAGTCCGTTGCGGCGTGCTCGTGAACACACCTCCAAACGTGTTTTGCATGTCCGCTATTTTTGTGAATCGCTCAACGATTTGAAACCATTGATTGTTTGTATCCATTCGCCAGGTGCGTATTATTTTTCTCAGGTATTTTGATGTACGATTCACTTTTCATCTGAAATGCGACGCTCGTTCTTTTCGTCGTAGATAAACAGTATTCCCACTATTAAATCATATTGCTTGTGCCGGTGTTGCCTTTGGTTCGTCATTTTTATTTTTTATTTCGGCCCAAATAACATTTAGTAATAACTCTTAATTTTACGGTTGGCACTTATTAAATCGTGTTCGCTAGTAATTTTTAAAGGTTTTTTAAATATTTTGATTTTCAGAATACTATTCTGAATAACGGACGTAATGGCGGCAAAGGAGAATAAAAAAATCAAAATGTAAGAAATTCATTTTTCAATTTTTATTATAATTATGTTGTTATTAATATAACACTGTAATCATATTTATTACTCTTATTCATTATATGCAGATTGGTTTGTGGTGGAATCAACGGACATATCAAGACATTTGTTGAATATATTGAAAAATTGTACATTAAAAAAGGCATGTTTGATTACGTATTTTGTGTTGGAGATTTTTTTGGAGATGATGAGTCAAGTGAAAGAGAATGGGAAGAATTTAAATTATCTGGAAAAAATAGTAAGGAATAATAATGATTACAATTTTTTTTTCAATTAAATTAATTTGGTTTTTTTTTCTCTTAAAGTTTCAGTTCCTATTTACACTTTGGGACCAAACAAAAAAGATCATGAAAAATATTTTCAGAATCTGCAAGATCAACAATTGGCCCCCAACATATTTTACCTTGGTTAGTCGTATTTTGTTATTATTTGATAATTATAATAAAAGTAATTTTTTGCTTTTACTTGTTTTGATTTAGGAAAATAATATTTATTTAAATTGTTTTGTGTGATATCAGGTAAAGATGGAGTATTTACTACATCTGATGGTATAAAAATTGGCTATATAAGCGGAATACAAAATGATGATAATAAAGAAAATGAAATGCACACATTTAATTATGAATCTATTTCTCAATTTAAAGAATCCTGTATACGATCTGGGTGTTTATATTTGGATTTACTCTTAACTTCACCGTGGCCATTAGATGTTCGCAATAAAGAACGTATTCCAGAAGTATAAAATGTTTATAATTAATTTAAAATATTTTCAAAATTGAATCAATCGAAATTTTAAAAATAATTTTCTTTAGAACCAAAATATCAAAGGTTTAATTGATAAAGTAACTGAATCATCGCTTGTGTCTTGGATTGCTATTAATTTAACCCCACGTTATCACTTATCTGGCATGCAGAAAGTCTTCTATCAACGTAGTCCTTATAAGTATAAATATATTTTTTTATTATTATTTTAAACAGTATTACATATATTTTCTTGTATAGGAATTGCAATACTAAAATTATGACACGATTTATTGGATTGGGTGATTACAATAGTATAAATAAAGAAAAATGGATGTATGGCTTTGTTTTATCGCCACTAGAATTTATCTCAAACCAAATAAATTATACTGTTACTGAATCACCATACTCTTCTAATGTTTCTCAATATATTGCTCATTTGTTGCCAGTTTCGAAGCAATTTTTTTATAATACAAGCACTAATAGTAATTACAATAAAGATGAACCAACAAAAAAAAGAAAATTTGGTCTGCAAGCAGCAAAACAATGTAAGTAAAACTTATCGAAAGTTTTAAATAATTTAATTATTATTTTATATTATGTATTTTATTAATATTTGTTTTTATAGCCATTCATGTAGACACGGAATCTTGTTGGTTTTGTTTGTCAAGTAAGAACATTACCAAACACATGATTATATCTATTGGAGATCAGGTATTCAAATTGTTTATGATATATTTATACATTAAGTATATGTAATTTATTTATTTTAGGTATATATGGCTGGTACAAGAGGTCCTTTGGTTAAAGAACATATATTTATTGCAACAATTGAACATTATAAATCATTTGCTGAAGTACCACCAGACACAGAAAATGAAATTAATTTGTAATATTGCCAATTTATAGTTTCATATTTATAATTCCTTTAAATTAATTTTTATTTTGGTTACAGGCTTAAAAGTTGTGTAAATAAATATTTCGAAAGTACTAGTCGAGTAGCATTGTATTTTGAGCGCAGTATTTTATCGGCTCATTTTCAGTTACAAGTTATTCCAATTCCTATCAGAATGATTGAACGTTTAGAGCCGATGTTCAAAGTAATTTTAATCAATTGATTTTGAGTAACTTATATTTATTTATACTGTTTATTATTAACAATAATAATTTTTCTAGTCCAAGTTTAAAGAATATGATCTGAATTTGGTAGAAATTCCTCCAGCTGCTTCTTTACGTCAAATTACAATGAATACTGCACAATACTTTTGTGTTGAATTACCCAATGGAAAACGTTTGTTTCATAATGTTAACAAGAAAACTGATGGTATTCAGCCAAGATTTCCTCTTCATATAGCAAGGTGTGTTGTATTTTTTTTTTTTTATTTTATTTAATGTTAAAAGTGAACAGCTAGTAGATTTGAATATGTATTAGAAAGGGGTAGTGGCAGTTTTTCTTTTGAAATAGTCATCCAGCCTGTTCTTGCATGATACTAATAATGTCTGGATTTAATCAACAACTGCATTTAGAAACATGTGCTTAATCCTACATTAGTTTAATTTTAATTAAACATTTTTAAATTAATACTGTAAACTAATATTACATTTGATTAGAGAGGTATTGGCATCACCATCACTATTAAATGTCAAAGATCGCATTGATTGGAAAACATGCCAGCAACCTATAAATGAAGAAGAAATGGATGTAAAACTGTTTCGTCAAGCTTTTGCTCCGTATAATCCAATCAAAGATTAAATAATGACTGATTTTAATTTTATTAATAACAAACTAAAATGAGTATTTAATACCGTTTGTATTTGTTTGTAGACTTAATAATTGTTTAAGTTTTGTAAAATATGATTTAATTATAATTTGTTTTTTTGCCATGAAATCTGATATCAATTGAAACTTGTACATTTTTAGCAAAGATAATTGTTATCTTGATTATTTCATTATAATTATAAAATAATGTTATTAAGGATATCTTCATATATGTAATTTTATATTTTAAAATGTTGTAATTTTTTCATGATAAATGAAAATATGAAATTTATATTTTAATATCAACAATTTAAACTTAGTATAAGTTTTAAAAAAAGAAAAATAGAAGATGTATCATAATTATAATAGAAATTTATTATATCGTATTTAAATAATTTGTTCACATATTTTATTTAAAGAGTTATTACTGATTTAATATAAAAAATTGAATCAACCAAGTACCAAATAAATATTTATATCTTATTATAATATATTAAGGACTATTAAGACTATGAAATGTATTAAAAAACAAATATTTGATGTCTGTAGAAGATATTTTATTTCAAAATAAAATATTATATAATCAAACACTTTCTAATATAATTATCCCACATTATCGACAGGAGGCTCATTCCTCATTACAATTGAAATTCTTCGTTGACGTACAATGTGTTTATCATCAAATAAAGATGGTATACCATCGCTTAATATTTCATGTGTATATTTGTATCGCACATCGTCTCTGTAAGTGGTTATAATATATTAGAGCTAATAATTAATACAAGTACATTATAGCACTGTTTAAATAAAACAATATTACTAGATAAATGTATATCCCAAACAGAAAAAATGAGTGTACAAGTATTAAAAAGTTTTATAAATTAATTTTAATAATTTAAAAAAAATTAATATACTATATATTTATATTAACTTAGGAAAAAATATTGGATTATATTTTAAAATTTTGATATTAATAAGTCCTATTAACTTTTTTATTTTTCACTTTTTAAATACTATGAAGGGCAAAAAAACATTTTAATAGTTATAAATTACAAAACAAAAAAATTAATTGAATGAAAACTTACTTCATAATATATAATGATCTGCGAGGTAATAGTGCATATACTGTATATATATCTGGGTATTTTTCATCAGCTAAACGCATAATAGAGTCGGACAACAAACTCAATCCAGCAATTATATTACCACAAAACTAATTAGAAGGAAATAAATTATTAGGATCTTTGTAAAAAAAGTTATTAATTGAAACATATCAATTGTCACAGATAAAAATATTTATTTCTAAACAAGTAGGAATTAATTTATTATCACTATTGTCTATTTTTTATTGATAATTTAATAATTCGATTGGCTTATTTCCCTAATTCAAACACAAAAAAAAAAGTAAAAATGACACTTACTCGTATACTATCTACGTGTGGCTTAACATAACCATTTTTACATAAATCAAGTATGTGTACCCTCTGCATAGGCTCTGTTGACCCATTAGCAAATATCTGATCTTTAAGCCTTTGTATTATACTCGTATTGTTTGGATCTTTCCAAGCAGTTATCTCAGTTTCTCTGTACCCATGTATGGCCTGTGTGTACCATTAAACAATTGACTTACATTAAAGCAGCTGGAGAGCATTAAAAAAATGTCAATATAATATAAATATTTATATTTCAAATTGATTTACATCATCCCAATGATCTTGCTGATAACGCAAGCGTTTTAACGATTTTTCTATTTCACTAACAAGCCAAGACTCTTCGTCCCTGGAAATTATATCTGGCACAACGGTGAACGAGGAGTCGAACCGTTCTCGTCTATTACAAATCGAATCGTCGACTTTCGAAATTTTCGGGAACTGATATCGGACGTATGCACTTGGATCGACGGCAGCCGTGGCTAGTCGTTCAAAACGCGGTACAAGTTTGATGAACCGTTGATTGAAAATAAATTCATTGCGAGCCAAATTTACGGAAAACATATTGCACATAAAAACAATAAATTAACTAGGCCGTATGAAACTGAACGGTGGAAACGGTGATCGACAAAAAAAATTAAAAAAATAAAGCAATTATAACAATTAAGTGTTTGGATTGCGCCATTGCTCCGAAAAATTATTGTAGAATACTTGTGTATCAGGGCGAAAAGAACAAAACCATACGTTAATATTGTTATTATTTGAAAAGACCAAATGACCGATACGAACAACAATCCACACAGGAATTCAGAGCGCTTTTATTGTTTGTTTTCGCCCTTTGACATTTTTTTGAACTTGTACAAAAACGGTTGATCTTTGATTAATAATTCTGTAACACAGACGTATGAATTAAAACAATTTTCGTGTCTCATTGTTAAGTTATAATACTGATTACATTAATTACATCGAGTGTTACTTGTGATAATAATGTCTACGATTTTGACCGGCGGCTGGATTATCTTGTTCGTTCACGAACTGTATTATCGCAACCGGTGAAAATCATGTAGAGTTATCAAATAGAGTTCACTTGTCGCAACACAATCAGCAGACTGAGGGGCCATTGTAGCTCATCATTGATTTTCGGCTATATCCAGTGATAGTAGTTTTTATAAGCTGTTAAGTTATTGCGCGAATCGTTTCGATAGCGTACCTAGATGATGTGGTAATAAAGAGAAAGTAATTTTTTCGGCATATCGTTGTAGATCATTTTTTTAGGAAGACAATTCGCTTTTACAGCTAATAAATTGATGACATGGTTCGAGTGAAATTGATGTAACGTATCTAACTACCTTTCGCGTTTTTATATGTATTCACACACGTTCAGTACTTTATGCACATTTTGAAATAACCTCAATACACGATTTGCGATCTGCTGTCTCAGATCTGAAATTATTGTGAATATTGGTCTACAAACGCTCAAACATATCAGAGAAGTGAGTTTTTTGTTTTATATATCAGTAAAGAAAAAAAAAAATTAAATTAAATTGACAGTCAATTATTTACGTTTGAACATATTATGAATAATTTAATAGTTTGATAGGAATAAAATATTTTCTTATTTGATTGTACTATAAATTGGTAGGTTACATTTTTATTGTAATTAATTGTATTAATATTTAATGTAACAATTAATTAAAGATACTACCTATATAATCAAATAATTTCATTTTTATACTTAAAATAAATAGAAAATCTATACTTGGAACAAAATAAATATTTGTGATACAATTAAGTTTTAATCTTTTAAGAAAAGAAACCATATTATTATATTTTTGGTCATTTAATAAACTTAAAATTAAATCTTTAAATAAAGTCTCTTGATAAATATTTGAATTTTAATGAAAATATAAAATAGAAACCCATGAAAACTTCAATGATAAATTAGGCACAAAAAGGAACCGAGTAAGAAGTGACATTTTAACTAACCATAATAAGTAACCATTAAGTGATCTATTATTACTTAGTCATTTCTATGTATTATGGAATAAGTAATGGTTTTAATATTAGTGTATATTAAAAAAAAAAATCATTGTTATAACTTCTTTCACTAAAGCCCATTTACTGGTTTTTCAATATTATCATACCTAAAAATTAATATTTCTAACAATAGGTGTAAAATATATGTAATAATATATATCTATAATATTATATTGATAAAAAATTGACAATCATTAGAGGTCATCTTGTGACCATAGAATTACGCAAGCCATTGTTTAAATAATTGAACATTACCTTGTATAGATCATAGATACATGATATACTTATTTTCATAAATAATATTATTGGCCTTCATACTATTTTGTCTTAAGAAGATTGTATCAATTTTACCAATATCTTTTTTAGTCTGTTCAGCTCAATCGTAGCAGAAATTATTCTCTAATCAGTTCTCCTAAAATATAAATTAAGTTTAAAATTGTTTATACATAAATAAAAATAAATAATTTAGTCTAAATTAAATTTCTTGATTTATTAATTAAATCTATATTATTATTATCTGTTTAGATTAAAATGGCTCAAGGACAAGCATTAATTTGTAGACTATTAGCTTCATCTGTCTCGGTTGCTCATAAAGCCGGTAAAATAATTCGTGATGTTATGCAAAAAGGTGATTTAGGAATAATTGACAAGGTAAATACATCTATATACATTAATTTTTTATGTTATTTATTATAAATTTTTTGTTTAGGGTGAAAATGACTTGCAGACTGAAGCTGATAGATCTGCACAAAGATGTATTGTTGCATCTTTTAAAAATCTCTATCCCAATATAAATATTATAGCAGAAGAAGTAGATAAAATAAGCCAAAATTTAGATGTGCCAGAAGATTGGTTAATTACTGAACTTGATCAAAAAATATTGGATTTGGAGTGCCCAAAATCATTAACTAACATCACAGAAGATCAAGTGAGTTTAAATAATATAAAAAATAAAATAAAATATTTTAGTAAATAAATTTAAATGTAAAATATTTGTTACATAATTTATTTACGAGTATTTTGTAAATTTTAATTTTGTGGCAATGTTATTTCAAAATTAATTTTTTTAAAGATATATAAAAATTTAAATTTAAATAATTTTTTAGTCTAGATAGTTAAGGTAATTATTTTGGACGTTTAAACGACTCATATTAATTATTATTTATATTATTATTATTTATTACTTGAAAATTAATCTTAATTTATGTCATTAGTACCATTATGTTAAAAAAAAAAAAAGGCATAAATTATATTAGTACTAAGTTATATAACTATCAGGTAAGAAAAATTTTAAAATAAAAATCAATTAATAAAAATAGTTATTATACAAAAAATATCTTACAAAATAAGTTAATCTAAACTAAAATACTTGTTTCTACTTAAAATTAATACATTTCTTTCAAAGTTTTATGAGTGTATTAAATGGTTATAAAACTATTTTACTTATCTTAGTTATTTATACAGTAATCCCTCGTTATCCGCGGTTTCGATCATCCGCGGTTGGGTCCACGATAACATATTATTAATGTGATTACGATTGCGATAACGTTTTACCGTTGTTACACGAACACTGTAGAAATTTATTTTTGACAATAATTGTAGATGATAATTGTTGTTATATCGCTATAGGTATAACACATATACATTATATATACTTATACTTATTGCAGATAAACCACAAAAAGTTACCTACACATGCACGATTAATAATCGTTAATTTGTAAGGTGATATTTGTGCGTGACGCATGTACAGCAGGGTTTAATAAATTTAGTAGTGAAAATATTTTTAAATGGCTTCTCAATGTAAAATGTCAATAAAAAGGAGAAGAAATGTTTTTATATTAATCGTTCAAAAAATTGAAATTTAAAAAGTGGTGATACTGAGCGTCACTTACTAGAACGTATAAAATAAATGAGTCTAGTATTCGAGAAATACGTAAAAATGAAGAAAAAATACGATAGATAATAAATAAATTAGTTGTAGGAATTAAAAAATATTAAACCTAACCTCCCTTTTTACATTGATTTATAGTTTCTTTATCCTCGGATGCATTATCCGCGCAGGTTTGCTGGAACGTAACCTTCCCGGTTAACGAGGGATTACTGTAATTGTTTAAAAGTTTGGAAAATATGATAAATAATAAATATATTTAACTATTGTTGTGAACCAGGTGTTAATCTTGTAGAATTAATTTACAATATTGATGGTAAAGACATTACAAATTTATTTAATTCCAAAATATAATAATAAACAAGAAAATGTGGTAGAGCTTGATGAATCTAATGTACAATCTTACATGTGATAGAGGGTTTAGGACGATAAACTCGTAAGTCGTAAGGTGATGTAACGCACATTCGGACTGAGCCTAAAGAATCTTCGGTGAGTGATATGTGAGTGTTCTAGTCTGTGAGTGAATCCAACAGCTTCTTGTCTTCGCGTCTCTCGGTATATATGCTGGTCCTCTCCTTTTTAGGTCATCATTCCTTGGCGTGAGACTGTCTCAGATGTCATGTATCTCCTGTTGTCATCAACTTCATATTTTATAATTAACGATTTTTATTCGTTCAAGGGTAACATCACAAAAGTTTGGCAATTTATTCAGCTTGTTATATTATGAAAATATTATTTATTCAAGGGGCAGTTCATCAAGTGGTTATTAATAATGCATATGTTTTTGCATAATACTTTTCAAAAACATATTTAAGTATGAGGTTATTTCCTAGTGCAAGCGTGATACTATCATGTATAATATTTGGTAATGGTGGCAAGTATTGTAACACTATCAAAATTAATTCTTGCTTATTTTTTTTTAGATTACAGTTTGGATTGATCCATTGGATGGAACCTCAGAATTCACAAAAGGTAAATCATTCAAAGTATTTTATATTCATGTAATTTTTTTACTTTTATTGATCAAAATAATAAAAATATTTTACTATTTTATTTATGCAGGTTTAATTGATCATGTAACAATATTAATTGGAGTTTGTGTTGATGATGAAGCTGTGGCTGGAGTTATTTATCAACCATTTTGGCAAAATAGTGGTCGAGCTCTTTGGGGATTAGTTGGCAGTGGTATTGGTGGATTTGAGTTGAAAGAACCACCACAGAACAATAAAGTATATGTGACTTCTAGGAGTCACTATGATAAAGCAATTGAAACATTTATTAATGGATTACAACCTTGCGAAGTAATACGTGTTGGTGGTGCAGGAAATAAGGTATACATTTTCAACCAAAATTTATTTAATATTGGATTTTATCATTTTGAAAAATATTTTAGGTACTTTATATATTAGAAGGAAAAGCACATGCTTATGTTTATCCAAGTTCAGGATGTAAGCGATGGGATACAGCTGCACCGGAGGCTGTACTCAGAGCAGCTGGTGGTGAATTAACTGATGTACATGGAAATAAATATAGCTATGGTAAAGATAATGAAAAAGATCCATTAAATAAATTTGGAGTATTTGCCACTGCTCCATCATATAACCATACTGAATTCATGAAACTCATTAGTGAAATCCAGTCAAAAATTTAAAAAATAACATTTTATTCAACAGTCAAAATATGAAATTCAATTATTTCAGTTTCATGAACTCAAAAATTGTAATCCTAATAAATTGTTGAATTAATTTGCGATTATAATCTTAATTTAAGTAAGAAGTTTAATATTATGTCAAAATAAGTCTTGTTCTAAATTCCAACTTGAATCTAAATACATTTACATTAAATATATTAAAAAGTAAACCATACATTTATTTATGTATATTTCCATTAGGGATGTTATTTATTTGTTAAACTTTATAATGTAAGCAATTTTACATACATATATATATATATATATATATATATATATATATTATAAATATTAATGTATTTATATTACTATAATTATGTATTATATATTTATATTATATGTTTTAACAAATCTATTGTTTGCGAATCCTATAAATCTAATGTAAATAATATACTACATAAAAATAATTTTGAATCCATTATATTATTATTATTATTAAGTACAATAAACATTTTATTTGGTGTATTTAAATACTATTATTAATAAACTATACTAAAAAGATAAAATAACATTAATTTTTGTTTATTTATTTTCAATGTTAGCATTCCTGTTTGAAATGTTGGATTTTTGTAACCACCTTGACTAGTATTTTATTCAATATTTTATCTATACAGTAAAATATTGTTGAAATACTTTAGTATAATAATGTTTAACAAATGGTATGCATTTAGATTTATATATGTATAAAAGTGAAAAATTAGTTAATCTTGTTGTTCACCACTGATTAAGATAAAGTATATTTATTGTGGAAATTTGTAGAATATTTATAATTAATCATACACGGGTAATTGTTAACAATTAACAAACAAAAGGTTTGGCTGATTTTAAATATATAATATAATTGAAATATTTATTTAAAAATCGATTTATTTATTATATTTTAATCAACAATACTACTAATATCAAAATATTATTTAGTGCCAATTATCAACCGTATGGACATTGGAGAACTATTTCAAATTACTCATACCAATACAGATTCAGGGGAAGGGCACCTCTTATCAATTTTCTATAGACAAATTTTTTTATGTTACAAAATGTATCATTAAAATGAAAAATACAATAAATAAGAATAATACTACCTACTAGTATAATAATTATTTAAATTTAAACTGGATAGATATGTTTGCTAAAAAACATAAACAAAGACCTCAATTTGACTTATATGGCTATAAAGTATGGTAATCTATGAAGATATTTTTATTTATTAATGACTACATTTATGAATAATAATTTGCTTATAAGTATAAATTATTATTTTGGTGTGTGATATAATGTATTAACATTATATTAAATATATTTAAAAAAATATTACCAATTTTTTTTTTTAAAAATAAGATTATTTATTATTAATTATGATTAATGAATCATTATACTATTTACATGTGTTCCCCTATCAAAATATCCAAGTATCCGTCCTTGACACAAACTGTTCATGGTTTCGTTTTGAAAGTTCAATAAATATTTACAGTCATGTATACAATAAAATATAATAATTTGTAATTATTAATGTAAATAAAGGCATGTTACAAGTGATATAAAAAAATATATATATATCTTATCATTTTCAATTTCAATTTTGTCACTACTCTAGGATTTTTTTTTTTTTGATTAAAGTAGAAACAACATAAAATTGAGTCAAAAAGAGCTTATCTACATAACCTTTATAAATTTGAATAGTTTATATAAAATTGTTTAAAACTTGTAATAATGGTGATTATTTCATACTTCTGAAATATTAGCTAACATAACAATAATTTTTCTCTAAACTACAGTTAAATATAATTTTGAAAAAAAAACATTTTTAATAGCAAATTAATTCAATAATAAATAAAATAAAATTAATAAAACTTCAATGAATATGTCTTAATTTATTTTGACAGATCCATTATTATTTTTAACATAACATTAAAAATCTGTTAATATAATATAACATTTTCCTTAGATATAAATATTATGCGGTCCATGATGAGTATAAATATTTACTTTCACTCAAAATGTTGAAACAAAAATTAAATCATAGTGAATAATAACAATTTAATCAATAGTTAAATATTTTAGTACATTATATATATATATATATATATATATATACACATATAGATACTGTAAAATAAACATACAAATCTATTAATGATGGTAGTAAAAAAAATAATAAATTACATATCAGTGGAATACTGAGTTATTTATTTGAAAAAAGTTATATAAATCAATATTTATAAAAATATTATATTTTAACCTTGTTAGACTGTACTTGGGTCTTCTGTTTCTTTTTTTTCTTTACAGCCAATCCGTTTTTTAATATAATCAACCTGTTATCATTTATATTAATAGAAACAAAAGTAAGTTTAATGTACGTGAAAAATATAGTAATATATAGTTGTAACTTTACATCAACAAAAATGTAACTGATACTTGGATTGAATACAACATAACGATTGAATGCAGACATTGAACTGATAGGGCTGATGACATGCAAATGCATATGTCCTATTGAATAAAATGGAGGCCAATGGAAACCCATTCTAATAAAACAACAAAACATTAAAAATGTATACAATAATTATAAATGTAGTGTATGATTTTGAATACCTGGTGTCATTCAAATCACAACCATTGTTCAATAGTATTTGTTTTGCTGCAGTAACCATGCTTTCGACTAATGTAAATATACACATTAATATTATCATTATGTAAATTAAACAATTTAGTGGGTAACAAAAATTAATATTTTTTTACTTACTTAAATTACGATCTTGTTCACAAGGTTGTAAGCTTTTGGAACTTGCTATATGTTTGTGACTCAAAACTAAAAAATGGTGAGTGGCTACTGGCTTCAGGTCTTTTATGACTACAAATTCATTGCTCTGAAATAATGCACTCATGGTAAATAATTTTATTTAATTATTAATTTGGAAAGATAATTTTTTTTTTTGCATTTTAATTTAAATGTAGGTAGTCAAAATGTAAAAATTTGTGGAAAGTTTTTTTTGGAAAATTGCAAGTCATTTTTATATCTGTATAATATATAGTAGAAATTAATTTAACATCAGAATATAATCAAATAAGTTGTTACTTGTAATAAATTTTAATGAAAATATTATTCTATCCATATACTTTTTTGCTTGTGTACATATTTAATGTAAAACGAAATTGATTATTATAAATAAGTAGTAATTTACGCGAGGTTCAAGTATGTTCGATCCGTTGGCAGAAATTATATTGCAAAACACACAAGTTTGTACCCGATCTTCGGTCCTATCGTTTTTAACAATTTTGTTATTCATAGGCTCTTCCGACATAATAATTAGTTAGCGAATCGCGAATCACTATTTCTTAGTAATTAATGGTAGAATTATAAAACAAACAAAAAAAAATCTATATCAGAGCAGATAGTTAATTTGCGTTTTCGAATGTCGAGTAAGTATTGATTATTGATTGCGTTACTGGTCTGGAACCAGGACCTAGGGCGTTCTTATCAGATTGATAACAAAAGTACGTAATATACATATAAGGTAATTATTAGGAAAATGATAAGAATAAACGAGGTGTATACTGTTTTACAACTTGGTGCGACGTATGTGCAATATTTCTTTAAATATTTATTTAATGGGTATTAATTATAAACATTTATATTTGTTAGTATATGCATAGTACATATTACATATTAGCAATTATGTATTTATAAAGCTCTCCTAATTAGTGTTTTATCGATTAAGAAATTCGATACGATTTATCTCAGAAAATTAGTACAGACCGTTGACCGTGAATGTTGATTGTTACTAATTTTAAATTAAAGCCAACGCTATATATATACATATAAATTTATATTACGTAAACAGTATTATAAAATATCGAGTATAAAATGAAATTGCGCTTTAGTATTCGTATATAATAATCGAGATTATAGGTACCTATTCAAAGGTAATTTATACCAATCTTTTACTGGGACGTATTTATAAATATATACCTGTGATATATTTATAGATATTTGAATATATACTTGCGGTAACTTGGACAGAAAAATACTTTTTTGTTTTGTATATATGTATGCATTAGGTACAGTGCGCTGACTTGTATTTCATTTGGTGGGGCAAAGTATAAAAATTTGTTAATACCACCACCCAAAAAGTTAGAGTAAAATAATGACAGACTGCATGATTGAATGAATATATTGTACATTTAACCATCATAGCTGTATATTTATAGCATTATTTGTTTTGTGTTTGGTATTTTTAGTAATTAATTTTCTGGAAACGCCGAACGGCCGATAGCCCACACAGTCTATTTTAGAATACGATTGTATTTATTGTTAAATTTGCCGCTTAAAACAGCACCCACATAATAATAATAATATAAAATATGATCGAGTGAAATGCCTCACATTACATCATAAATTAATAATCATACAGACTGAAAACGATAATTATAAATTAGGTATTGATTATTACCAGGGCTCGGAAGTTATAGCATTAAAAATTTTACTTTTTAGCTCTAAAATATGCGTTATAAATAATACGAAAAATAAAAAATATGCATTTAACTAGAAAAAATTATAAATTTATTAGGAAAAAAATTAAATGCAATTTTACACATTTTTGGGCTTATAGACGAATAATAAACTATTAACGAACATATTAAATAAATTAAATATATTTGGAAAAGGGTACTTATAATTAAATTATTTCATATAAAATTGGAAATTACCCTAGATTATTAAAATGTTTGATAATCTAATGCAATTATACAATAAGGGAATACCATGACGTCATTAACTATTAAAGGTCTATTTACACCTAACCGTTCCGTATCTGTACCGTCCGTTTAGTTTCAGTGCTTTGGATTTACACAATACCGTTCCGTGTCTGATCCGCATCCGTTGTCCATGCCCGTTCAGTGCTGTTCGAACCTATCTTTTGACCTAACGCGCGTTTTACATACCGTGTTTCATTGTTGCTTTGGGTGCTTGAAAAAAAATATAATATGACTGGAAGTGCAGAATCACTAGAAGATCTAGCTGTACTTGCCTTGCTGCTAATTCTATATGAGAACGAACCATTTCTATAATTTTTTCGTCGATATTGGTACACATGATTTAAATTTAGATACTCAAGTTTTTGAAAAAACAACTTTTTAAATACTTTAAACTTTAAATTTTTTTTTTAAATTTTACAAATACGTCTCGCGAGTATGTATGAAAACCGATCAAGCTTTCAGTTGTCACTGACGGCTGTTTACATAGTTCCGTACTTTCCATATCCGTATCAGTGAAATCCCTAAAAACATTGTCTCCGACAAATTTTAAAGCACAGACACGGATAGTGCGGATACGGAATGGACCTGTGTAAACATGCCCATTATATAACAAGTAAACAAACTTTAAGCACCGGACATGGAACGGACGGTACGGATACGGAACGGTTATGTGTAAGTAGACCTTAATACATCTAATTGTCAATTAAAACATAAAATAATATTTAATAAGGTCTAATTATCTCTATAATTCAAATATTTTTAAAAATATAACCAAGTAAATACCATTATTATTAACAAAATGTGATTATTTCCTGTATTATGTGAAAATATATCCAAAAATAGCATTACCTATAAACACTAAATTAGCAAAATATCAATAAAACCCATAAATATGCAAAAAATAGAAAATTAAATTTTGTGTGCGTTATCCGAGTAGTTTGAAATATATTTAAATTTTACTTTGGATGCTCTAGGATGAACCAAGAAAAATATGCATTTGCTCGAACTTCCGAGCACTGAACTACCTATTGCTTACCTACTTCACAGTGTTTTAAAAAAAAACCACTAAATATCAATTTGAAGCGCATATAAATATAGGTTTAATTATTTAAATATTAAATACGTTATTAAAATTAAAGAAATTTTTAATCTTAAAACAAAAATAACGTTTATTTCATTTTTTAAACAACTGTAATTTAAAAAAAGATGTTTCAAAATTGTTTTACGAGGTTATTGGTAATTTAAGTAACTATCTTAAAATTTTTAAAAGATCTTTTAAATAATATATCTATGTATTTGCATGTTGTATAATCATTTTTAAATACTGAGATCCGAGAGGCGTTTAGCTTCATCATGTGTGCGAAATAGATATAAATGTTAATGTACGTCTTTATATTTGACATGGTATAAAGACATGCATTGATAGGCGAATTGCTCTATCGTGTCATAGTATCCTACCATCTACAGATTGACTGTCACTTAATTTAAATATTCCTCTTTAGTTAGTAAATCTTAGAAAATAAAATAATGTATCCACCCAATTACCTGACACAAAACAACTACCCTATACCAAGGACCGGCTCTAGACAAAATGTATACATAAGCAAATTTAAAATTTGCCGCCCTTTCGATTTTGATCTCAAAAAAAAATGTTTTTATTCAACTATAAACAATTAATTAATTACATTTAATTATTAATTATATTATTAAATTATAAGAATTTTATTTTTTAGTACGTTTCAATAGTCCACATTTTTATTAAAATTTAAGTACCTTAAAATAATAAATTTTCTTCACAAAAATGTTGTAAGCAATATAATAATGAATCCAACATTTTTATTTTTTCAATAATTTACTGATAATATTATTGAAAACGCGTTGGCTCTGCTAGTGTCATCAGTGCATAGACTATGTCGCCACGCCAAAAATAAATAATTTATATAATAAATAATAATTTAGTGTATTATTACTATGGACGTTCGACGAACGTTATTTCGAAGAAAAATCAAAATTTTAATATACGTTATCTTCAGTTTAATTTTGGTGTATTATACATTGTACATAAAATTGTACGACTTGTACGTCCCAACCAAAACTAAATTTAGTTAATTGCTGGATATATATCAGTTATTATTTTTATTATTTAAAAATATATATACATAATCGCATCTAGGGGAGGGGGATTCGTACTACAATATCTATATGACGTAATTTAATTTTTTAATATTATAACACAAATATTTATTTATTCTTATTGTACTATACACAATACTTTAAAAATTATTTATAATATAAAATTGTCAAATGCCGCCCTAGGCATGCGCCTATGTCACCTAACCCTCGAGCTGGCTGGCTCTATCTATACCCACCAAACTACCCCACACCCACCCAAACACCAAACACCCACCACCATAGTTAAATGCAGGGATGAACTGCACCATATAAGTACGTGTTTGGCGCCACTGATAAAGTATATATCTTTATGGTTCTATTTGTCATTTGCATACTTTTCATTGAATGTTGATTTCAATAGAAAACGTGTTTTCTGTTCTGGACAGTAAAAAACCATTTATGGACGATGTACATTTTCATTTTAGAAATTGTATACAATAATATTTAATCAATTGATAAAAATGTATTCTTGAATTATTTGAAGTTAATACGATTTATAGAGATGTTTCCATAAAATTATTACTATTTTAAAAATATATAGATGAAAATAAACGCATTATATAAGTTTTGATATTTTAAACATAGGATTAAGTGACGATTACATTTTTATTTAAAAAATGTATTTTGCCGTTCCATATTATTTAGGTTTGGTAATGAAACAGTGTTGTGGGCAGCACTCATGCTACATCGAAAATTAATTAGGAGACATTATAATATTGTAATTTGATGCTTAATGGGAGATTCGACATGTTATTTGTAGAGTAAATATGTTCATAATAATATAAAGTTTTTGTTGTTTTGGGTGACAATGCGGTGAAATTTACTTCGTAATTCCATTTTCAACCAATTCGAAGAATACAATAATTTATTATATTGCATCGGTGCTATGTAACTATATAAGGGACAAAGTTTCGGGGTTTAAACAAGGTAGAACACGTTTTACGAACGAAAAATATCTTGGATTCCTTAGATTGACACCCATTTACTGATATTTACAATTTTATTGCAGGCCCTATTATTTGTACAATTTCGGACTGCATACTTGATTTTACTGCTTTAAATGAAAATTTAGTCTCGCTACTATCTTAGAAAAAGGAATATATTACATACATAATATATATAATATATATTAAATAATAATCCAACTACTAAGAAATATGAGTATTATTGAATTTTTTAATATATATATGCATTAAATTTTAAAAAATTCAATAATACTAATATTTCTTAGTAGTTGGCTTATTATTTAATTTTTGTTTTGTAGACCGTAGTGCACATACATTAAAACCGTAGTGCATACTTGTACATTCGTGGTGCACATTGTGTGTCGGGGTGCACATAAAAATAGGGCCTGTTTTATTGCATACAAAAATCCCACTAGAAAAAATAATAATAGTCACCAATCAATTTAGAACTTCTGTAAGCAATCATATACAAAGAAAATATTGCGTGGGATATGTCTTAAAAGTGGATATGACTCTGCTGGCTGTGTATATTTTATACCAAAATAGTTTTAAAGAAATTATTTTCATAATATATGGGACGGAGTGAAGATCCTTTTCATACACATACACACACATACACACACAATGTAAGTGTAAAACCGAGTGTAATGTGTATGATATAACGTATTGGTACCTCCAGGGGTGGATAGGCCCATAGGGAAAAAGGGATTTTCCCTGTGGGCTCTCGCTCTATATTATGTCGGTGGCCCCCTCGATACCATTAGTTTATTCATGGAAATTTTTTTTTTTTTTTTTTTTATAGTTAAATTATTTAAATTAAATTAGTATGAGTAAATATAATACATTTTTTAAAAGCAAATTGTTTTTTTCATTTTGGTGGCCCATTAAAATATTTCCCTGTAACAAAAAAACTACCTATCTACCTCTGGATGCCTCTATATTCGTACAATTTAAGCTCTAGACGAGAGGTTTTTAACCAGCAGTTTCGAAGTTGCATGCTGCTTTTAAGGATACTTAAAAAGCGGAACTTACAGAAGGCAGGTGTATCTGCCACAATACACAATATGTCACGTAGAGAGCACGAATATTAATATTAATAATAATACACCATCGCAAGAACAATTGACATAATATAAGTATAAATTCTGTACGTACGCATCCGCCTACTATTCGCGGTGCATGTACGTATACGTGCGTACGTGTGTAAAAGCGTCGGTGGCAGTGGCTGATATGTATATGTATAGCGTGCCCGAACAAATATAATACTATTATTGACGAGAATTCTATAGAGCAATAATCAATAACGTAATTTCGTTTTTTTGTTCACAGCAAATTTATCTGTCATTCAAAAACGGTCGGGCCATTATTCGTAATTGTAGGAGTGTATGTGCGTGTGCCAAGTACATTCCTTCCCTACCCACCGACACTATCAGCCGGCTCGTTTTTTTCGCTCGGCGGGAGTCTATAAGCGGTTGCCGTCCGCGGAATATTGTACCGAGACATAAGGTGATTTTGAACGTTTTCTCTCCATCACCTATAAGCTAACTAATTATCATTTTCATCATCTTCGACGACAACTAAACACCGGTGCACGACAATTGGATTCCCTCGAACTCGTGTGGCTGTAAGCAAATCATATCATACGGTAATCGTTGCGTGAATGACACTCGAGTACTCGACACTGTTAACAGCAATCGGCATTCGAGTGCTGCAGATAACGGCAGTAATACAATATGGGAACGGCGGTGTCAGCAGTAAAGCGGCGGGGAATGGTGTAGGGGAAGTGGGCGCGGCGTTTCGTTGACGTTGATAATAATAATATAGGTAGGCATTCATTTCTGGAAAAAAGCACTAGGCCGGTAAATAAAGGGAGTAGGGATTGGTAACGATAAAGAAACAACGCGCAGAATTCAAATATTGTGCTGAATTAATCGCAGCGATCGATTGCGACGGAGGCGAACAAACGGGCGGTGACACTATTGCAAGCAATGCCGTATTAAACATTTGCGGGGCCCTAGGCAATTAAAATTTTGGGCCCTACAAAACTACTTTTTACATACATCTTTAACATTACTATCCAATAATTAAAATAAACAGCTTTAATAATAATCGACCATTATTAAATGTTTTTATTTGCAAGAAATATTAATTAATAATTATATTATTTCTATTTTTTTCAAAATAATTGTATTATTATTACCGCAAGCAACACCTACAACTTAATATATATTGTATTTCATAATGAATTTTGTCCCGTGAATTCGTAAATAAAATACAGGTATTATTTAATAAAAATAAATATATATATATATAGTTTTCCGTTTTCACAGGGCCCCTTAAATGAGTAAGGCCCTAATTCACGAAATTTAACGAAAAAGTGAAAACACGAAACGCGAAACATATATAGTTTGGAGCGATCTAAAGAGTCACCGGATCCGAGTAGTTAGTGGTCACCTTTAAAAAGTACGACTATGTAATAACACGATATTGGTAACATGTTTATCGTCGTGGAAATAATTAAAAGACGGTATGCGCGTTGTTCCGATGACCGTTGTGGGGCCACGGTCGCCGGCGACGAACCGTCACTAATACTACATTTCCATTAGTGCACCGCAGCCGTCACTACTACCACCGCGTCGGCGGCTAACGACGAACGCGCCGAACAACGCCGCCGCCTTAAATAAACTGTGCGTGCGTGCGAGCGTGTTCGTCGCAGTACGCGTCGGTGTGCGTGCGTCTGCCTCCCCGGCCCCTGTTAGCGGACCCGCTTTCGACCCGTGTTCTTTAACGCGTGCGTGCGTGTATACGTACGCGCACGCGTGCGTGTGGACATCAGTACCACGGTGGCGCGTTTGTGCGCGTGCGCGTCATCGGTCCGTGCGCGAGAGTGTGCGTGCGTACGCGATCCCGTTCGCGCGGCCCCCGTGTGTGCGTACGTGTGTGCGCTTGTGTGCGTGCGAGTGATTAGAGAGCGATAGCATCGTTGCGCGTACGGTTTTCTCACTGCCGCCGAGGTATTAACTTGTGTGCGCGCGCGTGTGTATGTGTGTTCGCCGCGCGAGCTTTTTGCCCAGGAGCGACTCGTCGTCGCCGCAGCAGCAGTAGCAGAACAATCAGTTTCGCCGCAGTTGACTGCCGTGTCTTTCGCCGTACGCGTTTTCCTCGTTTTCCGGCGCACCGAGACACATTTACGTGCGTGCGTGTGTACCGCCGTCGCCGCCGCCACTGTCGTCGTCGTCGTGTTTTATCATCCGGTCGGTCGGTCACCCGCCCTCCTGTGAACTACCGTAGCCGCCGATTGCAACTGCCCCGTGTGCTGTTTTTTTTTTTTCTAATTTTTTACTTCTCCATTTAACGCCGTCACCGCGGAATAGGTACATATATACTATTCACACACATATACGTGTATATATATATATATATGTATGTATTGATATATGTGTATTAATTATTATTCGTATTGTATTGTCTAATAAATATTATAGTAGGTATGTGTCTCGTTTTTCGCATGTACGCGTGTTCGTCCGTGTGCATATGTGCGTGCGTGTGAGTGTGTGTGTGTGTGTGTGTGTGTGTGTGCGCGCACCCGCGTGTGTGTGTGTGTAAGGCGCGCGCGTGTATGCGTGTTTGTCTGTAGGTACACAAATTCCGGTGATACCACAATCGCGGTTTTTTTTCCTCGTTTCCGGTGTGATTTTCACGACTGTGCTCTTTTCGTTTGCTTTTTTGGTTAAACCGACACGGCGATATCGTTATTTCATAATACCGTAAAAATCTCGTGAAATTTTAAAAACAATCGTTTTTTTTTTTTACTCCCTCCCCCCCCGATCGCGCTTCCAGATCGTCACACGGTTGTTACACCGACTTCATGTTGTGTGCACTCGATACACCGCAGTCGGTTTCTCTGTTATAATAATCTGTACACGATCTATTGCATAGATACGTCGCTGTGTCGTTTTGCTGCGGATCGTCCGTGCGCGATTTCCGATTAAAGGTTAGTACGTGAAGAGTATCAGCAGTTTGTGCCCCTCTAGCCGTTGTCTTAAATATGCATTCATTATACATGTGCCCGACGACGTGTTATGATGTATTGACGGATGTTTTGCTCATATTCGTGTAGAATTATTGTATTAATTATTTCATTCTAAGCGTCAGAGAAAACGTTATTGTGTGCGCTCGGGCGTGCGGTGAAGTGTATTCCAACAACAACACCGACGATGAACGTGTGTATGCTTTTTTGTGTGGATATTATTATTCCGTGTACACTAGATATTACGCAATTGTCTTCAAATGGCTCACTGCTTTATCACCGCCGCATTCTATTTTTCGTATAACATGTCACTTGTGTTTCTAGGCATATCCTTGTCTTTTTTATTTTCTAATTTGATAGATGAGTTTTGGTTTTTGACCACAACTGACACCATATAGTTGTTTCGTTGTTGACCGACTACTGATCTTTGTCTTTTTAGCGTCAATGTATTTGTGTAAATTGGTAGCCTTTAATTTATTCATAGACATTTTGTTGATATCGGTTACCAAGTGTTCTACTTGTTTTATACATATCAGCCCTCTATTATTATACACTCTTTAGGCAATATTCTTTTAAGGTCACTTGTTTTTCTACTGACTTATTTATCAATTAATTGTGATTACTTTTACTTGGAATATTAATTATTGTCAATATAATTATATAACGATTATTGTATTTTTGATTTCAGATTTCATAATTGAGAAGTCTGTTTGGTTTATATTTTGATAAACAATAATTTGTTTTGTCGATCATTGAAGTATCAAGTTTTGAAATATAATAATATATATCTGAAACTCATGCTGAAATTATTATATTTATCTAAAAAACTGTGTAGCAAGCAAATAAAATAAAATTTAACCACACTCTGCTTACAGACAATGTTAATTAAATCTGCTATCTTGATTGTATCACAAAAGCATTTTAAACATCTTCTAAACGACGGTCAAACACCAGATAGACATTTTATCTTTTCAACACTTGATAACAATCCAAGATTTTAAGGTTTATTTTTGTGAAATTGTAATTGGCAATATGATATTAATACATCAAGAAAATCAAGATTAACAAAGTAGTTACTGTTAATATACATAATTTATCATATTTTTGCAATTATTTCACAACAAATCAATTTTGGCTTTTAACTACTGTGTCAACAAAAAAACGTGTTCGCATTTGCTTCTATAGAGCATGTCAAACACGGCGGCTACTGCTTCTAATGCTAGTAGTGCTGCTAGCAGCGGAGCTACTACGTCTGCAGGTGCGGCTGCTACATTTGTTGACCGCATTGATCCATTCACCAAAATTTCTGTATTAAAACGCAAGACAAAGCGTTCTCAAGGGTCATCATCTTCTTCTCGATACCGTACATGTTCAGATGTTGAATTGCAACCTTTACCATTGCTAAAGGGTGAGTAGAGCTTATTTTTTCAAATTAAATTTTACTAATTTAAGCAAAATTAAAATAAATAAGATTTTTATTAATTTTACAATTAAAATGTATTATAAATTTATCATCTTTTACATTATACTTAATTATTAAAAAAAAATATTTATAATTAATATACCTATCTCAATACTATTCCTGGTTTTTTTATGAATAAAAAATATAGGTATATCATTAATGAATAAATCTTTTATTTAAATTTTTAATAGACATAGTTTAACCTGTCGTTGGGACACATGTGAGCTCACACAGATAATATTTTGAGTGTAATTCGTAGAAATATTATTGAATTAATCTGATACTATTAATATCTTTAAATAACATGTCTATAAATATTTAAAAAATTAAACGATAGCGCTAATTTTCATATTCGATTAGTTATTACTCGATAAAGTTGAGAGTATCGATTGAGTGAGCATTACACTATACACTATACTACGAGTGTTTTACGTTTTCACACCATGAGCACGTGCATATCCTGCTATAACAATGAAAACCAAGCAAACATTTCAGACAGTAAATAAACCTAAGATGATAAATTCAACAATCGCTTCATTTCTTTTATTCAGTTTTATATAATTTATATTACTTTATAAATAAATAAAAAAAATTTGAAATAAATTTTAATTTTTTTAATTTTAATTCATAATCTATAAATATAACAAAATTACAAAGTACTTTGTAGTAAAGGATAAAAAAATATATATTTCTATGCACGATTTTATTTTATTAATTGATCACGCAATTAATAGTACTATAAAGAATGAAATGTGAGCGCACTACTCACAGTGTAGCAACTGTGTTATGAATTGTATGTGTACCGACGACGGGTTAAACAACAAAATGAAAAATATCTATAAATAAATTTGGGTGATTTTAAAAACTTAGCCAAGCAAAATCTAAGTAGTATCCTACTAATTACTTAAAAATATATGTTAAACTCAAAATTATAATTCATAATTAGCAGCTACCTTAAATATATTATTGATTTTATTATTATAGGTTTTTAAATATAAATTTACAAGATCTTTATATCTCTGTTAAGTCTGTACGTGTATAATAACATGTACATATTTATTAATGTTTATATTAATATATATTAAGTTTTACTTATTCTAGCCAGTATGATAAAATAACAAAATCCAATACTAAAAATAATAACAACAAATATAAATAACTTATTTACAAATAAAGATAATTTTTTAAAAGTTTCTATATAAAAGCATAAATAAGTGATTAAAATCTTTTTAGGTACTTGTCGGTTATCGTGACTACCTAGCGAGACATATTGAATGGTGGTTATTATTAGCATTGGTTTGGAGATTTTTTGTAGATAGGTAATATGACCTTTTATTTACCATTTTCCAACGCAGTTAGTAGTAGTCGGTAGTCACGATAACCGACAAGTTTATATCTTTTTATATTGTATATGAAATTATAGTTTATTGGTTGAAACCGGTATGTTTTTGAAGAATGAGAATTTGGCATGCTTGCAGAGTGTACTCTGCCAACTGGTTTTCATTACTAAATTAAATATTTAATAATTCATATAAATTATGCCTTTTTTAATACTAAAATACATTTGATTTTGAAAATCATATAATTTTGTAAAAAATACATTTACATAGATTTTCTTAGAATTGAATTGAATTTTACTAGGTAGGCTGTGAAATTATAAAATTCTTAAGTTCAGAGAATAACTATTATCTAACAGAAAAACTGAATCTAAATAAATTATAAAAAAAAAAAAATTGTTTTATGTACATAACTAATGCATTCCCTCATCAGTAATTATTATTTATTTGGTAGTATATTTTTTCAAAACATCATAATACTTAATAAGTAATAATTGGAGCCCAGATTTATATTTATATTTATTTATTTATTTATTTATTTATGTACACTAAAATATATATTGAGTAAATATGTATTATTTGATTAAAATACAATATGTTGGATTAAAAATGATATACTAAATAAACCTTATAAATAATAGTAGTTATTAAATTGCTTTAGAGCTTTGTTCAGCTTCAAGTCGTTGAGTTTAAAAAAAAATTATACAATCTTTTTATTTATTGTCTTGAATACTTGTGTAAGTTTTCATCTATAAGCCAAACTAAAATATTTAAAAATATAGAATAAATATAACGAAAATTTGTGTTGTATCTATTGTAATACATTCTTATTTTAATTGTGAATTTAAACTGGCATAAATAACAGTTATCATTTATTTACAAACATATCAAACTAAAAATTGAATAATTAATGTTAGAACTGGAGTTAGAACCAATGCTTTAGTATTAATACTGATATAATTAATATTTCCAATAATAAATGCTAATTTAAATTCTTGAACATTAGTTGTAACATATAACAATATTAACAATATTATAATGAATTTTTAGTATAGGTTCCTATATCATTAGATGTTTAAATACCTATCATGAATGTGTTTCTGTTCATAACTTTTTCAAATGATAATATAGTTTGTTTTATGATAGTTATGGAAGATTATATTTTTTACAAAACATTTTTATTCAAAATGTTGAAATAGTTCAGTACTTAAATCTGGTATACAAATTAAGACGATTAACATTAAAAATCCTTTGCTTTTAATTTCTAAACAAGGTTTTTATTTTAGTTATTAAATTGTTAAAAGTAAAATTAAATTAATTTAACATTACTAAAATATAATTAATATTTTATAATTATTTTTATACTTCATTTGAAGAATAATATTATTTTGTTTATACAGATGTAACTGCTCAGGAACAAGAAGAGTTAATGATAAGAAAACTTCGACAGTGCTCTGTACCTTTTGATTTTATGGATCCCATGGCAGAACTTAAGGGCAAGGAAATAAAGCGTGATACTCTCAATGAATTGGTTGATTATGTATCAACTTCTAGAGGTGTATTGACCGAGAACATGTATCCAGAAATCATTAAAATGGTAAGTTCATCTACATCATAATTGTTAAGTAAATATTAATAAATATTGTATCATATTTAAAATTAATAAATTATTATTATTATATTTTAAAGAGTGATAATAGAATGATGTTTTTTAAGAATAATTGATAATTATTTATGTTAATTATAAATATATTTTTATGAAGTTTTTAATCATTTTATATATAATTTTTATTTATCTGAGTATTATTCGCATAATCATTATTTTTTCATCTACGACTTAATTATTTGTTTTATTATTGTATATATTGTCTTCAATAAGAGTGGCAACATTTTTCATTAAGTTCCCTAAATTTAATTTGTTATCTATTATATTGACACAATTTTAGTTTTGACATTCTAATAATTTAATTATTTGATGTATTAATAATAAGACTTGCAGTTAACAATATTTATTTTAATCATTTATCTAACATTGAAAATAAATTACTTACATTTAAATTGTTACATTATTACATAAATTATGTTAGGAAATAGTTTTTTAGCTAAAGTAAACAACCGAAAAAAATTATTTTATTTCATTCACTACTAACTTTATGAATAAAATACAATATAATGTATGACTAATATTTATTAATATCATAATTGTTTGTTTATTTAGATCTCTTCAAATTTATTTAGAACACTGCCACCCAGTGATAACCCTGATTTTGATCCAGAGGAAGATGATCCAACTTTAGAAGCGTCATGGCCACATTTAACAGTAAAAATGAATTTATAATAAATAGTTATAGAACTTAAAAAATGATTTAAGTATTTTTATATTTATAATAAAGTTACAATGTTTAGAATAAAGTTTCTTGAGTCAAATAAGTTTATTAATATTTATGATTGTTTAATTTAAATAATTTATTACTCTATATTTCTTATTTTATGATTTTTTTTTTTTTTTTTTTATCATCCAATCTTAAATCTTAATTTCAAACAATTCATTAATTATTTCATGATATTAGTATAATGTTGTAAGTTTTTTTTTCTTGTAAATATTCTATAAATGCTTAATTCCTTGATACTAAATAATTTCCTTTCTTTGATATTTTTTGTGAAATTTTTTTAATAATTTTAAAAACTGCAATGCTAATTTAGTCTTATTGTAGTATAAATGAATAAAACGGTGATTGAAAATTAGATATAATATTAATAAAAAAAATCTAAATAACAATTATTGACAATCAAAAATGTAATATTATACTGTTCATCAAACTATTACATTGTTTAATAAATTAATCTATTTTATGGTTTTACAGCTTGTGTATGAACTGTTTCTACGCTTTTTGGAATCGCCGGATTTTCAACCAGCTATTGGGAAGAAAGTTATTGATCAGAAATTTGTATTGCAGGTAAAAAAAGTATTTTAATAGATTAAAAAATGAAATAATATGACAATATGTTCTATGATAAAATATTTTTTTATAAATTAAAGTTCTTACTAATATTTAAAAAAAAAATTCATTCTTGATACATAATGTAATACACTTGATATTTTTAAAAAATATATTTTTAAAGTATATTTCAATTATAAATTATTTTTATTTATTTATTCGTATGTTAGGCTATCAGAGGGGTGATAAAACTTAAGCTATTTAAAGAAGTTACGTGGTACAATGATTATAAATGATAATATTACTATTTAAGATGTATTTTTGTATATTGCTTTTTTAAAAAAAAAACTTTAATTTGCCTTTAAACTAATCTATATACTTTTAAATTATTGTTTGAATGGGGTTTTTAGCCATAATATGTTATATAATTTAATATGTAAATATATTACAACAATTTTAATTTTAAGAGTTGTTCAGAAAGATTTTTTATTTAATCTGAGTAGTTTTAATAGTTTTTCTTCTTCTTTCCATAACATTAAATAATTTTAACATATACTAACAAATTATTGTTGAATTGTTATTTTGTGTTATATAGCTCCTTGAACTATTTGATACCGAGGATCCACGCGAGAGAGACTTCCTCAAGACTGTGTTGCATCGCATTTATGGAAAATTCCTGGGTTTGCGTGCATTTATTCGCAAGCAAATCAATAACATATTTTTAAGGTTTGTATAATTGAGTATAGTAAATTGTTTTATTTGTAAACAATTATTTAAAAAATAATAATTATGTTTTAAATAAAAACACATGTTAATTAAAAATCATGATTTTATTAGGTTCATTTATGAAACGGAACATTTCAATGGTGTTGGTGAACTGTTAGAAATACTAGGAAGGTAATTAAGATAATTTTAGTTTGACAAATTATAGATTATTTTTTAATTCATTATATAATCATTAACTATGATAAAAATTATTTTTAGCATCATCAATGGATTTGCACTTCCATTGAAAAACGAACACAAACAGTTCCTGGTTAAAGTGCTCATACCTCTGCACAAAGTCAAATGCTTAAGTCTGTATCATGCGCAACTCGCATATTGTGTAGTTCAATTTATCGAAAAGGACAGTTCTTTAACTGAATCTGTCATAAGAGGCCTCCTCAAGTACTGGCCAAAAACGTGTAGTCTCAAAGAGGTAATATAACATTTATTATTTATAATAACTTTTTTTTAGAAAGTATTAAAATATCTAACATAAATGTGTGTTGCATATTTATATCACATAACTTATCAACAGTTATTGCAATTTAAACTTATTAATAAACATTAATATTTTTATTACTGCAATATTTTTTTGTATAATTCAATTGCCTTATTTCAGAATTCAATAAGATAACAACTATTTAATTTTTGTATTATAGGTCATGTTCCTTGGTGAAATGGAAGAAATACTGGATGTTGTTGAACCATTACAATTTCAAAAAATTGAAGTACCTTTGTTTAGGCAAATTGCTCGTTGCGTATCCAGTGCTCATTTTCAGGTATTAATTCCCCTAGGTTTTAATGTACTTTTTTTCTTTTAATCTTTCTTTTAAAAAGAAAGCAAAGGCAATTATTAGTGTATGTATAATTTTTTTCCCAAATAATAATCAAAACAGCGTTTTCTCAGGCATTTTTATTATATTGTGGCTCCTTACATTTAATTGTAAACATCTAGAATTTAAGGATTTGAAATTTTTTCTTTACTATAACACAACCTTATGACAAATTAAATTAAGTGTAAACACTTCTTTAAATATATTCTTAAAATTCACAAATATGTACAGTTTCTTGTATTATCTTTATCATTAGTGAGCACACAGTTTGAACAACATTATTATATAATAATAGTAGTTAATTTTATTTGAGTTAATCATTGTTTAAAGTCATTTTTTTTTTACCATAACATATATCTTTCATCTTAGTTTTGATTAAAAACAATCATGAAGAACTTGAGATTTTTGGATTCATATCTTAAAATTTTTTTATTCTTACATCCTAACATATTGATTTATATAATTGTTATTTTAAGGTCGCTGAACGAGCATTGTATTTATGGAACAACGAATATATAATGAGTCTGATAGAAGAAAATAACCAGACAATCATGCCCATCATGTTTCCTGCCTTATACCGTATCAGTAAGGAACATTGGAACCAAACTATTGTGGCTTTAGTTTATAATGTACTGAAAACATTCATGGAAATGAATAGCCAACTTTTTGACGAATTAACTGCTAGCTATAAATCTGAACGGCAAAAGTAAACATTCATCAATAGTGTTTTCTGACATTTTTTGTATAAATCTTATCTTATTTATTCATTCAGGGAGAAAAAAAGGGAAACTGAACGTGAAGAATTATGGAAACGATTGGGACAACTTGAAGCAGCTCACATCCGTAGTAAACCATTGACTTCATCATTGATTTCAGTGGATAATAATAATAAGACTAGCAGTAATAATAGTATAGATACTATGCCAGCCGCAGTAACAACAGCAGCAGCACCAATTATAGTCCAACATCAGTAGTAATAGTGGTAGTAACAGCAATAATAATTATTTTGTCATTTTATACACAGTTGTATTTGTGCGTTAACATAAATATTTATATTCATATTTATTTATGTGCATAAATTCTCAAATGTGTCTATATAATAGTTATAATTAATTAAAGAGTGAAATGTTATGATGTTATGCGGCAGCTGTTAATAACAATAATATTAAATAATAAAATTAACATACAATGTTGTTATGAGTGACAAACACATGCTGCTGTGGTATGTTTGTACATGTGTCTTATGATCAATTGTATTTGTATGTATATATGTGATTATTATATATTATGGTATGTTTTACACACATTTTTTAAATAAAAATTGTTTGTGATGAATGGTGAATGGTAAAAATAATATTTTGAACATTGAATCTTTTATGAATAGTTATCTTATGTGTATTAAAAAAAAAATGTATTGATCTTCCATTGGCAAAATAAAATTTATGGTTTAAAATATCTACAATAAGCTTATGTTTTCAAACCAATCAATGTTAATGTGAATTGTTTGATTTTGTGTGTACACAAGTGTAATAATATTACTGCAGAATTTTTTCGATATAATAATTACAATAACAAATTAATACACATGTAAAACACGTATCACTTATGCAAATTGTGTAATTAAAAGCGATAATAAACAATGTTCTAATTTCTTATGTATATTAAATTAGATTTAACCCTCCTCCCATGTAAGCGTTTGTGTGTGTGTGTGTGTGTGTAAATAATATTAGATTAATAAAATATTGTTATTTTTAATAATTATATACTCATATACTTTATATGTATGTATATATTGTTAGCAGTAGTAGTAGTAGAAGTAGTATTATAATAAAATATTAATAATCAAGACTAATAATAACATATAAATAATATTAAATAACTAAAATATATATATCTATATAAATACATATTTGTATGTATTAAAAAAATTACTTGCAACTGATGTGTAAATAATTGAAAAACTAAATTTTTATTAGTTAATCCATTATATTAGTGACGGTATTATTGTTAAAATTGATTTCTTACATTGTGGTTACTTTGTTGGTATTACTGCTAAATTTCCTCTTTATTGTTTTTGTGCCCAATATGATAAACAATTGATTTAAAATCTAAAAGAATTATTAATGCCGTCACTGATGCCTTATCTATATATTTTTATTATTACTACTATGACTACTACTACTACTACGACTATTATTATTATTATTATTATTATTATTATTATTATTATTATTATTATGATTATTATTAATTATAAATATTATACATATATTAAATGTACGGATGTTTAATTTCTCGCGCACGCGTTAGTCTTTATGTAGTTTGTAAATTAATATAACAAAATTATTATTATTTGTTGTCGTTAATGCGCGTGCGTGCGTGAGGTTTATAATATTTCAATATTATATGTACAAAACTGATAATTAAAACGATAAAAGCCAATGAAAATTCATCTATGTAGAAAACATAACACACATACTTATGGTATCATACAATGCATTACATACAAATATACATTTGTGTGTATGTGTTTGTTAATATGAAAAATATTAATTATAAATATATATATATATATATATATATATATATATATATATATA